GCGGCCTTGAATTTGTGACGCAAAAGTAGCGGTACCAAATCGGATGCTTTGCTGTAGTGTGCAAAAAGAGGGAAAGCAAAGCGGATGCTTTCAAGTTGCGGTGCCAAAATAGCAGTACCAAATCGGATACTGGATTAGGACGAAGTGAGGTGGTGGGTGAGACAAGCGGCTGGTAACGGTATGGCCCGGTATGGCCAAGGAAGCTACATCCCCGGCCCTACATTGTGCTTGGCATTGGTGTGACTTGGCACAGTCGCATGTCAAATGCTTCAAAAGGTTGTCATGAAATTAGCCGCGTCTTGTCAAGTTACGCAGAACCCGGGAGAAGATGCGTCAACGCGATGTGACAATACCAAATTGGGTGCTTGCACTCTTGTGATATCCATCACTCTGTCTTCTCTCCAAAGAAGGGACCCTCCGTGACCCCTTCAAAACACATGGACCAGGGAGGGTTTGAACCTGCAGAGGGGGGGGGGCCCTTCATGCGAATGGTTCACTTCAGCCAGAAACCTTTGATGTGATAGATCACTGCCTCTTCCCAAAGACTGCCCCCAATACATTCCTAAAGGAAAGCCAACTCCAGCTAGCAAGCTAGCTTTCGTGACTAGTTGTGGTTGCAGTTGTAAGATTGTAAGTAAGGGTAGTTGTAGTAGTTGTAGTTGTAGTTGTAGTTGTCTTAGGGATGTAATTGTAGTTGTAGTTTTGTAGCTGGTAGTGGTAGTGATAGTGTGGCAGAGTTACACAAATATATGGCACGTCTGCAAACTAAACTACATTGCATCATTAATTACTCATTACTTACTTATTACGCATTACTCATTTCATTACTCATTTCATTACTCATTATCCATCATTACCAAAAGGTGGTGGCGGAAGTTTCAAATATCGGAAACAGAAAACCATTTAGGAGAGGTTGGTCGCTTAGTTAGTTAGTTAGTTGTGATGCAGGGATGGCAGAGCGAGCCTGCTGATGGATTGAGAAGTGAGAAGTGGTTGGAGGCAGCGCAATGTAGTTGTAGCAGCGTAGTTGTAGTTGTAGTTAGTAGTTATTGTAGTTGAGTTGCAGTTGTAGTTGTAAGTCAGTCGTAATTTGCAATGTAGTTGCAGTTGCAGCCGCAGTCCTAGTTGCAGTTGCAGTGGTAGTTGTAGTTGTGGGTGTACTTGTAGGGGTAGTGTTTGTTGTCGTTGTACTTGTAGTGCAGTTAAGGTTATAGTTGCAATTGTAATTCTAGTTGCTAGTTGTAGTTGTAGTATTGTAGGGGTACGGGTATGGGTAGTGATAGTGGTAGTTGTAGCTTGAGTTGTGTTTTGATTATGGCTGTAATGAAATGGATTTCATTTCATTGTATTGTTGTATTGAATAGTTAGTTAGTTAGTTAGTTAGTTAGTTAGTTAGTTAGTTAGTTAGTTAGTTAGTTAGTTATTTAGTTAGATAGTTAGTTAGTTAGTTAGCTAGTTAGTTAGTTAGTTAGCTAGTTAGTTAGTTAGTTGGTTGGTTAGTTAGTTAGTTAGTTAGCTAGTTAGTTAGTTTGTTAGTTAGTTAGTTAGTAGTTGTAATTCTACTTTTTGTAGGGGTAGTGGTAGTGGATGGTGGTTGAAGTTGTAGTTACAATTGCAGCAATTGCAGTTGTAGTTGCATCTGTAGTTTCTAGTTGTAGGTCTTGTATCTTGCAGGTGTAGTTGTAATGTAATGATATGTAGTTAGGTTGTAGGTTGCAGTTGTGGTTGTATAGTGTGTAGTTGTAGGTTAGGTTGAAGTTGTAATTTTCTTGTAGCGGCGTTGTGGAGTGCAGTTGTAGTTGTAGTAGTGATTGTTGTAGTACTGATCATTGTAATTTTGTGTAATGTTTTCTGTTTTCCCAAATCAAGCAATTCTGCAAGACTTCCTCAATTTGGGAAGTTGACAACATCAAAACAATTTTTCCAATATGTCACAAAGCGACAAAGCAATTTTGTGAGGCCAGGCTTGATTCAAAAATGAAATGTTTTGTATACCATATGCTACATACTTTATAATATACTATATCTGATATCTGTATTTCAATACTATATCCGTATATCAGATATATCCAATTTGATATTGTGGATTTCACATCCAGCTAGTGACTTGATGTTTTGTCTACTTATTATAATTATGATTGTCTACTTATTCTGAAGAGATTGCAATTATAACTATAGTAATTGTAGTAGAACTTTACTAATTTTAAATATAAATCTAATTCTATGTTTTTATGTTTTTCTTTTTTTTGTTTTTTGTTGCTTTTTTTTTGCTTTTTTTTGCTTTTTTTTGCTTTTTTTTTGCTTTTTTTTGCATTTTGATTTGCTTTTTTTTTTTGGTTGCTTTTTTGTTTTACATTTTTTCACATTTTTTTCACAAATAAATTGATTTTCAAGTTTATAGGATTCTGCCTAAGTGGTGAACATAATATTATAGAACCGTTTTCGGTCTTCCCGCCCACTCATAGTATTCTGATGGCACTGTGTTCCACGTTGCCACCCGTGCCAGCTCCGGCGTCCAAGAGGTGGTCGTTTGGAAGGGTCTATTTTTGGGCCCTCAAAGACAAAAATTGGAGACGCAAATTCGGGCCTCCCCAGTTCAAGAGTCCTGCCGCGGATGCTGTTTGTGTAAGTAGCTTCACGCTTGACATTCTGCGCACATAGCAGCCTGCAAAATTTCAGCACATCGGACAAAATGAAGGGACCAAAAACGGGCCCGCCAGGAGGGACCACTTTCGATCCTAAGAGGGTCCACTTTTGGGTCCCTTCTGAAATATATTTGCTTTGCGCAAGGGTCCAAAACTGGGCCCTCAGCAATCTGAATCCGGTGCCTCCCTGGGGGCCTGTTTCACGTCCCATTTAAATTCTCTGTTAAAGCGCGTTGTTGTAATCCAGCTACAAACATCAGCGTCACACATCATAGCAACTAGGTTAGCAACAAGGGCGTCGAACAAGGGAGGCCCCCACCGCGTCTCCAAAAAGTCTGCCGATTTCAGGTGCCGAAAACGAACCCTCTGGACATATGAGATGCTGCTCCTATACTGTCGAGGTAGGTCCCTTTCAGGCCGCCAGGTTTTGACCACTTTTTTGGGCCCTGTTTGAGGGGCCATGATGAAGCAGGTTTGTTGGCATTCGAGGCGCGCCAAGGCGTACCGAGGCCTGCCCGAGGCACGAGGACAAAGCGAGGCTTACGGGGATCCGAATCTATATAATACTATTGTTGGGGTCCCTTAGCAATGATTGCTGGTATGGCAATGGGACACTGCGGCGTCTTCTGGACGGTATACGCTCTTGGGCGCTTGTGGCGCAGCTAGGGGTACCAGATTGTTGAGCCCAGCAGAAGTCATGAACAAGGTCTTCCTGCGGCGATGCTTTTGAGAAAGGTAACATTCAACAAGGAAGCTTTCTTAATTAGCCACTTTTCGAAACGTGGAGGAAACCTCAGAAACCCAGGGAAACCTTTGGGAAACCCGTGGGAAACCCCTCAGAAACACTACTCTTTCTTTAGATTCTGGTTCAAAAACGCTGGCAACTGTGCAGGAAACCCACAGAACCCCTGGGAAACCCAACACTTTGTAGAGGAAACCTTCGGAAACCCCTTTGGAACAATGCACATTCACCCCCCCTCAGAAACTTTGCTCTTTCTTTGGATTGGGCTTCAAAAACGCTTGCAACTGTGGAGGAAACCACGGAAACCCCTGGGAAACCCCTGGGAAACCCCTGGGAAAACCCTGGGAAACCCAACACTTTGTAGAGGAAACCCTAAGAAACCCCCATAGAACAATGCACATTCACCCTTTGGCAATTTACAAGAATAAAGAAGGGGGTGTGGGGAGGAAACCTGGATGAGATAGCAGCAATTGGATAAATTGGATGAGATGCAAAAAGTATTATAGAACCGTTTTCGGTCTTCCCGCCCACTCATAGTATTCTGATGGCACTGTGTTCCACGTTGCCACCCGTGCCAGCTCCGGCGTCCAAGAGGTGGTCGTTTGGAAGGGTCTATTTTTGGGCCCTCAAAGACAAGAAAAATTGGAGACGCAAATTCGGGCCTCCCCAGTACCCCCCTTCCTAAGGAAGCCCCCCCCTCCCCCCATTAAGAAGATCCCCAAGCCCCCCCCCTCCCCCCTTCTAAAGAAACCCCCCCTCCCCCCTTCTAAGAAGACCCCCTCCCCCCCTTAAGAAGATCCCCCCCTTCCCCCTTCTAAGCAAGACCCCCCCCCCTCCCCCCCTTAGAAGATCCCCCCTCCCCCTTCTAAAGAAGATCCCCCCCCTCCCCCCTTCTAAAGATTCCCCCTCTAAGAAGACCTCCCCTCCCCCCTTAATAAGCCCCCCTACACCCCTTCTAAAGAGACCCCCCCCCCTTTAGAAGACCCCCCTCCCCCCTCTAAAGAAGACTCCCCCTCCCCCCCCCTAACAGAAACGGCCCCCTCCCCCTCCCCTCTTCTAAAGAAGACCCCCCCCTCCCCCCTTAAGAAGATCCCCCCCTTCTAAAGAAGACCCCCCCTCCCCGTTAAGAAGATCCCCCCTCCTCTCTTCTGAAGAAGCCCCTCCCTCCCCCCTTAAGAAGATGCCCCCCTTCTAAAGAAGACGTCCTCCCTCCCCCCCTTAAGAAGATCCCCCCCCCCTCCCCCTTGCTAAAGAAGAGCCCCCCCTCCCCCCCTTAAAGAGAACCCCCCCTCCCCCCCTTTAAGAAAATCTCCCCCCCCCTTAAGAAGATCCCCCCTCCCCCCTTCTAAAGCAAAACCCCCCTTCCCCCTCAAGAAGATCCCCCCCCGAGAATATCCCCCCCCCCCCCCTTAAGAAGATCCCCCTCCCCCCCTTAAAGAAGATCCCCCCCATCCCGCCCCTTCTAAAGAAGACCCCCCCTCCCCCCCTTAAGAAGATCCCCCTCCCCCCCTTTTAAGAGATCCCCCCCAGCCCTCTATCGAGGGTATCTGTATATCCCGTAAATATCATGGTAATAATAGTGATAGTAATAGATAAAGATAGACATCAATCCCCTAATGGGTTACCACCCCTCCCAAGTCGCCCCCTCGCTCCCTCGTGTCGTTGCGGCTCAAGAGCTCATGTAGCTGACGTAGGTAACGAATACTTCGACCCAGCTCAATGAGGTAAAAGAGCCGCTTGGTTCCGGAGAAGTTCAAGGACAAATGCCTGGATCCATAGTCGGTCCATCCATCATGGTCCATCATGGTCCATCATGGTTTAATGATTTTGGCTGAAGTGAGTTGCAGGGAAATCCACCATTGCTACAAGATTTCATAAAGGGGGGAGTTGGAAGTGATGTGCAGAGACTAGGGGAAAATAGCAAGGTTATTACAGCTATTGCCAGCTTGGGCCGGTGAGCCAGCCGTTTTCCTGGGACCATTGGGTATCAAGAAATCACGGTGAAATAAATTTGTGATCACATCTCACAAGTGTAACTTGTGTAGACACAAAGTGTTGAGAGGTCTGGAGCGACACAGTCTGTAGTTCTCTACATGTTCATCCCATGTGGAGGTAACATACGTTTGAGCCATACCTAATTTTCAGAGTCGTTCAAGCTTGGGCCACCGAAACTAAGATATCATTCTACTCAGTCTCTGCTCTTTATAATGACCAGACTATGACTGGTAGGACTGCTACGCCTTCAATTTTCCCAATGGTAAGCACCCTGCGGGATAGCGCCCACCATGGATCACCATGGCACTGCAGCTCTTGAAGTTGCCGTAGGCTTTTGCCCAGCAGAACCAAGTCAGAATCCAGCAGCAAACCTCCAAGTCCCCAAATATCCCCAAATGATTTGCGAATGATGCTGTGTTATTTGATTTTTTTATGTTTGGTATTAATCATTGTTGCTAGTGCAATATATTCTGTTTGTGTGTGTGAACCTACGTGCCTACCTATGATCTTTCTGGAAGAAGTACACACATGGTGGCTCCAAACAGAATCCCAATCAAACAGCCACCGCCTTTGCATCCCGACATGGAAAGGCGAAGGGAGGTCAGCTGCATTAAATCACCTGAACAGCGGTGAAAAAATTGCACCGGGGGGATTTTCACTACTTGGGGGTGCAGTTCCAGTTATATTATATATAACCATAGTTACGGAGGGGCCATATCCCAACTTCCGGATGTCATTACCCAAGTATACCCCAGTTACAGCCATTTATAACCCCAACCGCACTCCCAAGCCCAAGTCCGAGTCATGGATATGTTCCCCTGAACCTTCCCGTTCTCGGTGGGTCCCCCTGCAGTGAAAACGACTGGATTCCATCGAGAACCCGGGTTGTCACTCAGCTGGGGGGTATCGATTCACCAACATAACCCATTGGAAATGAAATCCTCAACTGCGTTGGTCATATCTTCTTACCCTCTGGTAAACTAACATAGCTATTGAAAATGGCCATTTATAGTGGATTTACCCATTAATAATGGTGACTTTCCATAGTTGTGTTAGTTTACCAGAGGGTAAGTGCTAGTGATATCCCCACTGTTTTGTGAGATATTGCGCTTGCTCCTTCTCACTCATGACTATGAGACAACCACCCATCAACCAGCGCTCTCGCACTTCTAACTATAGCCCGCTAAATAACACTTTGTTTGACCCATACCCAAATGGGTTTTTCTCAGAATTGTGGTAGCCCCTTCAACCAAAATTTGTTCTCTCATCAAACATGACCAACAACTCCCAGATATATCGCTATACGCAATTCAATTGATATAAACAAACATAACACCTCCGAACGCTGGGTTTCTTTGAAACTGTACCCCATTCCAACATATTCCAACCATTGCTTCACCGCGTGTTCACCCCAGGCCATGTTTCGCGTCCAAGGGGCCGATTCCCCGCAACAGCTCCGTGGCATCCTGCAGCCGTTCGCAGCTGTCCAGGCCCAGCTCCAAGCGTCGCAGGGTGCGCGGCAGCGACGCGGCGCAGCCGAAGCGGCGCAGGGTGCAGCAGCCGCTGAGGCGCAAGGTGAAGTCCTGGGGGCTAAGATGGCCGGGGGAGCTGGAGAACTCTGAGAACTCCCCAAAAAATGTGGGGAAAACATATGGGGAACTGAGACTTGATCTGACTTTTTGGGTGAAATATGATTTGATCTGACTTGAAGTCCCAACAAAATATGGGGAACCCCAACGATGGATTTGGGGGCGATGGGGGTTGATGCCTGCAGGCACACCAAATGCTCCAGACCCGGGGCCAGCCAGGCAGCGCTGAGCAGATTGGAGATGTGACCTGGGAGATGATTTGGAACGACCCTTTGTGGGTGGAACCAAATTGAAACCTCTCTAGCTGGAACCCGCAACACTGCACACCACATATCCGACTGATAGATACATCTCATAATATCCTACATGATCTGATTTTATACATCTATCCCACTGGAACAGCAGGGACATCCATTCCAGCAGAGAGGCCGTTGGCGTAAATGCTCCTTGGCTTTGGAGAAACTGAGAAACCCAGCCACTTGATATCATCGCTACACTGGACAATCAGTGATCTTCCCACGATTGGAGTTCTGTATATACAGTTATATCATTACCACTTGTATCTATTGTGACATCACATCATTCTTGGATACAGAATCCCAGAATCCCAGTTACTGTACCAAGTGCGTGCAACCCAGTTCCTCTCCGGTGCTCAAACATGTTTTTTCCCATGAAGACCTCCATGGTTGGATCACCAAAGGACTAAATAGATGAAAACAAAAAAAAAAACTGTAAAATCCAATTAAACCTCATTAACCCTCAGGGTATATAGGTTGCATAAAGTTATGTATATATATATATGTATATATAATATGTATATATATATACATATATATCATGTATATATATATGTATATGTGTATATATGTATATATGTATATATGTATATATGTATATATGTATATATGTATATATGTATATATGTATATATGTATATATGTATATATGTATATATCTATATATCTATATATCTATATATATATATCTATATATCTATATGTATGTATATATGTATGTATATATATATATGTGTATATATATATGTATATATATGTATATATGTATATATGTATATATATATATATATATTTATATATATATATATGTATATATGTATATATACGTAAATATATGTATGTATATATAATATGTATATATATGTATATATAATATGTATATATATGTATATGTATATGTGTATATATCTATATATCTATATATCTATATATATGTATATATGTATATATAGATATATATGTATATATGTATATATGTATATATACGTAAATATATGTATGTATATATAATATGTATATATATATATGTATATATAATATGTATATATATATGTATATATAATATGTATATATATATGTATATGTGTATATATCTATATATCTATATATCTATATATCTATATATCTATATATCTATATATCTATATATCTATATATCTATATATGTATATATGTATATATGTATATATGTATATATGTATATATGTATATATGTATATATGTATATGTATATGTATATATATGTATATGTATATATATGTGTATATATATATGTATATATGTATATATGTATATATGTATATATGTATATATGTATATATGTATATATGTATATATGTATATGTATATATATATGTATATATATATGTATGTATATATATATATGTGATGATGATGATGATGATGGTGATGATGATGATGGTGATGGTGATGATGATGATGATGATGGTGATGGTGATGGTGATGGTGATGATGATGATGATGATGATACAGTATATCATAATACACCTTAGAAATCTCTATGGGATGCGTTCCCAGTGGATCCAGTGGGACCAAGGATCCGCCAGCCCAGGTCCAGATTCAAAGCCTTCAGATGGCTCAGCTTCACCAACGCAGTGCCGAGCTCCGACCTCACCGCCGGCCAGAAACACCTCCCACTGGGGGATGCTGCGGGGATGCTTGGGAAACCATCCAAATTTATGGCCAACACTGGGGGATTTACACTTGGGGATATGTTTTTTTCCTATTTATTGGCTATATACCACACATGGTCGTAAACATCTCATCCGATTTGCGTCCAGACCTGCTGGTCGTATGGAGCCAAGTGGCAGAAATGTCTCAGGCTGCTGCAAGACGTGAGCCAGGCAGGGCAGCTTCAGCTCCTGGGCTGAAGAAGTTTTGGAATCGCCAATTAATGGCTATGATATATGTCATGGGTATTGTATGAGCTTAATAATCTATATAGAAGAAGTTTAAACTATACATAATTTCCCCATGAAAATGGATTGTATCAACTCCATAGATCCAAATAGATCCAAATAGATCCAGTTGAATCCATATTAAACTCCCATTCACTCCCTATGAAAATGGATGACTCAATGATGACCACGACCTGGTGAGTCCTGCTGCGCCACATTCGCTGCGATGATGGAGAGGTACGGGGCGATGGAAAGTTGCCTCTCAACCACCAGATAGGTGGCAACTGTTCAGCCCTGAAAGCACCATGTGCCCTGAAAGCCCCTCATGTCAACCGGTGACTCTCGTCCCAACTGTGGCATCTGTGGGTGCTCATGAATATCTATCTGCATGTGCAGATACAGATATTCATATATAGCGCCTATATAATATCAACACACTTTATCCATCATGCGTCGTCATTCTCAATCATCGAATATTTTCCAATCTGGCTCTCTTCACACGATGATGAGTCTACTCATAAACAGCACTTCAACCTTCATAATCCCAGTCGACTCCAGGTAGCTGCCCCCACTAAACTGTATAGTCCTTCATGTTGACCCAAGCATGTGAATCCATGTGATGTGACCCATGCTAAATCCCATCTAGACAGGCTTGTCTCAAGATTGGAAGCTCATTCCGTCCCATGAGAACATCATGTTCCACTTCGACAGAAACCGATCTTGGATGATAAATTCCCAGGATGATGGTTGAATCTCCAAGTGGTTTATAACTAGATTAACTTTGTGGTTTGTGAGGATTATGACTCTAGTTAGATGGGGTTAGAAACCAACAACCATTGGACCATAAGTGGATAATTACCATGATTGTTGGAGTTTAGTAACTATCCCAATATGTGGTGATTATAACCATAAGTGGATAATTACCATATGATTATTGATTCATCCACCATTACCATGGATTAATGGACCATTGTTGCATTGTTTTTTTTGTCGATAAATCATTGGATTGGATCACCATTCGTCATTGGATTGGAGATAACAACCATGAAATACTTCAACTACTAGATTATGAATGGACCATGTTTATCAGGATTATGTTTTAGTATTAAAAATTGATGATCAATTGATGGCATATTGGAATCAAATGGACCTAATAGCTATTGGGAAAATCGAATTCCAATGGACCATTGGAGTTCATCATCCCCTCATCCCGCCGGTGAAACCCCGGTGAAACCCCGGTGAAACCTCTTCAAGGCTTGCACCAAGGCGGTCCCTGCGAAGAAGCTCCGCAGGTGCTGGCTGACGTTCTGCAGCGTGGCAGGCCTGGATGGATGGATGTAGAATCACCGATGGTTGAGAAATCACCAATGGGATGAATGAAAGCCCATTAGATCACTCTGGTAATACTATGGTTATATAATATGAATGGTTTTCCATACATAAGTGGCTTTTCTTACTATGAGTTATAATGAAATTTTAATGGGATGCTCATTGACCTGTTAAACCCAAAAAAGATCACTAGAAATCACCCATCATCATTGGATGGTTGAAATCACTGGGGTTGTTTCACGAGGAACATCCGCACAGCTCATGTGGGAAACCCAATGGTAAACCTACCAAAAAGGGGATGGTTTGTATCAGCTTATGGTGACTTTGGGGATGTCTTATTGGGTATACCCAGTGAAAGGTCGTAACGGGGCGAGTAACGTGTCTGCAAAGACACAAGTTGGATTTGTCTACTGATTCTGGCCAGGAAAGTACAGCTGGTGGAAAGTGGCAGTCGATGTTCTTTTGGCGTTTTTTTACGAAAAACTGTCTGCGTGTTGCCTAAAAGTATATTGATGCAAATGCTACCATGCACTCAACATGCCAGATATGGGGATGGGTCAAAACCCTGGTACCTAGTGAACCCCAAAATAGATGGTAAATGGATGTTCATCCCACTAAAAATGTATCTATAGGTATTGACCCATACCCAGATATCGAAAGCAATTATTGAACGAGGTGAGGATATCGGTGAGGTCACACGTTGGTGATCACCGTTGGTGATCCGCCAAGTACCTCTTTCTGATCTCAACTCTCATGAGACAAACCATGTTTATTTCCACATGTTCCTTTTATATATGTATAATTACATATATATATATATATATGTTATATATGTATATGTATATATAAATATATCTATTGCAATTGGAAACTCAAACAACGTGAACCCAGTTTCCGAAAGGGCTATGAGTTTCCTGGTTCCAGTCACCAAAGTGGTGAGTTCTTGAGCATTGACCATCAACTCCCGACAGGCTACTCGTCCATCATGACCAACTTGCCAAGGAAATTGTGGACCCAAGTCCTCCGTGCGGAGCACTTGGATAGATGACATGGAGGGAAGCCTCTGACTCAAACTGCAATCATGAGTGACTTGGAAAAAAACCTTGCAATCCATCAGTTCCGTTCAGTTCCGTTCAGTTCATGATGTCTCTCTTTGTCATCTCCGTGAGAAAACGGCACCCAGGCCGTCCTTTCGGATGAGACTGAGGTTTTCGTCTCTGCAAAGTCCAAGGCAAGCCCTGCATTCAGCACCTGGCCATAGTTTTGGGATCAAAATCGGGTCTCCCGAAAGAAATTGGGGTTTACCGAGTCCACCGTTCACTGAAAATTGCCGTTCACATCTGCAGTTTTCAGACCTTAAAAGTGTTTTTCTCAATGTTCTGGACAAATGTCCCCATAGTTTCCCATAGTTTCCCATCATGGTTTCCCATTGACAAAGCTGTAGCAGGGTGTACCCCTCAAGCCATAGGGGGATAGCATTAGTTGGCCATCGCTATCCTACCACCAACCCAGCCCTCGTGCCCCGCCTCCAATGGAAAGCGCTTCTCCCGATCCGTCTTGCCGATGTGTCCCATGCCCTCGTGCTTGGCTTCCCACTCCTGGCGGCTGATGGCTGTACCTATTGCTTGTTACTTAGTTACTTTATTGGTTACGGTTATACGGCAGTAATGAGGTAAACCCCAAAAATAAATTGGATATATAATTCTGGAATATTCTGGGTATCTCTAGCTATATCCACATCTGTCTTGCTTCCCCATCTGTGTTGACGAATCACTATCCTTCATATGTAGGGGTCCACACAATTTAGATCAATTTAGAATATGTTCCACCACAAATGTTCTCCTAGATACTAATCAAGTGGGCTCAGATGGGACAAACGCCAGTCTCATGGGGTCAAAACCTCTAGAATATATGTCAGAATTCAGGTCTGCCCCCCTAAAAAAAGGTATATAGTATATAGTGACCAACATCATGCTTGTTTAGAAATGTGCTTTAAAACAAATAGGAATTTGGTGAAGAATTTGGGGCGTCACACGTCCCAAGCGCTGCCTGCTCTACCTCCGTTAGGCCATCGGTGAGCACTACGGGGAGCCCTGCACAAGGAGCTTCAGTTCTCCTGGGCTCCCCAGTCAGATGTTGTTGCAGCCAGGCCAGGGTGAATCCTACATGATGGGAACTATATGGAATGAAAAACTACTTAAGGATTCTTGGGGATAAACCATGATAACCATGATAACCCATTGATAAACCATGATAACCATGATAACCCATTGATTCTTGGCATTGTATGAATGATAAACCATGATAACCATTGATAACCCATTATCATGATGATGGGAAGTCAGCGCAGCAGCGTATCATTGGTGCATTTTAATATATCCAGGGACTTTTTATGGCAGCGTCAGCCCCTGGCATTCGAGCCGCCCCAAGGCATCAGCTCATTGAACTGCGTTCGGACATCATCTTAGTCCCTTTCAAACAGTTCCTGTGGAAGCAAAGTCATGCACCATCATGAGAATCATTGGGGCACCCACTTCGTAAAGTTCGAGACTCACATACAGTCCATGCAACCCAAAAAAAGGACCATGTCGCATTGTGGCATGTTCCAAAAGATCCAAAAGACAGAGTATACTCAGCTACTCCATTCCACTTGAAAGCCTCATAAAACCCGGACAAAACCTCGGTTTTCCACATGGCTATTGGTCAAAACCCTGGCACCTAGTGAACCCCAAGTCATAGCTGGGATTTATGGATGTTCATCCCACTAAAAATGGTACTTATAGGTATTGACCCATACAAAAACCTATGGTTCTTCCAGTTCTTCCAAGATGAATCGCCATTTCGATGGATCGCCAAGGATCAGCGTGACCAGGTCCAAGAGGCCCACGCGGGGCGAGGTGTTGGGCTTTTGATCCTTCCGGGCCTGGAAACTGATGGGATGGTGGAGGTTCAACTTATGTATGTGTGTATATATATATATATATTCTGCATACATCTATATATATATATATATATGTATATACATGTGTGAGTAAAAACATAATAGTCTATCTTTGGAATATCATTATCTTACAATAATATTATGTCATTAACTCTTATATATATATATACACCTACATATATATATATACACACACATACATTTATATATATACATATATATATATGTACATATATATATGTGTGTGTAAAAACATAATGGTCTATCTTTGGAATATCATTATCATACAAGAATATTATGTTATGACTCTTTTACATGTATATATACACCTACATATATATATACATATATATACATACGTAGAGAGAGAGAGAAAGAACAAGAACAAGAACAACTAGAATAACTAGAATGTACTTGGAATAATTAGACTATACCCACATACATAGTATTATACTACAACAACAATAGTAGTACAATTTATAACGCTTTCTTAAGCCTGAAAGCTATGGTGGACTGATTCCCTTTTGGTTGCTGGGAGTCAGGAATTCTATCCGTTTCCCAGTCCAATTTCTTCACCATTTCATCGTCCCAATGGCTCCCCCAAGAAAAATGCCTTGTACCAAAAAGCCATGATCATTTTATGGTTTCTTGATAGATTTTGTATGATCTTATAGTTACTGTATTTATATATATATATATGTAGTGGTTTATGATTATAACTATAGTCCTAGTCAATCCTAGTCATGTATTGTGTATATATATATATATGTATACATGTGTGTGTTTCAGCACTTAATGACGGGTATATAACCTCGATTGCCCATGATGAACCCGCCTCTCCCAAACCAGTGGCCACGGCCATCTCCAGCGCACACCAAGTTCTTCGGAGGGCTTCGCCCTGGCCATGAGTTCAATCATGTTCACACCCCCGCTGCTAGCTTATAAGTTATAACTAAACAAGTTTAAAGGAATAAAAATCCACCTATCCAAAATCTCTCGAGAATTATTTCAACCCGCCACTTCTTTTCGTTTTTATTCTACCCATATTCTGATAGCTGAAACCTTTGAAAGGGCCGTAGGGTTTCTATTGCTTACAGTATCTGCCATTGAAATTTATGTGGTCAAACCAATCGTACAGCATCTAAGTGCCAACCACAAAAGGATGTCATAATAAGCATCCTCGAATAAATCTTGAGGTTTACCCATTTTACAAGGGTCTCGAATTGTTTTGGGAATTGGTTTTTTCCGTTTTGAGATGTTTTTTTGGATCTGCTTTTCTACCCGTTTTCCTTTCTATTTGCAGCATTTTGGAGCTGGAAGCTGCCATTTCAACTGTCTTTGCAACATTTTGGAGTTGGAACCTCTCATGTTCCATTGAATTATTTGATATTATTTGTAACATTTTGGAGCTGGAAGCTGCCGTTTCAACGGTATTTGCCGCATTTTTGAGTTCGAACCTTCATTTTCGATGGAGTTTGCAACATTTTGTTGCTCGAACTGTTCATGAAACATGGTAGTTTGCAAGTAGGGTTCATTTAGTGTTGGTTTTAGGGTTGGTTTAGGAGTTTTGTTTAGTTTTAAGTTTTTTAAGGGTTGGTTGTAGAGTTATGTTTTGTTTATTTCTTTTTTTGTTAAAGGGTTAGTTTAGGATTTTTCTAGAGTTTGTTTCAAGTTTTATTTAGGTTTGGTTTAAGATCTATTTATGGTTGGTTTAGGACCTATTTAGGGTTGGTTTAAAGGTTTGTTGAGGTTTTGTTTAGGATCTATTTTGCTCTATTCAAAAATATATTTAGGGTTGGTTTACGGTTTATTTGGGTTTGGGTGAGCATCTATTTGGGGTTGGTTTAGGTGTGTTTAGGGTTTATCCAAGTTCAGTTTAGGAGAGCTGGTGTAGGACCTATTCAAGATTGGTTTAAGGTGTGTTTAGCGTTGGCTTAAAATTTATTTCAGTCTGGTTTAAGATCTATTTAGGGCTGGTGTAAGGTTTAATTAGGATTAGTTTCAAATTTATGTAGGGGGTGTTTCTTTGGTTGGTTTGGGGGTTATTTATGGTTGATTGATTTAGGGTTTATTTATATGGTGTTTCTTAAAGATTTTCTGCAGTATAAGAAGCAAAAAAAGATAGTGAAAAGCAGAGAAGCTGAAAAGCAGGTAAGCAAAGCAGGGAAAAGCCGAAAGCAAAGAAGCTGGAAAATCAGGAAAACTGTGAAAAGCAGAAAAACAAAAAGCAGAGAAGCAGAAAAACAGAAATCAAAAAAAAAAAAAAAACGGAAAAAAATATACCATCTGGTTATTTCACATAGCCATGGAAAATCACCATGTTTAATAGGTAAACCATCTATAAATGGGCCATGTTCAAAGGCTATGTTAAATAACCAGAGGGTAATTTAAAAAAAAAAATACAAAGCCTTCATTGGGGATGTTGTATGATAAATCATCCCATAACTACATATTAAACTATCCTATAACTGATTGGCCTTACCTCACTATATCCCATCAAAGAATAACGTGAAAAGCAATCGAATACTATGATCATATCATTTAAAATATTTTTAATATCTCATATATTCTCGGAAACGATGACAGTATATACAGTAATACAGTATGCTGATATGTACCCTCTGGTAAACTAACATAACTATGGAAAATCACCATTTTTTATGGGAAAATCCACTATAAATCACCATTTTCAATAGCTATTTTGACATAACCAGATGGTACTCACCATTAATTCACTATTAGCCATTAATAACCACCATTAATCACCATTAATCCACTATTAATCACTATTAACCATAGATGTATCAGGGTCCCCAGGCTCCTGCGCGTTCAGCAGCAGTAGCACCTTCCGCTGCGCCAGGGCCTGCGCCGTTGGCAGCGCCTCCCCGGCATCGCGTTCGCCGGGGCCCAGGGCGGCCCAGGCGCTCCAGTAGGCCGTCCTGGCGACATCCCCTTGAAAACGATAGGTTTTTCCGTTTTTCCCATGAAAAAATCCGCCCGCACCGAAGGTGCTGGGGCGTGATCTTCCGGATGGCACTCGTAAAAGGTTACAGGTTTACCTGGGGGGGGGGGCATTTTTCGGCCAAAACCTCCTGTTTTTGATAGGTCGTGACGCTCGCCTTCAAAAAACACTGTAAAAAACAGTACGGAAGACACCTGTTCGTGAACGCGCCCGTCCAAAATCGGCAAGCGAAAAGTGAAAAAAACCGTGTTTTTCAACTTTTTGACCTCAATTTTTTGGTTTGCAACATCTTTTTTTGCGGTTCCGCAGGTGGCCGGGCCCGGAGGCGGATTTTTGAGTTTTTGGACCCGTTTTCGGACTGATTTTCGTCGTTTTGTGATAGCAGAAACACTGGTTTTTACAGTGTTTTTCTGTTTTCTGCATGCTTGACGGCTAGCTTCAAAACTTCCAAAAACCTCGTAAATTACGCTGTTTTATGTTACGGTGTGAATGAAAACATCGTAAATACCAGTGTTTTTTTGACGTTGGTTAAAAAACACTGTAAATTACAGTGTTTTTGGCCACCCGACCCTCAAAAACAATGGTATTTGCAGTGGTTTCTGCTTCTCACCGCGCAAAAACACTGTAAATAACAGCAATTTCGCCGTTTTTTCATGTTTTTCGTTATTTCTTGAATTGCGTTGGTCCGCTATACATGGCTATCAAATTCTTCGCGTTTTTTTTTCCGACAATCAGTATTTTCGGATGTTTTTGGTCTCAATGGCCGACATCATTGGCAGTTACGAGCGGCTGCCCAACGATGCGGTGCGGGCGGTTGCCGTCGCGAAGCGACGTGAACATGAAAAAACTAGAGGAAACCATGGTGTTGAAAACTGAAAAAGCGGTTTTAGCGATTTTCCCTTCGATTCTGGGGTGGTTTGTTGATGTTGTTAGTGCTTTGCTTCAAGAGGGAAGAGACCAAAATTTGCTTTGTTGGTTTTCCAGTGGCATGGATTCGACTGTCTTTAGGTTGAATCCAACCCGGCAACTGCAAAAACAGATAGCTAAATTAACTTATAACTTGCTTGGCGAGGGTTTATGGAGAATATAACTCATATAACTATATATAGTATAACTATAGTATAACTATAGTATTCATGGGTTTATAAACCACCTTGTGGAAGCCGCTTTGGGCTGTCCTGTCGGCCGACATCCGGCGGATGTCCAGATGCTTCGCCAGGCACTGCACAAAGGTTGGCACGGCCTCAACGCGGGAAATCGAAACTCGGTTTAGAAATAGGGGGCACCAATCTTAATAGCTGTAATTTATCTATGTATAGTGATATACATGTGTATAGATATATAATGTATATTATGTATATATATATATATATAGTGATAGGCATCATATATACATATACAGTGATAGGATGTCATGTATCACTATCTACCACTATTTGTTGCATCAGCCATGGCCACAAAGCTGCACATAATGGGTGGAAGTCAATATTTTGGGGATAACTCCCTCAACAGTCGGGGTTGATGAATCCGCCATTGACATTCGTCATCTGTTGCAAATGTCAATGGCTTCCACTTGACCAGAACCTGGATAGAATACCAAGCGGCCTCGCCCCACCAGTGCGAAATGAACCACATCTGCTTGGGTGCACAGCTGTCAACCGTCACCACTTCGGTGTAACCTCAGCCAAGTCCAAACAGGCTTGGATCGGGGGGACCTGGTCTCGTTTTTCCAGCAAGGGACTACAAGGTGAAGGTCCCGAGTGGAGTTTGTTGGTTTTAAAAAAAATGAATACTATAGTTATATAAGTTGCATATATTATGTATATATATAATGTATATATATAGTTATATATATATATGTACATACCATATTATATATACATATCCCACAAGCCCTACTTAACCAAGTTATAAGTCAAATACTAGCTGGGATTAGCTGCTCAAAATGCTCAAGGCCCAGAAACTGAAATCTTCCTTTGAAGTCAGGGGCTCGATGATCCAATGATTCACCTTCAATTTGCACCGCTTGCCATGACGCCTTTTTGCACATGTCCAGTGATTCATATGATGATCTGATACCTTGGAAGTGGTGTCAGGAAATCCCATCCATCATGAGGTTGCAGCATCAGGTAAGAATCTGGATCTGCTTAAAAAAGAAGGATACGGATTAAATAATATGGATAACTTGGATAACTGATAACTACCAGTTTCATATATCTTGCAATTGTAAACTCACATGACTTACATTTGAAAATGTATCAAGTAGTGCCATGTGTCATGGCTGTGCCAGGATTTCTGCTGCCATTTCGCCTGATAGATGGTCACCTCCTCCAGCGGAATGGAGGGCAAGCGCTGCTGCTGGTCATACCACACGCAGCCGTTGCAGCTCACACCTGGAAGGAAACGATGTGCGCTGGGAGGTGAAACAAACTTGTTTGATAAAGTTTCTACCAGCAAAACCGCATTCATTGGAAGGATGCTTGACCATGCTCAAATCTTCACAGCTATGGCCCCTTCACAGCGGAGGGCCTTCAACGAAATGGACCAGCGCTTGATAGTAGTGCAGGAAGAGCCCACGTTCATCCACTCGATGGATGGCGGTGGCATTTTCGCTAGGGCTCAGTTTCTCAAAGTTCTGCGCCAGCGAAAAGTGACATGGAGCGAAAAAGGCAACATGGTTTGGGTGTTTGGAACACATTTGGGTGTGTCTAGGGTATTCCCCCAAAGAACAATTTTTAGTGGGGAATTTCACCAGACTGCTGGATGGGTGTACCTGAAAATGGGGTATAACTTAGTATACCGGCCAATGATGGCCACTCAACAATAGGGAAACACACGATGAACCATCCATTCTTGGGGCGTTGCTCAAGTAATGGCCCGAGCTTTCCAGTAGCCTTGAGCGTTTCAACCAACGGGCGCATCATCCCACTAATGGAGTTTCTTGATGCCTTGCCGGTGTCTTCACTTGCAAGTGGTAAGTTCTGCGAGTTGGTGATTTGTGATTCTATGGAAGAGCATCATCATTTAGCTGATTTTGCTGGACAAAAAGTGATTCTTCAGTGGGTCAATGGTTGTGCTCCGACCTTGCCCATTGGAACCAAGATCTCCATTTGGGATTTCGATCATGACTCTGCGAATGGGATTGCAACTGTCAAGGTCGATTTCAGTAGCCACACAAGGTGGGTGGTTGCTTTGCCCCGTGAAAAAGAAATCCAACTGAACGGTCGGTTCATTGAACTTTGTGCTGGCCTTGGTGGTTGGTCATGTGGACTGGGGTATATGAAGATGAACACGAGGTTGCTCATTGACAAGGATGTGAATGTAGCCACGGCTTGTAGCAAGTGGTTGAACCTTCCTTTGTTCAGCCTTAGTGAAGCATACGACATGGCTGCAGAAGGGAAAACGTTCCCATCGTGTGTTATCATTGCCGACATCTTCGACAAGAGGCTGTGGACGGTAATTGGATTGATTGGTCCTGACTTTGGCCTTGTCTCTGCTCCAAGTGAGCCTTGGAGTAGGGCCGGGCGTGGTTCAGGGCTATCTTCAGTAGATGGGAAGCTGATGGTTTTCATCCCAGAAATGGCACAGAAAACAGGTATCAGATGTTTGGTTGCTGAAAATGTGGCAGGGATTGCTAGCCATTCCCACTACAAGGCCATGGTGCATTCAGCCAAAAGATGTGGAATGCCAATCCGGTTCACTTCCATTGATGATTGCTTCCCAGTTATTCCAGTGCGAGGAGATAGGTGGCTTGCTACCTTTCTCACAGCGGAGATCCAAATTCCCATGTACCTATTGGAGTGGATTTCCAAAGTGAACTTTCCGAAGGTGCATCCGAAGGACTCCAGCATTGGAAATCGGGATTGTATCTTCCTCGACATGAATGACGAGGAAAGGCAAGAGCTTGTGCCTGATCATACAGCAATGTTGGAATTGTCCAATGCCAAGTACTTGCCATGCTGGTTGTTTGAGGATGGTAAGGCGGCTTTGGAGTGTCGCGCGCTAGGACCTCATGATATCTTGTCAGACTTGATGACTATGTGTGGTCGTCAGCATTTGTCTGCCGATGATTTGCTGTTGCACAAGGGACTTCTCACCACTTTGATCCGAGATCATGATGGTGTCAGGTACGTTAGTCCATTTGAGTGGATGGCCGCACTTGGGTGGCCATGCTCACTCCATTTGCCAAGGGAGATCGAGGCTGCCTGGACGGCTGCGGGCAACTCCATCTCCATCCCTCATGTGATTCTGGCTTTGTTCAAAACACACGCTTGTCTGCAAGATCGATCTCCTTGGGGAGCAAAGATTTTTAACCTGCGTGAGCTGATGAACATCGCGCTTCACTATCGAATCAAAGTTTCCAAAGTGAAACAAGTGTGTGGAGAGTCCACCAGGTGGCTCCAGTCAGATGATGTACATAGCTCGGTAGTACAGGTCGGTTCACCTCCATCCCCAGGTTGTGATCCTTTTTGTTTGGGTGGCTTTAGAGGTTTGAGTGTTTGTCCTGTTTCCGAGTCTGTGTCCGGAACATGCACCTTAGGTCCACTGCAGGGTTTGCATCCGACGGCATGCGTGAAACCAGATGATGAACATGCCCCTCCCCATGGAGGTGTACCGATCCCGAGTGCAGAGTCCTTGCTCAATGCATCCGCCGTAGGTCCACAGGGTTTGCATCCGACGGCATCCGTGACAGCTGAAGATGAGCATGCCCCTCCCCATGGAGGTGTACCGATCCCGAGTGCGGAGTCCTTGCCCAATGCATCCGCCGTAGGTCCACAGGGTTTGCATCCGACGGCATCCGTGACAGCTGAAGATGAGCATGCCCCTCCCCATGGAGGTGTACCGATCCCGATTGCAGAGTCCTTGCTCAATGCATCCGCCGTAGGTCCACAGGGTTTGCATCCGACGGCATCCGTGACAGCTGAAGATGAGCATGCCCCTCCCCATGGAGGTGTACCGATCCCGAGTGCAGAGTCCTTGCTCAATGCATCCGCCGTAGGTCCACAGGGTTTGCATCCGACGGCATCCGTGACAGCTGAAGATGAGCATGCCCCTCCCCATGGAGGTGTACCGATCCCGAGTGCAGAGTCCTTGCTCAATGCATCCGCAGTAGGTCCACAGGGTTTGCATCCGACGGCATCCGTGACAGCTGAAGATGAGCATGCCCCTCCCCATGGAGGTGTACCGATCCCGAGTGCAGAGTCCTTGCTCAATGCATTCGCCGTAGGTCCACAGGGTTTGCATCCGACGGCATCCGTGACAGCTGAAGATGAGCATGCCCCTCCCCGTGGAGGTGTACCGATCCCGAGTGCAGAGTCTTTGCTCAATGCATTCGCCGTAGGTCCACAGGGTTTGCATCCGACGGCATCCGTGACAGCTGAAGATGAGCATGCCCCTCCCCATGGAGGTGTACCGATCCCGAGTGCAGAGTCTTTGCTCAATGCATCGCCGTAGGTCCACAGGGTTTGCATCCGACGGCATCCGTGACAGCTGCAGATGAGCATGCCCCTCCCCGTGGAGGTGTACCGATCCCGAGTGCAGAGTCTTTGCTCAATGCATTCGCCGTAGGTCCACAGGGTTTGCATCCGACGGCATCCGTGACAGCTGAAGTTAAGCATGCCCCTCCCCGTGGAGGTGTACCGATCCCGAGTGCAGAGTCTTTGCTCAATGCATCCGCCGTAGGTCCACAGGGTTTGCATCCGACGGCATCCGTGAAACCAGATGATGAACATGCCCCTCCCCATGGAGGTGTACCGATCCCGAGTGCAGAGTCCTTGCTCAATGCATCCGCCGTAGGTCCACAGGGTTTGCATCCGACGGCATCCGTGACAGCTGAAGATGAGCATGCCCCTCCCCATGGAGGTGTACCGATCCCGAGTGCAGAGTCCTTGCTCAATGCATCCGCCGTAGGTCCACAGGGTTTGCATCCGACGGCATCCGTGACAGCTGAAGATGAGCATGCCCCTCCCCATGGAGGTGTACCGATCCCGAGTGCAGAGTCTTTGCTCAATGCATTCGCCGTAGGTCCACAGGGTTTGCATCCGACGGCACCCGTGACAGCTGAAGTTGAGCATGCCCCTCCCCGTGGAGGTGTACCGATCCCGAGTGCAGAGTCTTTGCTCAATGCATCCACCGTAGGTCCACAGGGTTTGCATCCGACGGCATCCGTGACAGCTGAAGATGAGCATGCCCCTCCCCATGGAGGTGTACCGATCCCGAGTGCAGAGTCTTTGCTCAATGCATCTGCCGTAGGTCCACAGGGTTTGCATCCGATGGCATCCGCCCCTCCCCATGGAGGTGTACCGATCCCGAGTGCAGAGTCTTTGCTCAATACATCCGCCGTAGGTCCACAGAGTTTGCTTCACGCGGCATCCGTGAAACCTGAGGATGAGCATGCCCCTCCCCATGGAGGTGTACCGATCCCGAGTGTAGAGTCTTTGCTCAATGCATCCGCCGTAGGTCCACAGGTTTTGCATCCGACGGCATCCGTGAAACCTGAAGATGAGCATGCCCCTCCCCATGGAGGTGTACTACCGATCCCGAGTGCAGAGTCCTTGCTCAATGCATCCGCCGTAGGTCCACAGGGTTTGCATCCGACGGCATCCGTGACAGCTGAAGATGAGCATGCCCCTCCCCATGGAGGTGTACCAATCCAGAGTGCGGAGTCTTTGCTCAATGCATCCGCTGTAGGTCCACAGAGTTTGCTTCACGCGGCATCCGTGAAACCTGAGGGTGAGCATGCCCCTCCACCTGGAGGTGTATCGATCCCGAGTGCAGAGTCCTTGCTCAATGCGTTCGCCGTAGGTCCACAGTGTTTGCATCCGACTGCATCCGTGACAGCTGAAGATGAGCATGCCCCTCCCCATGGAGGTGTACCGATCCCGACTGCAGAGTCTTTGCTCATCAATGCATTCGCCGTAGGTCCACAGGGTTTGCATCCGACTGCATCCGTGACAGCTGAAGATGAGCATGCCCCTCCCCATGGAGGTGTACCGATCCCGAGTGCAGAGTCTTTGCTCATCAATGGATTCGCCGTAGGTCCACGGGGTTTGCATCACGCGGCATCTCTGAAACCTGAAGATGAACATGCCCCTCCCCATGGAGGTGTACGGATCCCGAGTGCAGAGTTGCTCAATGCATCCGCCGTAGGTCCACAGGGTTTGCTTCATGCGGCGTCCGTGACAGCTGAAGATGAGCATGCCCATGGAGGTGTACCGATTTCGAGTGCAGAGTCTTTGCTCAATGCATCCGCTGTAGGTCCACAGGGTTTGCATCTGACGGCATCCGTGACAGCTGAAGATGAGCATGCACCTCCCCATGAAGGTGTCCCGATCCGAAATGCTGAGGCTTCGCTCAACGCACCCGCCAAAGGTCCACAGGGTTTGCATCCGACGGCATCCGTGAAACCGGAAGATGAGCATGCCCCTCCCCATGGAGGTGTACCGATCCGCAATGCTAAGCCTTTGCTCGATGCATCCGCTGTAGACCCATGTGGTTTGCATCCGACGGCACCCGGAGAACTTGAGAATAACCATGCCCCTCCCCATGGAGGTGAACTGATCCGAAATGCTGAATCATTGCTCAGTGCATCCACCGTTGGTCCCGATGAGGTGCATCTGACGGCATCCGTGAAACCGGAAGATGAACATGCCCCTCCCCATGGAGGTGTACCGATCCGAAATGCTGAGGCTTTGCAGGGTTTGCATCCGACGGCATCCGTGAAACCGGAAGATGAACATGCCCCTCCCCATGGACCCCATGGAGGTGTACCGATCCCAGGCGCTGAGTCTTTGCCCAATACATCCGCCGTAGGTCCACAGGGTTTGCACGCGGCATCCGTGAAACCTAAAGATGAGCATGCCCCTCCCGAAGGAGGTGTACCGATCTCGAGTGCAGAGTCCTTGCTCAATGCATCCGCCGTAGGTCCACATGGTTTGCATCTGTCCGAATCTGTGAAACCGGAAGATGACCATGCCCCTCCCCATGGAGGTGAACCGTTCCGAAATGCTGAGGCGTTGCTCATTGCAACCACAGTAGGACAGGGTTTGCATCTGACAGCGTCTGTGAAACCTGAAGATGAGCATGCCCCTCCCGATGGAGGTGTATCGATCCGCAGTGCTGAAACATTGCACAGTACACCTACCGCTGGTCCACAGGGTTTGCATCCGACAGCATCCGTGAAATCTCAAGATGAGCATGCCCCTCCCTATGGAGGTGTACCAACCGGAAATGCTGAGCCTTTGCTCAATGCATCCGCCGTAGGTCCACAGGCATCCGGTGTGAATGAAGGTGACCGGGCCCCATCTGAGGTTGCGGTGCCTACCACGTCGCCATACAGTGATGAGTACCCAGCATCCGTTCGAGTTGCACGTGATAACGAAGATGACCCAATGAATGGAATGCACGGACACGAAGGCCCTCCCACCAAGCGCATGAAAGGAAGTCAAACACATTGGGTCGCTTTGTCGGAAGAAACATGGGGATTCGCACTGTTCCCGGAAGTTGCACGTCCATTTGAGCGAGTTGATACTTCTGATCCTGATTTTGGGGCGTTGGCATTGACATCACTGCAGCATTGCCCCGACATGAAGGAAACAATTTCCAAGTGGATGATGCATGCAGTGATTATCACCGGTGTTGATCGGCTTTGGCCAACCACACGTGTTGCTACCATTGTTGATTGCGATAATCAATGGATCAAGGTAGGCCCGGTGAAATCATCATCCACAGTGCTAGAAATTCTCAGAAGTGTCCTGCCTCATGCAACCACGTCTGATTTTGCACAGGTGACTGTTGATGGAGCCAAGGTGCCCGCAATGTCTATCCCACCGGGAGTTGACCGAATTCAGGTTCAGTTCATCCCTGTCTATTACAAGGCGTCTATCAGCATGGATACTGGTGAAGAAATCAGCATGCCTGTCTGTGTCACAACCACTGTCAATGACATTTTGGCACAGTTGCAAACGCTCCGAGTGGTGCATATGTCATGCGTTCAAGTGATCCAGCATGAAAACATCATTGGATCTACTGACTATGTAATGAATGGGAGTTCTCTCAAGTTTGAGGTCCTGAGAAAGGCTGAGGTATTCCTGCCTGCCAAATTGCCTGAAGTTGCGTTGCCGGTAGGGTTGCTAGAGCCGCCTGCTCATGCTGACATTGCCAGGTCGTGCAATCATCCTTGCATCCGGTTGGCCATACGGGACCCAAAGTGGTCTACAGTTAGAACCATCGCAGTGACACGTGACACCACCATTGCAATGGCATTATCAAAACTCATGCCTGAGGAGTTCAGAGACTCCTGCGTCCAGATAGCTGAACCACGAGGTATTCTCCTAGGTAGCATGCCAGTGTATGTTCTCTTGGGTCTCACCAACGTCGAAGTTCAACTGCAACGAAAACATGATATTCCCGTGGCCACGCTGTTGGCCTTCCCTGCAACGGCATTCGAGGATCAGTTCCAGCTGGGAGTTGGACAGGAAATCCCTGATGAGTTCAAGATCAAAAGATGGATTAGGTCACCCTTCCAGGTCAAAGCGTATGAAAAAAACATGCAGTCTTCCTCCACATTGATGGAAGTTGCAGCAAGATTTTTTGCCCACTGCAGGTCAAACCAGACCTTGATGGTGCTGATCAACGGCCGCATCATTGATCCCCGGCTTCGAGTTGCTGAAACCGCGTCCAGTGATGTAATCACCGTCCGATCATGCCCATTAGCTGGAGGAACAAAGAACCAAGACGTGAAAAACATGATCAATCATCAGCTGAAGAGCCGAGGTGTCAAAGACTCTGAATTGAAAGCCAGGTCTGAGATGTTCATTGCCAAAGCCACACCTGAGGCTCTTAGAGCCTTCATTCCAGAGCCATACCAACAGCAATGGAGCAGCATCAAGAGCCTGGCAAACAGCCTGCAGGTGCGCCTTGTCACATCAGAAGAACTCAAGAAGTTCCAGCAAGACAAAAAAGATGCCAAGAAAAGTGAAACAGCTTCCACAGCAAGCACGTCGAAATCCGATTCCAACGCCTCCTTGCGAAAGTTGATTGACATGCAGGATATCACAGTTGATATGTCCTTCCTTCATGCAGAGGGTCAGGAGGTGCATCCTTTGCCCGCCAGTGCATTTGGTGCCGACAAGACAGGAGTTGCTGTGATGCATATGTCCCAAGCCAGTGCATATTGCCCAGAAGCCAAGTTGTCTCCCGAACCATTGGCAATCGTGGCTATTGGCTCCAAGCCTATTGAAGGAAAGGAAATCCAAATGTTCCCTGCTCGCAACGGCAAAGGGGACCCAATTCTCATCCCAGGATGTCTCTTCAATTTTGGGGAGCCGGCGATCTCCACCAAGGATTCGGTGGCCAATGTTGAACTTGAAGTTCAAGATGCGATTGTTATTGAATTCTGGATTCAGCGTGCGGAATGCAAGCTGTGGACTGATGTCAAAACACCATTGCTGTATCTGGGTCAGACCATCAAGGATTTGAAGAACACTCAGATCATCGCATCCTGGGCCATCAAGTTCTACACAGGCCCTCGTGCAGTGGCCACCCACGCAGATGCAAAGTATGCCCATGGATTCATCCGTGTTCTTGCAGAACATGTTGACCAAGTCCTGGTGAAATCCGGCCGTGATGGTGTGTATCTTGTGCCAAAAGGTGATGATCGTCGACCTCATCAGGCTTTCACAATCATTCAGGTACCAAACAAAAGCTTAGAATTGTTGGCCATGGCTCAAAGAACACCAAATGTCCTTGGTCTTGTGGACACCAATTCGGGTCTCATGCTGCGCTGCAGGCGCGAACATTACAATAAGGTCCGAGGTGCTGTTTTCCCTGAAAGCCCGTTGCCTGAGCAAGGTAACTATGAGCCAGGAGATGAACTTTGGACGTTGCGTCATTTGGCAGCCCACACGACAGCTAGCAGCCTCACCCAAGCCCTCAAGTCACTTGGGTGGACATCCGCAAAGGCACTCAAGCCTGTTGGGCCTAATGCCTGGTCAATTGCCGCGCGTGGAAGCCCACCAGCCATGCATGTAAAATTGAATGGATCGTTTGTGGTCATTACTCCAGTGTCCAAAACCAAGACAGGCGTCTCAGCCCAGGCCTTGCCAGTTCCGCTGAGTGCGCAATTGTCAGGTGCAGGTGGAACACCTGTTGTGAATCAATCACCGCCGTCCAGATTCAATGAGCTCAAATCGGAACTCAAAACACACATTGAGTCGTTGATTGAGGATAAGTTGACCGAAACCAGGTCCAATCTCCAAAATTTGAATGCCAAGGTTGAGACCACGTGTAGCAATGTTGCAGCCCTGCAAAAAGCGCAATCGGAGACTGACGGCAAGATCGGAAGCTTAGAGAAAACAGTCCATGAAAGCCATCAATCGGTAGTTGGTTCAATGTCACAGATGTTCCAGAAGCTTGAAGCCTCCATGAACGACCGATTCAACAAGATGGAATCGCATGAGTCCAAGGAGCCCAAAAGACAGAAAGTCAATGAGTGAAACGCATGTCCAATAAGGCTGTGGTGTATGGATCGAACCATCCAATGGACGCTCAGGAGCAGTGCCACCATCTTGCAGTGGCTAGCCGACCGGTATCCCACTGTATGGAATGGTGTACTAATTCGAAATACATATGCAGTGCACGCTGCTTGGACCTTTTGCTATCCAAGCCAAGTTTTTTGTCATTGCGACGTAGCATTCAGTGTCTGCTGTGTGCCGAAGTACAGCAGCCAGGTACCATACTGTCAGCTGGCTTGTATTTTGACTGCCCTATTCATTCCCATGCTTGTCATCTTGACTACATATTTGTTTATGATTAGCTTTGAAATCAAGGTGTTGTTCAATGCTGCCTGCAAGCCAACTGCTTTCTATCAAAGATGTCTCAGTCCGCACCTTCGCCAAGTTGCTAAGTGCCTGAAAACTAGGAGGTGCGAGCAGAATTTTATTGCCAGTACGGTTTCAAAAACCCATAAGTTGAGGTGTTGGCAACAGCCTCAAATAAGTTTTTATGAGTCTTTGCTCCGCAACCAGTCTTGCATGAGCAATAATGCTGATTATGACAATCATTCCCAAGAATGTGTTTTTAATTGGGACGCTCGAACATTGTGGTTTTTCAACCTTGAAAATAGGTTTTGGAGCCCCCAAGGTTCGGCCCCCAACTTTGAGCCACATTCATCCCTTTCATCTTCGGACCCCAGGATTCTGGACCGCAGATTCTTGAATCGTCAAAGTATTCGCTACCATTCTAGCCAGACTAGTGGTCAAACATGTCATCAAAATTTTGTACTCTGGGTATTACTCGTATTTTTTGCAGGAGCTTGTCGAATTGGGGAAGCGGCCAATCCCGGGCCTCCTCCAACTCCACCTTATGACCCCAAATTGTTGTCAGATACTAATGATGTGCTTTGGGTTGGCAACTGTAACCCTGGGCAACTTTTTGGCAAAGAAGATATTGTGCTAGAGTGGGGAGGCGGAATCTGGACTTTTAGTGAAACTTCTGCAACAACCCCTGCAATCAAGTACCTTCGCTCAAAATTTAAGGAAAAAAAACGTAATGCCCTTTTTGGGGAACCTGTTCGTCCACACCAAGATTCTTCCATCATGCGTGGTCGGGCAGGGGGAGTTGCAATTGTTTCCCAATTACCATGCAGAAAGTACAATTTCCCTGCACCAGATTTCCTTCATTCATCAACTAGATTCATGGACTCGGTTGTTAATTTGCATGGGAGCCGATCTATCTATGTATGCTCAGTTTATGGAACAACAAATCATAATCAACATGATTTGGCAGTTACTGAAAATATATTCAACCAGGCCGCTGAAAGAGCTCTCTCTTTCCGTGGTCCGGCAATAATTTGCGGCGATTTAAATGCGCCCCTCGATAAGTTTCCAGCTTGGGCCAAGCTCCAGCAGTTTGGCTGGGCCGACTCAGCTTTGTTGGATCAGAGAATTCATGATAGAGAGCCCCAACCCACTTCTAAGGGAACTGTTCGACATTCGTTTATACTTTGTTGTGGAGAGATGGCCAGTTCGTTTCTCACTTGTAGAACGGCTTGTGAATATGAATTTGATGCTCATCCGCTGCTTGTTACAGGTTTCTCAATTTCCACTTTGTGCACGCCAAGTTGGAAATGGGTTCTTCCAAAAGCATTGGATAAGTTTATATTTAATGAAGCTGAAATTGATGCGTATGGTGACAATTTTTGTCGATTGAATGCTGCGAAATTCCAGGATGCGATCCACAACATGGATATGGAAACAGCAGCAAAAATCTTTACCCATGGAGTGGAATCAACGTTAAAACATTCAGCAATTAGTTCTGAAGGAACCTATCAGTATATTCAACCTGGTCATTTTGGACGTTGGGTTAAAACACCACTCAAACTCAGGCTTGAAAATGTCCCTGTCATAAGACCTGCTCGAAACGGGGAATTTACTCCTATTGTGTCTCAACTAACCTTCAGCTTAAGGTACAGGACAAAACAATTGCGAAGAATTAAAGCACTAAGTCAACAATATTCATCGTTTCTTAAAAACAGACAAGAGACAACGCTTAGAGCATGCCGTAAGTTATGGAACTGCATCCTCCAGGCCAATGGATTTTGCAATGGTTTCCACACATGGATTGGGAAACACCTGGGCTTATTTGTCCCGCTGAGCCTCCCATCCCTGGAGTACATATGGGAACTTGAACGTGAATTTGATGCTTTTCACAGCGCTGAGATTCAAAAATATTATGCTTCTAAAAATGCAGCCAATAAGAAATCAATTGCAGACGATATTCAAGGTGGTGGCCACAGAGCTTTTGCAAGTGTTCGTGATGCTCCTGCTCCTCCTTTGACATCAGTCACCAAAATTGCCAGATATCAGATGCGCCGAGTGAAATGGACCAAGGAAGGCCGTAATTGGCTACCCATGGTTAGCACCCAAGGTATTTCCCATGAATACCCGATAACCTTTCAAGGTCAAAAAAGATCCATCAGCAGAATCCAACCCCAAGGTATTCTTTTAGAGTCCCCCGTTACTCTGAAAGATTGTAAAGATCTTGAAATTACACAGCCTGTGACATCAGCCCATCCTGAACTAATGCACCAGTGCTTGATCGCTGAGTGGAGCAAAATGTGGAAACGTGACCCGTGTCACGAACCTGCCAATTATTGGGATGATTTCAATCCCTTCTTACGATGTATTAATGATTGTCCAACTTGTGAATTTCAGCCACTTACCCCAGATCGCTGGCTTGCAAATCTCAAAGGCGTCAAAAAAAATTCTGCAAGAGGAGCGGATGGCTTCTCCACTTTCGAGTTGCAGCTTGTCCACGGTCCTTTGCTTCATTTTCTGTTAGACATCCTGTCTACGATTGAGAAGGGGGCAAAGTGGCCAGACCTTTGGACCCAAGCCAGAGTAGTGGTACTATCTAAGGGGTTTGAGCCTAAATCGCCATTAGATATTCGACCAATTTCCATTTTGCCTAAAATATATAGGACGTGGTCAAGACTCAGAAGCCTTGAAGTGTTACGCCATATTGGTTCAATTTTACCCCCGCAAGTTGCTGCCACTGCCGGTGGCATCTCTGCCGATTCTTTGGCGGCTTATACTGCTACTGTAGTTGAAGATGCTTTTTGGAATCGGGAAGATAAGTGTGGGGTGGTAATTGACATCATCAAATGTTATAACATGATCCCATGGACACCAAGCGCGATGTTGTTGGAAAACTCAAAATCCCCCATCAGTACATTACAGGACTGATGTCCCTGTTAAAAAATATTCGCCGATCCTTCGATATCCAAGGAAATTGTTCACAGTTCTTCAATGCTACCACTGGGATAGCAGAGGGGTGTGCATTGTCCGTTTCCTTGATGGCCGTGTATTCTTTGCTAACTTACAAAGTATTCCTTGCGATGCACCCGGGCATTCAACCTTTGTGCTATGCAGACAATTGGGGCCTGATTGCCAATGCCCCATCGCAGATCAAACCAGCCATATTCACGCTTTCAAAAATTGTTAACAGTCTTCGAATGGCCATTTCTTTCCCAAAGTCTTGGGTTTGGGCAACCAAGCTTTCGTGGAAAAATTCTCTTAACAACATTCAAGTAGATGGCCACACCTTCCCATATAAGACCCATGCAGTAGACCTTGGCTGCGACATTAATTATAACAGAAGAAAATTAATTACTGCTGGGAAAAAGCGTATTGAAAAAGCCACACGTGTTCTTAAAAGGATCCAGAAAATTAAAATACCTGTGCAATTTAAAAGAAAAATGATCCATTCTTGCGGATTTGGAACTATGGCCTATGGGTCTGAATTACAGCATATCCCATGTGCAGAATGGAAAACAATCCGTACAGCAACATTGGCCGCAATGCATAGGAAACAGGCAAGTGCGAGCCCGTGGATTGGAACCATGTTCAACCCATGCCCAGTTGACCCACAGTTAAAGGGGGTAATTCGTGCCTGCTTGTTTTGGAGAAGGTTCTTCCGAAATTTCCCTTCCTTAAAAGCTGGGTTTCTTGATCGAATTGTTAATTCACAAGCAGGACCAGGCCCGGCAGTTAGTCTGGGTAAGACCTTCAGAGCTATTGGTTGGGCACCTTTGCCAGATGGATTCCTCCAGCATACTCTTGGATTCCAGTTTAATTGGGTTGCGTGTTCAGTGACATTCTTGAAGTATTGGCTGCGCGTCTTATGGACTACACATGCTGCCCACAAAGCCCAATCACGGAAAGATTTTGATATAAGTTCTGTTGATGAATACTTGATGATGAAAGTCTTGAATAAGTTTCCATCCGACCAAAAACAACTGTTGGTGACGCACTTTACAGGGGCTGCTTGCACCGGCAACATGTATGCAAAGTTCAATCCCAATGTTCACCCCGAATGTTCTCTTTGTGGTGTAATTGACGATCGTGAACATCGCATTTTTAATTGTAAAAAGTATGAAATCCAAAGATTCAATGCCAAACCTCTTTTCAAATGGTTAGCAAAACAATCAGCTGCAACGAAACTTCTTGGCTTGGTTCCCTTGGATTTGAGTTTTTCAAAAGTGTTGTGGGAAAATCAGTTAGAATGGCCGGAGAATGTGATTCCCCTGGTCGATTTGGAGATTGCGCATGTGTTTGTTGATGGCTCGGCGTTCCATCAAGATTTGAAAATTTGTTGCATCTCAGCCGGTGCTGCAGTGAAGTGCCAGCCTTTTCAAACTGATCACACAAAGATCTTTGCTTCCCCGGTTCCAGGTGTTGATCATAGTGCATATCGCGGTGAAGTCTTTGCAATATGGGGCGCTTTGTTGAGTTGCTATCGGGTTCACCTTTACATTGATTGTGAAGCTGCCCTAGCGATGTTAAAGTATCTTTGTGATTGTCATTCCTGTAATGTCACACCCAAGATTCAGGACCATCATGATTTGTGGGAAAGGGTTTGGGTTCAAATTCGTAGCCGTCCCCCATGTATAATTGATTCCACTAAGACTAAAGCCCATACTGATGTTGAGAGTATTGACGACCCTTTTTTGAAATGGCAAGCAATGGCAAATAATACTGTAGACGCTTATGCGAAGCAAGCCCTCCTTGATTGGAATCCCACGTTTGCAAAAGCTTCTAGCCATTATGCCATATCGGCAGAAAAACAAGAATTCCTGATTGAATATTGTAATTTTGTTAAGCACTTGGCATCCAAGGTCACGGATTCCCCGATTAAGATTCAACCTGATGCCGTCATAGATTTTACAACACGTATCCCCGTTGGTCCGTTCTTTGTCCATCATGTGCCCCAGGCCTGCCCTGAAAATTGGCCTTTTGGTGAAATTTTTTGGAATAGGTTGAGCAGCTGGGCACAGTTGTTGCAATGGTCCAATGTGGAATCCAGGCCAACAGCCATGTTGGAACTATATATAGACTTTGCATTATATACAAAAACCATAGTACCCCTTCCAGTCAAACCTAAGGGAAAAAAATCAGCCAAATGCCAATATTATCTTGTTGATCAGAACTTGGAATATGCTGAAACCGAGTTTAAACTTTCACAGCAAAGTTTTACTTGGAACCGTATTGTTAACTGGACCCGTCACCACCAGTGTCCTATCTTCCCTGGTGAATGGGTCTCGCAATCAGGCGCCCTGAAGGATCTTGGAAATAGTTTTTGGGTCCCTGCTGTTAAACTGACTGCATCTTTAACCACCGGTGCCCTGCCGTATCAAAAACTACATTCTATTTTTGTCACCCCAATGGGGAAAAAGAGGAAAATGTGTATGCCATTCCGTCCTTAGTGGACACACAGATCGGCACCTGTGTATCCACCCTGGGAGGATGCATTCATTTGCATTCGATCCGGCATCTGTCATTTTGCATCCGTGCATTCGACTGTCCCATGGTGTGTCTCGTCGTCACCCCTGAATTTGTTGTTTTTTGTTGGTTTTGTTTGTGTTTTTATGTTTGTTTGATTAATGATCACAATCATTGGTGGGGACTTCACGCGTAGCTGGTTGTCTCTACCGCTGTCACACGGCATTAAAGTCAAAGGCGGAAAAAAATCCATTCTTGGGGCGTTCCCCGTTTCAGGTCCCAACCTGTCCTGCTGACATGGCGCAGCATGCAGAATGTACGCCAGAAAATCGCAGACTGGGATGTCTGGTTCCACCTCTCAGCTGGTTCCATGGTCCCAGAAAAACCCATCGCTGGGGGCCCCTGGGGGATGGACCAGCCGACTGGTGTGGGGAATGGCCCCCCAAAAGCTGTCGTAGTTGATCCAGAAATACTTGGTGAACTTCACAAGGTTGATGAATCTTTCTGAAAGGGAGCCTCCAAACTTCTTGTAATGCTGTCTGTTCAGGAATCTCAGGGTAAGTTTATATATGTCTTCCGCCTGCGTCTCAAAGGTGTTCCCAGCCAGTTCTGAACAAATGGTCGCAATGTCGGATTCCTGCGTGCCACTGCAATGCGAGCGCAAGACCAGTGTTCCATTCCTGGGGAAAAAAAAGAAACAATAATTTCTATTGATGTATGTACGCATGTATGTTACGGTGACTCTGCGATACTCAAATAAGGTCGAGGGGTCACTTGCGACACTCTTGTTTCTCACTTGCGACACTTTCGAAACTAATACGCCCTGGGGTGTGAGGGGTGGGGTGGGTGGGGTGGGTGGGTCTAGTATGGTCTAATAGTGTTCGTAACAACTTGCAACAGGACAGGACGCCCGGACGCTCATCTGCTATTGACTTTCATTCACGCCACAGCGGCCCCGCGCCAGGGTTCGTATCGGGGGTAGGGTGGGGTGGATGTAATAACGTTCCTGACAGTTTGCGCACTGTCTAGACGTTCGTGCCGTTTCTGTCCTTCACTCACGCTTGCACGCAGGCCCGACGCCAGTTTTCATATGGAGCATCAGATATGCATGTGCTATAACAACTTATCACCAACAAACAAATTCAATAAGGCCTTGCTCATAGACCTCACTAGCTTATAATAGTACTGCAGGCTTCAATGCCAATCAAAAAGCACTACAAGCGAGAACAAAAAAAACGTCACAAGCGAACCCCCGACCGTACTCAAAGCAATGCGTCGATGCACGACTGCTCCCCCGACATCCCACAGTGTTTCAATCTCCTGGTAGGAAATGTCCAGCTGTTTGCAAGCTTCCTTTATGGCTTCCTGGGCAGTTTGTGAATGTGATCAACCCTGCTTCGCCAACTCATACGAAATTGGAAATACTTAAGGATGTCCAGATCTCGTCAGGCTTACAGTAGTTTCCAGGGAAAACAATGTGTTCTATTGGTTTTTGTGCGTTTGGGCTCGAGTTCTAGGGTTCAAGGTTTAGGATTTTCATGGATTTTCGGGTTGGAGTTTGGGGGACTTTAGGGTCTGATAATTCAGGTTTTAGAGTTTCACTTGGTAGTTTTCTGCGAGCAAAAAAATGATTGGAGTTGCGCAGGACAACTGGCACAGCTGGGAGTTGCAGCGAACGGGTTTTGAAAGGGCTTGGGTCTGTCTCATTGCTGAGGGTCTGGGGTACCCTCTGGTAAACTAACATAGCTGTTGAAAATGGCCATTTATAGTGGATTTTCCCACTAAAAATGGTGGTTTTCCATAGCTATGTTAAATTACCAGAGGGTACCCATCCAACATCCACTGCTGTTCCAAGCATCGACCCCCGGTCGCCACGCCAGATCTCCCAGACGCTGCAAGTGAGTCGTCAGCTCCGGGAAACGTGGCCTCAGTGGCTGCCGTGGCCTGAGAAAGCATCATCATCATCATCATCATCAGCAGCAGCAGCAGCATAAGTCCTACAAATACAGCAACTACAGCAAATACGTTGAAATGCTGGGTCACGTGTGGTGCAATCAAACAACAGAATTGGAAACTAGGGAGCATTAAAATGGACCAAGATAATGCTGTTTTTCCCAACTTGAAGCACTCAATTGTACCAAGATCTAGGCTGGGTGAAATCCAGCAGAAGCATGATGAAATTCACGCAAAAGACAGCCAGAAAGCTGTCAGATCTGGGTTTCTCCAGTGGGAATTCGAACCATGACCATACAAAGGAAAAATCCCATGAAGTATAGGTGGTCCCATGAATTACAGGGATTTTTTTACCCCTTGAGAGTTCGGCCATGCTATGCCATGTTCGATAAGGAAAACTTTCCAAGGCACTGAAGCTTTCCTGCTGTCCCTTGTCGTTCCAGCGCCATGGCGGCAAATGCAGAAACGGGGACAGAAAGGGGATAGTAGCTGGGGTAGCCATTGCTGATGGGTATTGATGGGTAGATTTCGTTCAGTCCAATATGATGCAAGCTGGACGCATCTACGAAGTTCATGACTGTTGACTTTGCGAATTGTGTTGAAAAGCATCGTTTCTAGTGAAGACACTTCAATGATGGCACTCGCCCATGTATTGCATGAAGGATGCTCTTTTCATGTCTGGGCCCTGTCTTGGCAAAGGAAATGTGTGGACGTCTGGATGGCTGTTGCAGGCAACATCTACACAAATGGTCAGATGTTGCATGGTTACATAAGCAAGCAGCCTGAAAATCTTGGAGGGACATCAACAGCCTCTTTTTGAATCCTGCGCAGCCGGAAAACCCCAAGTCGCTGCTAAGACACCCAACAGAAGTCAATCGTTGCAAACCTGAAGTGGTAGAGTTGCAAATTATGCACCATCTGTGCAAGGAAAGAACGAAGTCAAATGGAAAGGTTGAAACCAAGAACCCAACTGATCTTCAACGATGACTTCAGCTAAGAAACTATGTTGTGGACAGCACTAAATCGCTTTGCAGGTACGGTCCGCTCTGGTATGTGTTTCACACAAGCGGCTACCAATGCAGAGTGCATACCTGCTATCAGAACCTGGGGTGGATCTGTTACCATCGGGTGATGTAAACCCGTGGCCTATTCTGACACTTCTTGAAAGTGATCCCACATCCTAAATCACCCCGTTTCACCTGAATTATACAAAGATACTATATCCGCAGGCCCAAAATAAAGATGCTATGGTTTTTGCAGGTTCCAATTCCATCCAATTCCCATCCCATCTTCCCATGCCCAGCTAGGCCGTATCATCCAGTGCGTCCGTCCCTGCTACGTCGAGACTCTCAGCTGATTGCGTCTGGCCGCGCGCGAAGGACCCGAAGGACCCCCAGGCGGAGCCGACATTGGAGGCGGAGCCGGGGCCACCTTGGCAAGTTTGATGGCTGCAACCCATCCCAACATTCATGGGGATTATATATAGTTAACCTAGGGGATTAGATGGGGATTGGATGGATTATGGATGGATTATTTGGAGATTATATGGGAATTATGTGATTGTATATATATATGTATGTCTATATTATATATATATTATTATATTATATTATATTATATTATATTATATTATATTATAATATATTTTATTATATTATATTATATTATATATATATATTATGTTATATATATATATATTATATATATACATATATTCCCTAGGGCCCTAGGCAAAGTAGGTTGGCCGAGATGATAGTGGATTATATGATCTATTCATGTGCATGGAAACCCAACTCCCAGTCAGATGACCCTCCAAAATAGATGGTCAATTAAGATTGGTTAGGATAAGCCCTTTACAATCGTGGTTGTCGGTGGTTAATAAGCCCTTCATGAATCTTACATTATTTTGGATCATCATCCCAAACAGAGTTGAAAATAAACATGAAATCACCAACTTTGGTGGACAAGTTGTTTCTGGTCGCAAAATGTCCTAAGGGTACCTAAGACATAAGCTTTTTTGCAGCTAGTGGACACCAAAGTCAGCAAGTCCCATCAATGACACCATGGCACGTTGGACTGCCACGGCAGCCGGCGGCCCGGCGATGTGGCCTCTTTGGGAAAGGAAAACCGGTAAAAACCAGGGCTCCAAGTTTGGAGGAAGAAAACTACGGTACAAACCTGGCTCGAAACAAGTCCAAAATATGTTGTTTAATCATGTTATAAGAGAGATTACTTCAATTTCAAAAACCAACAAAAAAATGTTGAGTATATAAATCTCTGGTCAATATGGGTATGGGTCAAAAGGTTCGTAGCCTGGTGACACCAAAATGGCTGGTAAATAGATGTTCATCCCATATACTAAATATGTATAGATAGTATGTAATAACTTTTCATTGATCCATCCACATATCTTTTTCGGCGCCCGTTGCACCTGCGGTTCAGATGTCTGAGGCAGCTCTGGTGCTTGTTGCAGGGGCGGCTGAGATGGGACTGCCTGGGATTTTTAGCACACAAGCCATTCGATCATCCCATGTCAAGGGAGCCAGCATATGCCAGCATGCTGGGGGATACTCTTTTATATCAGTCCTCAACGAGACATCGCACAGTTCAAAAAACAAAGAGACCTTTCAAATTGAAGGTTTGATCCAGCTCAAACGCATCTCTAATTCTCACAAGCGCTGCCAAAATTACCTATGTTTTTCACATTCCAAGTTGTCTTTCCCTTCTCAAGCTGATATGGTTCCTTCTCCCATGAAGTTTCCTGCGGTTTTGTTCGAAAAGGTGTTCTAAATCAATATATTTCTCCAGAGAAATCATTGGTAACCATGGTGGATGGCATCCCAGCTTTGCCAGAAATACCAATAGATTTATGGATTGCATCTGCACTTGGGTCTACATTGTCTACATGACTCTAAAACCATGGTCCCTTCTTGGCCAACGTTCCCAAGCAAAATTCCAGATCTCATGATCTCACCATGGCATGTTGGACTGCCACGGCAGCCGGCGACCCGGCGATGTGGCCTCTTTGGGAAAGGAAAACCGGTAAAAACCAGGGCTCCAAGTTTGGAGGAAGAAAACTACGGTACAAACCTGGCTCGAAACAAGTCCAAAATATGTTGTTTAATCATGTTATAAGAGAGATTAATTCAATTTCAAAAACCGACAAAAAAATGTTGAGTATATAAATCTCTGGTCAATATGGGTATGGGTCAAAAGGTTCGTAGCCTGGTGACACCAAAATGGCTGGTAAATAGATGTTCATCCCATATACTAAATATGTATAGATAATATGTAATAACTTTTCATTGATCCATCCACATATCTTTTTCGGCGCCCGTTGCACCTGCGGTTCAGACGTCTGAGGCAGCTCTGGTGCTTGTTGCAGGGGCGGCTGAGATGGGACTGCCTGGGATTTTTGGCACACAAGACATTCGATCATCCCATGTCAAGGGAGCCAGCATATGCCAGCATGCTGGGGGATACTCTCTTATCAGTCCTCAACGAGACATCGCACAATTCAAAAAACAAAGAGACCTTTCAAATTGAAGGTTTGATCCAGCTCAAACGCATCTCTAATTCTCTCAAGCGCTGCCAAAATTACCTACGTTTTTCACATTCCAAGTTGTCGTTCGCTTCCCAAGCTGATGGGTCTCCTTCTCCCGAAAGGCGTTCTCAAAAACATGGTACACTTGAATGGACAAAATGTGCTCTGAATCAATATTTTTACATGTAACCATGGTGGATGGCATCCCAGCTTTGCCAGAAATACCAATAGATTTATGGGTTGCATCTGCACTTGGGTCTACATTGTCTACATGACTCTAAAACCATGGTCCCTTCTTGGCCAACGTTCCCAAGCAAAATTCCAGATCTCATGATCTCACCATGGCATGTTGGACTGCCACGGCAGCCGGCGACCCGGCGATGTGGCCTTTTTGGGAAAGGAAAACCGGTAAAAACCAGGGCTCCAAGTTTGGAGGAAGAAAACTACGGTACAAACCTGGCTCGAAACAAGTCCAAAATATGTTGTTTAATCATGTTATAAGAGAGATTAATTCAATTTCAAAAACCGACAAAAAAATGTTGAGTATATAAATCTCTGGTCAATATGGGTATGGGTCAAAAGGTTCGTAGCCTGGTGACACCAAAATGGCTGGTAAATAGATGTTCATCCCATATACTAAATATGTATAGATAATATGTAATAACTTTTCATTGATCCATCCACATATCTTTTTCGGCGCCCGTTGCACCTGCGGTTCAGACGTCTGAGGCAGCTCTGGTGCTTGTTGCAGGGGCGGCTGAGATGGGACTGCCTGGGATTTTTGGCACACAAGACATTCGATCATCCCATGTCAAGGGAGCCAGCATATGCCAGCATGCTGGGGGATACTCTCTTATCAGTCCTCAACGAGACATCGCACAATTCAAAAAACAAAGAGACCTTTCAAATTGAAGGTTTGATCCAGCTCAAACGCATCTCTAATTCTCTCAAGCGCTGCCAAAATTACCTATGTTTTTCACATTCCAAGTTGTCGTTCGCTTCCCAAGCTGACGGGTCTCCTTCTCCCGAAAGGCGTTCTCGGGTTTTGTTCGTTTCTCAAAAACATGGTGCACTTGAATGGACAAAATGTGCTCTGAATCAATATTTTTACATGTAACCATGGTGGATGGCATCCCAGCTTTGCCAGAAATACCAATAGATTTATGGGTTGCATCTGCACTTGGGTCTACATTGTCTACATGACTCTAAAACCATGGTCCCTTCTTGGCCAACGTTCCCAAGCAAAATTCCAGATCTCATGATCTCACCATGGCATGTTGGACTGCCACGGCAGCCGGCGACCCGGCGATGTGGCCTCTTTGGGAAAGGAAAACCGGTAAAAACCAGGGCTCCAAGTTTGGAGGAAGAAAACTACGGTACAAACCTGGCTCGAAACAAGTCCAAAATATGATTTTTAACTCATCTTATAAATATACTTCCAACTTAAAAACTGACAAAAAAATGTTGAGTATATAAATCTCTGCTCAATACGGGTATGGGTCAAAAGGTTCGTAGCCTGGTGACACCAAAATGGCGGGTAAATAGATGTTCATCCCATATATTAAATATGTATATATATAATATGTAATAACTTTTCATTGATCCATCCACATATCTTTTTCGGCGCCCGTTGCACCTGCGGTTCAGATGTCTGAGGCAGCTCTGGTGCTTGTTGCAGGGGCGGCTGAGATGGGACTGCCTGGGATTTTTAGCACACAAGCCATTCGATCATCCCATGTCAAGGGAGCCAGCATATGCCAGCATGCTGGGGGATACTCTCTTATATCAGTCCTCAACGAGACATCGCACAGTTCAAAAAACAAAGAGACCTTTCAAATTGAAGGTTTGATCCAGCTCAAACGCATCTCTAATTCTCACAAGCGCTGCCAAAATTACCTATGTTTTTCACATTCCAAGTTGTCTTTCCCTTCTCAAGCTGATATGGTTCCTTCTCCCATGAAGTTTCCTGCGGTTTTGTTCGAAAAGGTGTTCTAAATCAATATATTTCTCCAGAGAAATCATTGGTAACCATGGTGGATGGCATCCCAGCTTTGCCAGAAATACCAATAGATTTATGGGTTGCATCTGCACTTGGGTCTACATTGTCTACATGACTCTAAAACCATGGTCCCTTCTTGGCCAACGTTCCCAAGCAAAATTCCAGATCTCATGATCTCACCATGGCACGTTGGACTGCCACGGCAGCCGGCGGCCCGGCGATGTGGCCTCTTTGGGAAAGGAAAACCGGTAAAAACCAGGGCTCCAAGTTTAGAGGAAGAAAACTACGGTACAAACCTGGCTCGAAACAAGTCCAAAATATGATTTTTAACTCATCTTATAAATATACTTCCAACTTAAAAACCGACAAAAAAATGTTGAGTATATAAATCTCTGCTCAATACGGGTATGGGTCAAAAGGTTCGTAGCCTGGTGACACCAAAATGGCGGGTAAATAGATGTTCATCCCATATATTAAATATGTGTATATATATAATATGTAATAACCTTTCATTGATCCATCCACATATCTTTTTCGGCGCCCGTTGCACCTGCGGTTCAGACGTCTGAGGCAGCTCTGGTGCTTGTTGCAGGAGCGGCTGAGATGGGACTGCCTGGGATTTTTAGCACACAAGCCATTCGATCATCCCATGTCAAGGGAGCCAGCATATGCCAGCATGCTGGGGGATACTCTCTTATCAGTCCTCAACGAGACATCGCACAGTTCAAAAAACAAAGAGACCTTTCAAATTGAAGGTTTGATCCAGCTCAAACGCATCTCTAATTCTCTCAAGCGCTGCCAAAATTACCTATGTCTTTCACATTCCAAGTTGTCTTTCCCTTCTCAAGCTGATGTGGTTCCTTCTCCCATGAAGTTTTTCTTGCGGTTTTGTTCGAAAAGGTGTTCTAAATCAATATATTTCTCCAGAGAAATCATTGGTAACCATGGTGGATGGCATCCCAGCTTTGCCAGAAATACCAATAGATTTATGGATTGCATCTGCACTTGGGTCTACATGACTCTAAAACCATAGTCCCTTCTTGGCCAACGTTCCCAAGCAAAATTCCAGATCTCATGATCTCACCATGGCACGTTGGACTGCCACGGCAGCCGGCGGCCGGGCGATGTGGCCTCTTTTAACAAACTTTGGCATAGTGGTGTGGGGAGACCTCCTGTAATATCATCAAACTTGTGTGAAACTGCGTTCAAACACAGAAAAAAAAAACATTTTGCCAAGGTAGTGTTATTCATTGCTAATAGTGTGCAACTTTCATAATACGTTATAATTAATATTAATATTATCATCAAACTTGTGTGCAGTTTAGCCCACTAACTTCCACCTAAATCATGGGATGCACCTGCACAGGTTCTTGCTGCAAGGGCTCCAGCGGTTCACGAGGCGGCTCCGGACATGCGGCACTTGGGCGATGTCGCCGCACCTGGGGCCCCCTGGTTGGATTGAAAATACGGTAGCCACAAATCGCAATGGTAACCTCAACTTCCTCATGTTTGATATCCATTAACATCCATTAACAGCCATGTTGGGTATTGCACCATTCTGAGATCCAAGATGCCCTGGTTTCAGCTTGGGGTCAAAAAAAAAACTCCCAAGGACCTGTCACCTGTCAAGGGACGGGCGATGGACGTTGGCCGCCTCCAATCCACACCAGCTCATCCCCACTACCTCAGTTGCTGACTCCATCCCCAAGAGTTTCATCTTTGGCCAGTGATGGCCTGTGATAGTTGGGACCAGTGATAAAACATAGATCAAATCTCTGCGGCTGGGATGCTATCAGAGGGAACAGGTGGCCAGCCTTCTTCCTCCTGCACCATGGGTCAAGGTTGGGATATCACTGGACCTGCAAGTGGGCGGTTTCAATATTACCTTCCGGTAATTTAACATAGCTATGGAAAATAGTCCGTTTATAGATGATTTACTTGTTTAAAAGGATGATTTTCCACAACCATGTTTGGTTACCAGAGGGTAAACCATCCATTTGGGACAAAAAAACGAGAAATGTGGTGGGATGAACCCCACCTTGTCCTCATCCTGCTTGTTCAAACTGGATCTACGTCTTGTGGCCTGCAGACTTTTAACAGCTTCCCAGCTTCACATCATGCGTCAGGCATCAGCTATTTTTTTTCGGGAAGGTCATCCTGATAAACTATCATAGCATATCATAGCATATCATACCATATCATAACATATCATACCATATCATACCATATGGGTATGGGTCAATACCTATAGATACATTTTTAGTGGGATGAACATCCATTTACCAGCTATTTTGATGTTCACCAGGGGTACAAGGTTTTGACACACTGCCATATCATACCCTATCATACCATATCATAATTTCAGTTTGAGAAGGTATCAACCCATATCAACCCCTATTACTCCCAGTGTGACCAGAAACCACAGCTCAGCAGCTGCACCTTGGCCTTGGACTGTCTGTTGGTCGACTTTCGGCTTGCCCCGAAGAGCGATTGAAATCGCTTGGAGTCCGGGACTTTCTCATCTTTCGGACCACTCTCCTGGGTCACAGATGTTTATTGTGGACCACAAACTGTGGACATCTTTGGACTGTGCAGTCGACCCAGATGTGAAAAGTCTCGAAATCAGAGATGCAACAGCCAACCTGCTCCGCCGCTGGATCTTCAGGATCTGGCACCTGGCGTGACATGAACTGTGGACTGTGCTTCAAAACACTGGCAGATTCGGCTGGTTCAAGAAAGATTCATTGCACTTTCGAGCTCGGAATGTTGTTTTGTGGGATTGAAGATGGGATACCAAAAAAAAACAAATGATTCTCAGTATTTTCACAACCAACAAAAATGCATTCCGGGTTTAGCCATACCCACATCATAAATACCCTCCGTTTGGTTAACATAGATCCTGAATCCGCACCTCGCACGCCACAAGTTGCTGGTCCAAATCCTCCACAATCGGAGCCGCGGCCTCGCTCCTTGGGCTCCATGGGTTGGATGGGTTGGATGGGTTGGATGGGTTGGATGGGTTGGATGCACCCCTGAAACGTGGATTTCAACCCATATCATGGGGAGATCGAAACCCCCCATAGATCGATGAAGCCCATCCCAGAGTCCGTGCGAGTTTTCGGTGGAGAAACTTGGTGCTCTCAGACCCTGCAATCATGGGCGAGGCGGGGCAGATATCTTTCGGCCCCATGTTTATGAGTTTGTTGTAATGTATTGTATATGTATTGTATATGCTTTCTCAGGATCCAATTTCAACAGCTGATCATATCCTTCCGGGGACCCCCCAAGATGCTGCTCAAGGCACTCCATGGGCACATCTTTCACCTGGCCCGGGATCAGTGGGGTCGAAGCCTCAAGTGGGGTAGGGGGGTTGTACGGTTTACATTTTGATATAGACTTATAGTAAAGCAATAGGATTCCATCATCTCCAAATTTACCAGTTTTATGGATGGTATAAACCATCACTCCATATGGCTGCTGCTTTATGACCTTGCTTTACTGACATTACACTTATAACATCCTATAACCAACCAATGAACCCCCAGTGGTCAAATTAATCCAGGCTTCCTGCATAGCCCTGGGCCTTCCGGAGCCGTTTGCGCTTGGGGGCTGGACTGGCGGGATCTTGCGCCTACCAGCCAGCTGAAAGCGACTATGGAAAGGAAAAACCCTTGAAGCAACCGTTAAACCGTTAGGCAATGATGATTAACTATACAAACATGGAAACCTGGAAGGTAAAGTTCAAAATCCATCAATGGTTACTGTGCAACAGAACCCATGCCAAACGTTCTTGGGCCTGTTGCATCAGTTCATCAAGAGGTACAATCCCAATTTCAAGTGCTTGACCCTGAGAAATGTGCGCTCATGAAAGGCAATGGTTACTGGATTTGTCTGAAAATAAGCTACAGCAAAAGTTCTGCGTGCTCTTATCATCCATTTTCCCTACGTAGTAGAATGACCCAAATCTTGAGACATCTTGAGACATTCTCTACCTCCGCACTGCCGGCTTCGCCTGCCTCCCCACTCTCCGTCGCAGGTGGGGTCCCTAAATCCTGAGCATCGTGACATTCAGAGTCTTGGGTAGAAAGCACCGTTTCCGAAAGTCTTCGGCATCAAATCAACAGTGGAACTATGTGGAACTGGGCAGCCTGAGAAGGGAGTTCCAACTATTATGTGGAGTCAGATGAGTCAGTACACTTTCCACCAGCAGAGCCTCTGTGGCTTCAGGAGCTGAAGCTTTGGGACAGTTGGACATCAACCTCAGCTGATGGCACCCGAAATACTCCAAATTCAGCTGAGATGTGAGATCTTGTCGAGGAGCGCAGAAGCAGAGAAGCAACTCTTTTTCAAATGTCGAGCAGCAGAGTGAGGTCCCCATTGCGCAGCTTGGCCTAGGCTTCAAGAGGCAACTGGACTCGTACAGCCCCCTGTGATCCATCCAGATTCTTCCACCTTGTCCAGGATATACTGGGATTTAACCCATCAATGGGGATATTGCATACATGGCATTACGGCGAAAGGTAGCCCAATACAAAAAAGTCCACAGTGAGCCGGTCCAAGTGAAACATCCCATGCGGGTGGAATCCTGGGTATCTACACGTCCGATTAGCCAAGGAAGAGCCCCTACATGGCGGCGTATGCCGGCTTAGATTCCGACCACACATCATGCTACACTTATAAACACTGCCACCAGGTCGCAACCTGGTTGACCTCCCCTTGTTGCAACCTCGGTCGAAGATGCCTCGCCCCTGAAGTAAGACACAGTGATGCCTTCCGCTTACGCCTCTGCAGTGATCGTCCATTTCCCACCCGAACCTCCTCCATCTTCCCCAATTAAAAAACCTACCTCCCCTACCCTGACCTCCACGTACCACGTAACACCGTAGGGCCCCGAACCGACCCCACCAAAAAGTTTATGACGGCGTGTCGGCCACACACGACCGTCGGCCTGACACCAGTGCCCAGGGAAGAGCCCCCACCCCCGTAGGAGGGGACCCAACGTCCCCGAACACGGGAAGGTGCCAGGGTGTCACGCCCCCCCGACTTGAACTTAATGACTGCAGAGTTGAAAGCCACCTACACAGAGGGTTTTTAGACTTGCAGGACTGGAATTGGGTTAGCCGCTAAACATTGACCGCCCCAGCACCTAGCCCTTCCCGACCTTCCTCCCCTACAACCTTGTACGGACTCTCGCACCTTGCTCGCATCGTTCTCACATCTCATATTATCCAATGCGCAATACAATACTTTAATCGTTCGCCTCACTCACCCATGTGTTGTCACTCTTCCCATATTCCCGCCACTAAATGCAGTAACTAAATTACCCAGGTCAGCGTTGCCCATCACGGGATCTGATACAATTAGTTGTGATGTTAACTTCATTGCCATCCCCCCAAGGTTCCAGCTGTCATTCTGACAGAACCTTGGCGACTTCACACCAAGCTGCAGCATTGGCCGCTTCTCGCAATCTTTTTGGCGCCTTCCAACCTTTTCCTTTGCCAGCTCCTTTTTGGCCTCCAACCTTTTCCTTTTCCTCACGCAGCACCTGCCGTCCCAAGATTTCCGAACTTCAGACTCCACTGTCTCCACTATCTCTGTTTGTGATATCCTCACTGAAAAATTTGGCATGACTCAAAATTGATCCTATGGACTTGATGGACTGAATGCCGTGAATGCCGCTTGTTGGTACAGACCACGCCTGTGGAGTCTCGTTTGAAATCAGCTAGATTCCTTCTGTTTGAATCGGTTCGATCCCTATTTCTTGCTCTTCAAATCACCCAAGCCCCAATCTTGCTGAAATCTCTCAATCCCCACATGTGTTTTGGTTCAATCAGCCAGATCCACGTTTTGTCATTACTCTAATGCCCATATTTCTTAGGAAATAAGCCAAATCCAAGATCTTTGGTTGTTCATGCCCCCCATGCTTGTTTGATCTTTAACTCACTCGAACCTCTATCTAATATGTTTTATATTTCTTGGTGATTGGCATCGACTTGAATACTTTGAATCCCAATTCCGCGTTCTAAAATCTCCAGCAAATCACCATAAAATCTCATTCATCATAAAATCACCAGTATACCCCTGTAAATCCCCATGAAACCCCTATAACTCACGATTAAGTCACCATGAAATGTGAAATCCCCCGGTAAAATCCCGCCTTTTGCTGCACCATCAGCTGGATCAGCTCGTCGACCTGCGACTGGTTCCAGGCCTGGATGGAAGATGGTTGAAGTCTGACAGTTTACCCAACAAAAATGTGGATTTTACCAAGAAAAGGGTGAGTTTAACCAACCAAAATTAGGAGTTTAATCAACAAAAATTGTGATTTTAACCAACAAATACTTGGATTTTACTACCAAGAATGATGTTTCTCAATTACCAACCAAAATGGTGATTTGGCATTTAACCACCAAAATGCTGAGGACGAACCAAGCATTTTCGTGGGATTTTTCACCAGTCCAAACATGGGGGATTCAACGTGATTTCAACGTAGATGGATTGTCCTCCAAAAACGGGGGAAAAATGGCAGTGTGTCAAAACCAATAGTACCCCTTTTTTGTTCACATCAAGTCATAGCTGGGTTAAAATGGATGTGAATAACCCCCATACCAAATGGTATTTTCATAGGTATTGATCCATAGCCAAATGATGATGGTCACCATGAATTTTGGAGGTATCTTCTTCCAAGGCGAAGCCACGATAAGCCTCGATATGTCTCTTTTTTGGAAGCAACAGAGATGAGAAACCACAGCCATGAATTCTGTATATTTCTGCTGGTTGATATCAAAGATGTATGATGTATGATGATTATGATGGGAATTCCAAGGTCAACAATTGATTGAAACACACTTTGAACGGTTACTTAAGCAGCATTCCATGCAAAGGTCATCATTTTCCAATTGTAAACTGTAGCAGCTACTGGGGCTATGTGGTAAAGTCAACACTGAACCATCCCCAATGGAGGCTTATGATGGGTTTTTTTCCGGTGTACCTCTATTTGGGATGCTGAATGGGATGGATTACTATTGGCTTTGCAACATGAATAACCAGTAGACCATGGTAGACATAGGTAGACCCATATTCCATCATTGAGTCGTGCTTGGTGAATACGACATAACCCCATCATGTCCCCATCATATCCTGTGGTGCTGGACCGCCCCAAGAACTGCCGCTCCGGCCTTCAACATGCCTTTGTCAGCGACGTTGCCTGCAGCAGTTTGAATGGCCTTGGAGCCCTGCAGACGTTTGCCTCGCAGGACATCTCGCAGCTTGGCCGCTGTGACCTCAGGATGGAATAGGATGTACTAAGGGAATAGTTCATCTCCAAGAGATAAGGTGGTGATGTGAAACAAATCCCCAGAGGCATATTCAGTGACCCTTGTACAAGATGGATGGATGGTTGGATGGATGGATAGATAGATGGATGGATAGATAGATAGATAGATAGATAGAAATGAGAAAATTATCCGGAACCAATGAATATAATTATGGCAAAAAATGGTGAATAGTCGATGGTAAGTGGTAAGTTTTATATCATAATCATTGTATGTAATTGTGTATGTATATATATATATTGAATATGGTGGTAAATAGTTGATTGATGGTATGCTTTAATATATGAGAATATCTCATGATTCTTCGGGCTGCCTAAACCGTGAATTCCTCAAACACCTAATTTTGCCCCGTACCCACACCTCAACATGAAATAAAAATAGTTGTGTTCAAACACTGCTGGAACTCGGAGTTGGAATGGTAAGACAGCCCATTCCAAAGCACTTCCCAAAAGAAATCCCTGAAACAAAACTGGGCAGTTTTTCCCTGGGATTTTTTCCATTTCCCCAATGTCAAGCCACGCCGAAGGGGATGAGTTCCTCTGTGAGCTGCAGAACACGGCATGCCTCCGCAGTGACATCACCTGGAGATGATCTTGGGCTGAAAATCTAGGGGAAAATGTGGAAAAACCTCCTCAATCTATGAATTAATCCTCATGTTCCCTCAGCAATTTTGGGGATTTACCATGATTTACTCAACTTTTGGGCCGTGCGGTGATGGTGGGTTCCTTCATTCCAATCAATTTTGTATCTATAGGAGAAATGCTTGGCACCGCATCTTCGTCTTGAAAACGTGACAGCAGCAGGACATCCATTGATATGCAGATCGGTCAAAACCAAGGGCTTTCACTTGTCACATGCCCCCATAACATCGATTGGGCGCCAAGCCAAAAAAAGAGATAAGTCAGATAAGTAGCCAAAATCCTCCCAAAATAGTTGCAAATCACAACTTTTCGATGTTTTTTGGGGTTACAACATCTACACTTGATGCTCGTCTGGTCCTGTGTTTCCCAAGGGATCCATCCCCTCGGGTGCCTTTCTCCTCAGCCATATGTCCCAGGCATCATTGAGGTGTGCCCCAGATTTTCTTGGATTTTAGCAGTAAAATGCTGATCAAAAATCAGGCTTCATAGGGGATATCATTGATATCATGTCATAGGGGATCTCATTGATATCATGGGATATATCACCGATTATAGTTGGAAAAAAAACATGAAATGATCATGGGAGATATCAGACATATCACCATTCTCATGGGATATGATTTGGGTTTTACATTGAAAATGGGCTAAATCCCAGCGCCATTTTCATCGGGAACATGAGATGACCGGCTAAGATGATGCTTCTGCCTAACTTATGCCTTATGAAAAATGTAGCTGCTACTCAGCTTTCTGGGATGCCCATCATGAAACGTGGACCATTCTCCAAGCTCTAGGCAGTTGTGGAATGGTTGTGGCTGTTGGGAAAAGCATTCCACATCTCAGAGGCAGTCACTGAGTCTTGTCTCTGGCACCAACATGGTTTTACTTGTCAACTTTGAAGCTATGAATTTGGCGGCGGAAGAGGATGCGGTCAGTCTCAAGATTTGGCCATCGAACCTACTGCAAGGTCACCACTTATTTGGGTTAGTCTACCCCAAAATCCACGTGTTATATAATTAGTGTTTAATCATCATTTTCCCATTTGAAGCAGCCATTTTTGGGGGCATACCACATGTTCAAACTTCAGACACATCCATTTCTTGAACTACTGATACGTCTGTCTGGGTTCTTCCGAAATATTCCGAAATCACTTACGGGCACCCTGAGAGTCAAATGCAATCTCCACTCATCTTCAGAACCAGAGTTTGCAGCTGAAAGGTTTGCTGTGTCATATACTTCCATCTTTCCTGCCATCCAGACACCTTGCAGTTCCTCCCACTTTTTGGCTTCTCAGAGATTGAGATGCGTAGCACATGAGCTGAGACGATGTGCAATTCAATTCCGGGGAGCACCTCTAACTGAATTCGCAGGACAAGGACATCAAAAACAGACCAAATCCTGGCTGCTGGCTACAGTATGCCATAGCATATTGCTATATACTGTAACAGATTTTTTCCCCAAAATGTTCACCGTTTCCTGGGGATCCTTGGCTTATCCCCCAACAGCCATCACCTATCAACCTTCAAGGACTGGTTGGAATTGGTTTGGGGGAAATAATCTAAGGGATACCGCAGAAAACCATAGAAAACCGAGAATCGCACACCAACTGATCTTCTGTTTAGATGCATGCTGTTTGTCATGCTTGCCTGGTATGACCATGTGGACAAAATGCCCTGGCCGTTGGTGCTCTGGGTGCTCCGACTATGGACAGTGCATGTGGCGCCCCGCCGTTTAGAGGCAAAGCACATTTTTGCATTCGTGCACCATGGATATTTTCTACTGACTGGGAGCTCTCTTCCTGAAAAGTTGCGAACAAACTTAGTCAGCAGTGACCAGCAATCTGTAGGAAGTTCATGGAATCTTCCTAATGTTTTGAGGCCAAGTGCTCACAGGGTGTGCCTTTCATCCAACAACAAACCTGCTGATGGAGTTTCCTTGTGAAGTTAGTGCTCCAAATGGTCAGCAAGTGGCTTCACGTTTCCTCTTTGCATGAAGCAGCAATGATTCAGATCCCCCAAATGTCCTTAAGCCCCCAACCTCCAAGGAGGTTTGGGTGGGGAACGTGGACGGGGTTTTGGGGACCAATCGTTCAATTAACTAACTACGAAGCCAATTTCCTTGCATCGGGAGGCAAGATGTGTGAGGGCTCTGCCATCAGCCAAGCAATTCACAAGACTCACCACTATGGAAACAGCCTCTCTTTTTATTTTGAAGTTCATTTTGGCAGAAAAAGTGCCTTTCTAGTGTCGTTGATGACAGGGCCCTCTTAACGCAACATCCGACCCGCAGCTTTGGCAGAAACTACCCAAGGGATTGATTCCTACGGAAAGGTGGCTCTAATCTGCCGCAGTCCGACCCCTTTGGAATTTCTTGGGTATCCAGTCGTGGCATTGGCATTTTGGGGCTCCAAGAAACTGCTTGGCAAACTTTCAGACCACCCTTCCGATCATTGGTCACCTGAGGCCACAGCCGTCGTAGATGCTTCGTGACTGCGTAAAGATTAAAATGTTGGATATTTGATCTGAATATTATATGTAGAATAGTTATTATAAAAATTGTAATACATGTACAATGTGCATCATTTATAGACATATATAATATATACATCATCAAAGCATATTGAAAAAGACATCACCGCCACTCACCAGCAGTTCCTACTGCACTTCTTTAAAGCATCAGCAATCCCCGCCAGTCGCGTGCCTCTGCAACGGGCACATCCTTAGTATCCAATCGTCCACAGCGGGATAGGTACAGCTCTGAATCTCAAGCTGCGAAAGCTTTCTGCCAAGGTGATGTTCATGTTTGAAAACTCCCAACCCACTGAGAGCTCAGCATGTATGTGATACCTGCGTGGCTGCACCAAACCTTCCTTTGTGAAGTTTACAGCCATTCGGCATGGTCCGCTTTGAGATTTCGCAAGACTCCCTTAATATGTGACTTCAGAAGGATGTCCTTTTCCCCACACCTTGACGAAAAGTTAGCAATGTGTCCGAAAATGCTCAGCAAAAACCCCCAGTTTCTGGCGAAAATCATGGGGATCATCATAATTAACCATGATTACCCCGTAGATTTGGGGCAACTTCCCCAAGATCTTCAGACCAAGCCCCGAAACCTGAGGTGCTTCGTGGATTCCGGGCACATGGCCTGAATTAGAATGGTGATGATTCGGTGATGATGGGGATTGGGGATTGATATAGTGCTGATGTGATGGAGATTTGATGGTGATTTTGTGGAGATATAATGGAGATTTTATGGTGATTTTATGGTGTCTAATGGAGCTACAACAAGGATATCATGCGGATCTAGTCGGGATATGGTGATATAATTGAGACAAGTCATGGGATATTGATAACAAGCCAACACTTCTTGTCGCTGTCGACCCCAGTGAGTTGGGATATGTTTGAGCCTATAGCCTATAGTTGTCATGAAAAACCCACGCAAATTATACGTGGAAGTGCACCCCAAGCCATGGATTTAGATTTCCATATTGCCCTTAAGTCCTTTCAGAAACCATGCAACTGGATCAACTCTTTTGGAGAATTCCAAGATATTTTTAAATCGCTGATGGCGGCTAAGCTTGTTCTGTGAACAAACCTTCAAAGGCATTGGTCCCATCCAATCCTCTCATATATCCCATATTTTATCAATGTTGATCATACCCTCTGGTAAACGTTTACATAACTATGGAAAATCACCATTTTTGAAGAGGTCAACCAACTATAAATCATCCATTTTCAATAGCAAACTGTAACAAATTACCAGAGGGTTTATCCCATGGTTTCCCGAAGATTTCCCCGAAAAGCCAAAAAAAGAAAACCCGCCTGACAGGATGGACGCGTCCTCTGCCACGTTGCTACTGAGCTCGGATCTGACCTTCTTCGCCAGCTCCTCTGGGATGATCATATCTCTGAAAAATCACGAAAATGTCTGGTAAGCAATTTTGTCGAAATGTTCCGAATGGAATTCAACCAATCCAATAATGGGCAATCATCAAAACCCCTGTCGGTTTGGCCGTCCAAAAACCTGGGAGTTGACCAACAAACAAAGGGTGCATATGGCAGTTGTTTGAACTTTTTTTTGGCTTTCTTTCCTGGTACCATCTGCCTTGTATTTGCAACAGCAACAGTTTGGAACTAGAATCTGTCATTTTGCATGGTATTTGCTACATTTGGGCATGGTCACTTTGCATTTTGCATGGTACTTGCTACATTTGGCCATGTTCGCCTTCCATTTTGTATGGTATTTGCCACGTTTTGGCACTTCAACCTCTCATTTGCATGGTATTTGCTACATTTTGGTACTTAAAACGTTCATGTGGGTTTCGTGAGGGTTTCTTTAGGGTTTCATTTAGGGTTTCTTTAGGGTTTCATTTAGGGTTTCATGTAGGGTTTCATTTAGGGTTTCTTTAGGGTTTCATTTAGGGTTTCTTTAGGGTTTCATTTAGGGTTTCTTTAGTGTTTCATTTCGGGTTTCATTTCGGGTTTCATTCGGGGTTTCTTTAGGGTTTCTGTAGGGTTTCATGTAGGGTTTCATTTAGGGTTTCTTCAGGGTTTCATTTAGGGTGTCATTTCAGGTTTCATGTAGGGTTTCTTTAGGTTTAGGGTTTCTTTATATTTCGTTCAGGGTTTCTTTAGAGTTTCTTATCAGGATTTCTTCTCAGGATTTTCAAACGTTCATGTGGGTTTCTTTAGGGTTTCATTTAGGGTTTCATTTAGGGTTTCTTTAAGGTTTCTTTTGGGTTTCATTTAGGGTTTCATTTAGGGTTTCCTGTAGGTTTAGGTTTCTTTAGAGTTTCGTCTAGGGTTTCTTTTGGGTTTCATTTAGGGTTTGTTAGAGTGTCGTTTAGGGTATCTTTAGGATGTTATTTAGGGTGCCATTCAAAGTTTCTTTAGGGTTTCATCTCTGTTTTTTTTTAGGGTTAACTTATGGTTTCTTTAGGGTTCATTTAGGGTTTCATGTAGGGTTTCTTATCAGGAGTTCTTATCAGGATTTCTTTAAGGTTTCTTTGGGTTTCACCTAGGGTGTTTACAAACAGGAGAGAATAAAGCAAAAGAAAAGAAAAAACAAAGAGGCTGTAAAGACATCAAGCAGAGAAGCAGAGGAGCAAAGCACAAAAGCAGAAAAGCAGAGAAGCAGAGAAGCAGGGAAAGCAGAGAAGCAGAAAAGAAAAGAAGCAGGTAAAGCACAAAAGCAGAAAAGCAGAAGCAGAAAAGAAAAGAAGCAGGTAAAGCAGAGAAGCAGACAAGCAGAGAAGCAGGAAAAGCAAAAAGCAAAAAGCAAAGAAGCAGAGAAGCAGGAAACCATACACCCAGGAACCCAAAAATAATTCCAAAACCTGCCGAAAAAATAAAAATAAATAAAAATAAATAAATAGCCCTCCTCAAACAAATGACTTAGGATCAAAAATGGGGAGACCTTCCGGTCATAAATGATGTGGAAATGAATCTATAACCAATTCAGGCATCTAGAATCAAATTCAGCAATTATAGATTATCACCCAGCAATTATAGATTATCTTGGAGCTCTTACTGGAGTGAGTCACCACCCCCAACTTAGGGTGAAATACCAGTGGAGCCACGAATCCGCTGCCCACCATGTGCGGCTCCTCCAATTCCACCTGCGAGGGCCTGGGTGAAGCAAAAGGGGGAAGCTGGGTGAAGCACCGTAAAACTTTACATCTTCATAGCGGAGCGTTCAAAATGAAAGATCAGTCACAATCAACAAGGCAATGTCCCGGAGTGAGATAGCATCCATCTAGCTGTGCCTGAGAAAGATCAAGACTTAAAATGCAAGATAGTCATATACCGTATCCAACCCTTTGAGCACAATTCCTGCTTCTCATGTTAATTCTTCTTGGTTTCTTCCTGAGCGATCTCTCTGGCTAGACTGGGTCACCCGCAAATCACCCAGTGCCATGAGACCTGCAGTGCACCAAGTTCAAATGGGCAAAATGATTAAATGATGATCATCCTTGGCCAGGATCCAGGAAATAAACAATCATCAATACAACCACGACCCCTGTTGGTTGGTGATTAGGTTGGGGGTGAAGCCCAAAATATTGGGGATCATGGAGTGTCACAATCCATGAACTGGGAATCCCCTTCTGAAGCAACCAGTATCACTTGGGCATTTTCCATTATGCATATATACATTATGTATATGGGTATGTCTGAAAATGGGGTATACCCCCAATTATAGCCATTTAGTAGGGATAATGATCAGCAAAACCATTGGGTGTAGGGGTACACTATTTTCAGACAAACCCATATATATATTTCAAAAATTAGGTACCCCAATAATTATGGATGGTGAATACTAAACTAGACTAACATCCATCTGTGGTCCCACATCGGTCTTCCATTTTGACCCACATCCATATATTATAACCATTAAATCACCATTAATGTGGGGGACCATTAAATCACCATCATTATAACATTAATGGGATTGTGGTCCCCTAGGTCTTCTATTATAACTATAACCCCATTAAATCACCATGCAATCACCGTGAACATTCCCCGAAACTTTCCTCAGCATCCAACGATCCCGCGCTCGTGACAGGAGCTCTTCATCGAGGAGCCGCATGCTTTGCGGTAGATCCTGGGCAGCGATGGGCTAGAAATCGATGTTGGCTCCGAATTGGGTATGTGTTTATGTTAGTTTATGTTAGTTTATATGTATAATTATGCCATAATGCATGAACATACATGCATACATTCATATTCATATAATTTCAAAATTATATATCTATATACATGTGTAATCATGTGTATATATGTATATATCCCAAAAAAAGAAACAACATGGGATTGATAATCCTGCAAGTCTAAAATCTGTGGGTTGGCAAGTAGTATAAGTTGCGACGCACGGCAGCAATGATCAGGGAAGGGGTTGGCTGAGCCCGGAGCATACAAGGCAGCCATCTTCAATACGCGTGCCTGACGGCAAGATTCTGCAATGCAGCGTCCACGTGACCACACTCTCAATCACTTGTTGATATCGTCCCTCGTCCTGAATTTGAAGATGTGTGAGGATCATTGAGGATGATTGAAGTGTTTTGTGGGCACCATCTGCCCAGGATGTTGCAGGCTTGCCTTGACGCTCACTGGAATTGCCAGGCTTTGTTGATGCAAGAAGGGCACCAACAACGGCCTTGGCATCGGACAGCAAGCCTTCCCTGGTGTTGTGAGCTTTGGGGCAAATACTCATCGCGTCTTGCATGTCGAATCAGAGTCGTTCACCATCTGCATGATAGGCAATGCAGTACACTGCTGTTTGTAAGTCCCCCAAGTGCGCTTGACCCAGTTATAACTAGCTCGAACAATGGTTCGTAACTAGTCCAACTACATTTCCATCAATCAAGCGATATGAAGCCACGTCCCTACCGTTTTTTGGATGCTTCTTCCCAGCATTTTTTCCATTTCGTGGATGGTTAAACTGTTCAACAAGCATTTCTTGGATTTCAAAAGCACTCGAGCAGTCCCACCTTTTGATTCCCCCCAGGACGCTGATGGTTACGTGGTGAAAATCGCAATCCAAGGCACAGTTCTTTCAGTTTTTCTAAGAGTCTGGAGCCATCAGCGTCCTGTGAAATTGGGATGAACCAAATTGAGGGATTAACTGAATTTGGTTGGAATGTGGAAATTTTGGCTGCTGCAAATTGTGTTTTTTTGGGGGGGATGATCTAAGCGAATATCCCGATGGATTTTGCGGGGACCAACTGAATCATGTGGTGTCAGAGATTTCGGAGCATTGAACGGTGACTCAGAGATTTCAGATCCTAAGTTCGTCCATTTTTATGAAAGGGGTATCCATGGGTATCCCATCAAATCGATCAAAGCTTTGGTGTATTGGAATGTATTGGATACACAAAAAGCAGGCTCCAACACCATCAAAAGCAGATAAAAGCAGTACATGCATCATACGCCTGGAAAATTCTTAGATGTGCATCTTCAGTAGATGCACATTTCAGATGTTCATCGAGGTTCCATGAATTTTCCAACGCTGCTGACTGGCTCCTGCGGATTTGAGCTGTGAAGATCCGCCCAAGCTTCCATGCAATAGTCCTTCAAGGCACTTGAAAAAGGCACAGAAAAACAGCTGGGTCAGCTGGGTCATCAAGTCAGCCATTAGGAATCCTTCAACTGTCAACCCTAAACCCAGGTCCCTGAAAAAAGCTGGTGACACTTTTGATGATCCGATGATCTCGGGCTGAGATGCCCCACATGGAGCAATCTGAAGATCTTCATCTTGGATTCCGTGGGCACTTCCGGGATGAGCCTCGGCGGCTACGGCTACGGCTGGGGCTCCAGCTCCAGCTGCCCATGGGCCCCAATGGTTCCAATGTGGTCCCGCACTGCCGGTTCTGACACAAGAACTCGCGCACCTCGGATTCGGTGCCAACAATGCATGAAAAGACTGCAAATTGTTGAAGGTAGGGAAGTGATTGGCACCTTTGAAACACCTTTTTTGGTCTCACCGATGCTATCAGTGACTCATTGGGTCGAGCAGTGATGCAACTTTGGCGAGACTTCGAAGCCTTGGAAGTCCCACTTAGGAATTGGAAATGACGTTGAAATGGGGGCAGAAACTTGGGTTCGTACCCAAGAAATATCCAAAATTGGCTAATGTCATAGAAAAATATAGTGGAACAGTGGACCAAGATGATTTGGGAGTGGGATGTTCCCTTCACGGACAAGTCATCCGAGATCCGGCAATCTTCGTGCTGGAACTGTCGCGAATTCAGTGCTCAACCGCACCCAACTTCGCGAGACACCAGGAGCCCATCCTGTAGCCTCCATGCTGGAGCTGCCGCGAACATTTCTCTGTCTTGGTTCACTCCATTCCAAAAATATTGCTCAATTCAGATCATCATTCCATTCAAGGATAAAAATAATGATAATTTATAATAATCAACAATAATAATAATAAAGGACATTTGACAAAGAGGTGCTGAGTTTCTTGGAATTTAACGTTCATCTTTCTCCGAAAGGCTGGATTTTTATCAGCACCAGCCGGAGTTCATGCACACCAGCGGGGCTGCATCCTGTACACCTCAAGCAGGCTCTTTGGGCCCACCATCTGTTTCCGGTTGAGCACACGGCTCCACTGCGCTCAGAGATCACAGCAAGACAACCTGGGACGATTCACAAGCCAAGCTGAGAATTTTAAGGGAGACCCAGGAGACCCAACCACCAGTATATCATCAGCATAGCCAGCATAGCCAGCGTCAAACCTCAACCTGTTAAGATTGGAACCAAATTCTCAATGGGCCAACCCCCCAGGTGGTTGGCGCACCTGATGCCAGCTGGACTTGGGCAGCAGGCACCCTCTCTCAAGTTCATGGCCATGCAGGCCTTGAAGGAACTGCAGGCACTTCCTGGCAGGGAAGTGGTGCTGCAATGTGCTGCAGCTCATGGTGGGTTTTGTCAGGGGCCAAAAAAAAAATATTATCTGTTGAAAATCCCATGGGAATGGAAACCCAACAAAATGCCGCGCAAAATCACCAGTCAATTCACTACGTGTTGTTTTCCCGTTTGTCAACGCTCCACTCCCCGCCACCTGGAGCTGCTTCCTCTGCGTTCAGCAGAGGCCCCTTGCAGCAGCTCAGCATTACGCCTTCCTGGCTTTCTGTCGGGATTTTTGTTGACTGACCCTCCGATAAACTGACATAGCTATGGAAGATCACCAATGTTGCTTGGAAAATCATCTATAAAACTATACATGGGCCATGTTCCATAGCTATGTTAGTTTACTTGATGGTATTTCAAGATTAGAATCATTTGAGAAATCAATCTTGCGATGAAAAAGACGAAGGTGATTGATGATGCCGCCAAGGTGCATCGTTGGGACAGCATTCTCCTTGTAGCCGGTCCTCTGCGCAGGTTGGATAGGCGCTGCAGCTGCTACCATTCTGACCAAGTACTCGGGCCTGGAGCATCGACAACGGCAGATTGTTCATAGTATTGAGATCAGGGTCCATCTGCTGTTCACATATGCATGGTCCATCTGTCCAGAATCTGCCTCGCGGGACCAGGGATTCGCACGCGGGACCTGAAGGGCAGTCCATTACGAACGAGGCTCGTTTTCGTGGGATTTCATCCCAGTTACATGGTCAATATAGATAATTGTGTATTATATATATATATACACATTTATATATGTTATGTATTATGTGTATACATATATATATATTATAATATATAGTATAGTATATAAATATACATTTTCATAATGATGGCCATGAATGCCATGATGTACAAATATTAAACAGGGCTCGTTGGCATAATTAGGAATCATTAGTCAATTTCCCGAGCTAATTGGACATTTATAGTAGTGTTGGAATGAGTCTCCCCTGTTAAACATCCTTCTGGTGAACCCGTTGTGAGGTCGCCAATGTTCAGCAAATCATCAGTTGATCAGCAGTTGCAGAATCCAACCCAGCGATTGTGTGAAAATTAGAATGCAATGGCAATTGCAAAAAGCGGACATACAATACATATTATGATATATTATGTATATAATCCGCCTCGTGCGATCAAGATCGTGCGAAAAGAATCTAAGCCAAAAAAAACAAAAGAACCCTTCAAATCTCTGCCCTCCACATCTCTTCAGAGTGATGCCAAGGTTTTCATGTACTTCTGAGGCATGTACGGACGGCTGCATTGGCGCACCCTCAGTGCTGCGAAAAAGGGGTCGAGTTGTCCCCTTCCATGGGAGCAAGACCCACAAAGCCTATGGAATGTCTTGAAATCAGACCGCATCTCATGCTTATTGTCAACTGGATTCAATAGGTGCGATGGATGTTCCTTGTTTCGAGCTAGGCCCGTTTCCTCCCCCTCGATTTGTTTGAAGCAGTTGAAGGCACCCCGCGTGCCAGCTGCCAACTGCATGGGAAAGAAAGATAAGCAGCTGTTACCGCGGCTACTGAAAGAAACCATGCACTAAATGGGTACAGCAAGAATGTCATGCAATCTCAAGTACCAACCAAAAATATATCGGTCCATCCCAGATTTGAACCCACCGAAAAGCTGCATTTGTTCAGCCACACATTCCCATGTTTCTTTCTCGCGTGCCAAGCCACGTCTACGCTGAAATCCACCACTTTCGCCCTTGACGGTTCAGCCGCATGCGACGGAACCTCCTCCACCTCTCGGGCTGGGCATGTTGGTATAATACATCTGGAAGATTCTGGAAGGTGCTACTTTTTTGAATAGGTGTACATCAATATATAAATGTCAACAATACCGTTACCTAGAAAAATATAGGCAATTTAACTGGATATCAATGCTGATTGGAGTATGCCAAGATCCAAACGGCTTTTCGTTTCTCGATGCCCTGCAGAACTGGACACTGTACACGGTGAGGCGGTTGCCTCTGCAGGTTGGTGAGACGAAAAATAAAACACTTTGACTGGAGCTCCTGGCATTGCCACAATGCAGGAATCGGCAAGTGCTGTCACTGCTTTGCAAATCTAATTGTTATCTGTTCCACCAGTTCCACCCAAAAAAATCTCTGCCTCTCCCAACTTGACCACACCGTCCTCGCGAGGTGTCGCTCATGTTACCAGTTCCCATTCCTCTTCATCGCTGTCATCCACAGCAAAGGCGGCGAGGTCCTGAAAGCGCCGAAAGTGACGAGAGTATCAAACGCAAAAACATCGAACCCAAAATGGCCATGGTTCAACTAAATGTGATTGGAAAACTGTAAACACTGTACACTGATTTGAAAAATCCAACATTCCAAACTAGCAAGTAGAAAGTTTATTGTTATGTTTCTATTAAACATGATGATTTCACCAAAAAAAAACATGGTCCCAATCCCCCCATCCCCTGCCTGTTCCTCGTCCATGGCTCTGTTCTCCGGGAGCTCCGCTGCCTCCGCCCGTTGCACCCGTTGCGCCTTGCGGCTGCCGCGCGTGGCGTCGAAGATGCTCTCGTAGCTGACCCGGCTGCCCACCACGAGGGCCGGCGCAGTGGAGTCATCACCTGATCCCAAAAAATGGGTATAGGGACCATTAAAAAAAAACAGTATGGTTGGTCTTATCGCCCCTTGAAATACATATACATGTGTATATATATATATACATATATATATAATGTGTCTATCTATCTATCTATCTATCTATCTATCTATCTATATATATATATATCATTATATATCCCATCAATGGATTTCTCTGAGAATCGGGTACCACCCTTAAAATCCCACTGGTAAATCATAATCTTGTCTCCGAAAGAAAGTTTGGAAATGAAGGGATTTGGATCCTCCAAAAAAATGAGGAGTCTTCCAGTGGATCCCAGAAACTCCCATAGGCTGATTTGAACAACTATCGGTAACTATCGTGTACCCGCATGTGCATGGTACATCCTTCTGCCAAGACTCAGACTCAATCAATTGTTGGCATGGTTTGAAACTTGACTGCACTTGATTTCATTGTCGGCGAACTCCAATTCTTGTTTTGTGATGATGACAGGATTGAGGTTTCATTTTTGGGCTGCAAACAACATGCTTCGATCTCATTGAACTAAAAATGTCATTCTGAAAACCACGAAGGCAGGATATCCCCATAGTTTGTCTCTATAGAGAAGTGCCCCACCAAGCTACAGTTTTTGATCTTCAGCCTCAGGAGCTTCTGTTGAACAAGATTCGTCGCGTGGGATCATCATGCCAAGTGGGATGGAAACTAAAACTACATTCAAAACTGCCTTCAGCAGTAGAAACCTGGATATCTCATGATATATCCCATTAAATGGTGTAGGGAAATAGGGGAATGATCTATAAACAGTCATCCCATTCCCTCATTCCCCACTAAGCACCAGTAGTGGCCTGACTCAATGGCATTGCTGTGGAAGAAGAGGTTCGGTCCCCCGTCCTCCTGGATGATGAAGCCCCATCCCTGGCAAGGCTTCAGCTTCCCAACATGAAACCAACAGTAGATGCTTGTAACAGAACTCCACAATCAAAAAAAAATGGCAGACACAAATTGAAACAATCATGATAATTTCGGATAAAAGTTAAAAAAAAAAGAGTAAGCGAGTAACAATAGATAATAGAAATATCGACAACCTATAGTGGTTGTCCCGCTGCTGCTCATGTCACTTTGCTCATCATGAGACCCATGTTTTCCCTGCGTGAAAGCGCACCTTCTCAGGGAAGAACTTTTTGATGGTGCCGTGCCTCGTGAAGGTCAACGGATGTCAACGGCACTGGCGCGGTTTTTCCCGACCCAATTTGCAAACCACTAAAGTGAAAAACCTGGAAAAACACTACAATATACATCAATATACTACAATACCATACCACCCATACCTTCGTTCCCCCTGCAAAGTCTTTGTGAAATCCCCATCCCTTCCAACCCCCTACACCATTCCTCATGGTGAGAGTTGATTGTCTGAAAATGGAGCGCCCAAGAATTTGATGGTTAATTTGCTTCACTAAAATCATGATGACTGGGGTATACTGCGACTTTGAAACAGACCCAAATCATATTGTTGATTCCAATGATGATATATCCCCTTAAATCTCCATGGTATCCCCATGGGATATTCCCAATTTTTCTGGCAGTTTTTATCCATTCAAATCATCCAACTTTGGACCCAAGGCACAGGTTCTTGATGGTGCTTCGATCCACATTGCAGCCGAAGGTGAGGCCATATCCCCCGGTGCCGCCGGTGACGCGCAAGGCGCAGAGCCGATTTTCTTCTTCGATGACCTCGTCGCCATGTAAAAAGATTATGGGAGTCCACCACTCTGAGGGGGTAAGCCCTGTATACATAAATACACACATAGTATATATATATATAATATATATATATATATTATATATATATTATATATATTATATATATAGATACATATATACATACATATATGTATACCTACAATATAACAAATATGTATATATATATAGAGAGAGAGAATAGTTATGTATAACGTATTTGTATTACATGTGTATATTTACATATATAGCCAAACAAACACGGGTATGTGCTTTCGCATCTGTAATTAAACCCGAAAACTCATAAGATGGTGTCACTTGGGGATGGCTGTAGTTAGGAAGTTAAGACCCAAGTTTGTGGATTTAATGCGCCATTCCTTTAAGGATTTTATTCCACTGAGTTTCTGCTCCCTTAATGTGGTGTTTTTTCAATGCCACAAGAGCTCCAAATTTGGGGATGATTTACATAACCCATTTAACCAGTGAATGATTGTACCCTCTGGATATTTAACATAGCCATGATATAGATGGCTCTTTTATAAATTGTTTACCTATTGAAAATATTTGAAAATGGTGATTTTCCATGGCTATGTGAAATAACCAGATGGTAGATGGTTTATTGATTTTTCCACATAATGCTACCTCCAAGGCACGTCGAAGCAGACCTTATCCCCTCGCAGCAGCATCTTTCCATCCGCAATGGCGGAGCGATGCACGTAGACGTCACCGCCACCGGGTTTCCCTCGTCGGATGAAACCATAACCGTTCAGCGAATTGTAGAACTTCACCACGCCGGACTGGCTCATCAGCGGATGGCTAATGGAAAGGAAGGCCTGGCTAGTTGAGTTTGCTGTTGGATGTGTATATCTGTTGTTGGCAGCTTTTTGGTGATGGAGTACTTCTCCATACTTCTCGGCTGTTGTGAGATGTCAATGTTCTGTAATACTTTGCTAGGTTGCTACATGAGCCAAAACCAACCACAGCATTCGAACGTCACGCATCCGACCGGCGCTTAAACACTGGGTCCAAGAAAGGTTTACTTTTGCCCTTGACGTGGGGTTTGACAGAAAGTAGTGGTGTCAAGTAGTTTCAAGTGACAGCAATGACAAATTCATACAAATTCTACATAGTTCTTGTGACTTCCCATCATTGGTGCTCTCGCTGAAAGTTCTGTGGTCCGTCAGAATAAGTTCACCGAGTTGACCCTCATTTTTTCAAACTGAAGCGGCTTCAGAGCCGATCCACACTTGTGTCACGTAGACTGGAGTGAAACAGCCACACCAAACAAGCCCCTTTCTTTGCTCTTCTCAGTTGCAGATCACGAGTACCTGAAGGAAATATACTGATTGAAAAAGCATGTGTAAAGCGGTAGGAAGCGTATGATAATCAAACAACATCAGCGCAGCGCTAACATCTTTGATTTCGGAGCTCAGTTGAAGATGTTGAAGACTTGACAGAAAGGTTTGCATTTGATTGAATTCCTGTTGTGATTTAAGCGTCCCTTGTTCTCCATTGAGTGTCCCCTGTGCAACCCAGGGACCTCTTGGTGAGCATCACGTTTGCGGCAAAGGTCCTTTTCTTCGCTGGATTCAGCATGACCTCGTACGATACTTCGTCTCCGATTGCCAGCGTGTGGAAATTGCCTCAGCCACCGCAACTCTTCCACTACTTCAATCGATGACATCGCAGGTCATGGTTAAATCCTGACATATATAGCATAAGTATAAGCATCCACTCCGGCCCAACTCATCAAAAATGCAATGCAAGCTGTGTCGAAGCTCATGACAAGCAAATGTCGAGTGAAGCAACAGCAAGCAAAGACCAGAAAATGAAACGAGACAAAGAAATTTCAGAAACGTCCACTAAACAATAGGATCCGTGAATGTAACGCGACTTTGTCTAGCGGTATGCCGTACGATGATATAATGTAAGCTAGCACAGCCTGCATTACAGAAGCATACCATTCTTCAGTCTTCTGTCTTGTGATATGGCTATGGCATGGAATGAAATATGCACGGAAGCATACACAAATGCACGGTATAACGACTCTTACGTTGGATTCTTGGATGGCGTATGTCGCCAAGGGACCCTTCTTCAACTCCGACTTGTGAAAAAATAGGTCCTTGCCATTCACTGGGCCCGAATACGGCCGAATAAAGCCGATGCCAGCAGACTTGATCAGTTCCTGCAGGTCGAAAGGACTTGGCACTCGGACAAAAGCTGCGCAAGAACGCGTTTGAAGGAGCATGATGCATTCTAAAGTGAAGATTTGGCAATTGAGACTACCAGAAACGATCCAAATTTCAATAGTTTGAGAGAGAAAATTGGAACTACGTACACCTACCACATTCTTGATCATTCGCCTTTTTTGAAATACATGAGGTAGAAACTTGAAGCACAGTCTTCTTGAACCACTGGGTGGCGGCATGTGTGTTCTGTTGTGTCTTAAGTTTTGACCCTCCTAAGCCGTGACCCTCCAAACCACTGCAGTAGGGATTCATTTCGGCATGTGCCAGCCGTCACAGACTATGTTTCACTTCCCTTTTGATCCGAGCAGGCCTGCACCGAACCGATCGTGCCCCACACCTGAAAGCGTATGCGATTCGGCAGCAACTTGATCTGTTATTTGGATGATCGGTCAGGGAGGGTAAGTTTTAAGGGTATGTTCTCACCCAAGGGGAACTTTGTATTCGCTTCGGCAGTAGATTGCTGACCTTGGATGACCTTGGTCATTGGATGTCATTGGTAGGATATCGCATGCACTGCCATGGCGCCTGGGTGAGCCGCATCTTCTCTCTCAACTCCGTTGCTGCCTCCTCTTGCCTGCACCCCATGCCGACATGGCACAACTGATCTGGTTGATGCTCACTGCATTTTGGGGATGTCTTGTTTCCCTTTGATATTCCCTCAGTTCTCGGTCAAGCAGAGTTTCGCTAATGAGGGATTGCCGCCGCAAATGTAAGTCTATGATTCAGTCAATGATGATTTATATTAGGATGACATTTGACGTACCAACAGTGAGCTCACAACATGACATATGAATGATACTCAGAAACTTTGCCCAGGCGCTACCCCGAGGATGCATTTCTGTGAGATCAAATACAAGTACATCAACTACTCTTGCAAGGTTTTCATGAAAACCGTCAACTTTGTCTGTGCAATGGCACCTATGCGCTTCTCTTTGCCATCGGTTTGTCTCTTCTTCGGACAATTTCAATTGGGCCTGGCCGAAGAATGATACAGGATCAGTGTCTGCAGGGGACTTTCCCCCAGACTAAAATTGAACGTGACAAAGATCAAGTGGAACAAATCAGACATTTGCTTTGATGCAATGTTCAATCTCCGCTTTGGAAAACACGAGGATCAAACAAATGAAAATGATTGAAAACGCGGAGGCGCACGGCAAAACAATATGCAAGGAAACATGATGGTGATAGTAGTGGTGGTGGTGATGATGATGATGATGACGACGATGGTGGTGTCGCCACAGATTGTGTGGACAAAAAAAAACAGGTCAAAAAACACCTGCCCTGGCTCAAGACTTGCGATATCACGCGCACGATTCCAGTACGAATGGTCCACATCTTGCAGCTGCAACATGCGATGAACTGCTACATGGCAATGTATCCAAAGTGGCAACATTCAAATCATCTCAGCTGGTGTTCCATCCCAAAATCATTTCCACTGCTCTGTGCAAAAGCAGTTTAGTCCAACCGTGTCCAGATGCTGAACTGAGTGGAGATCTAGTGAGCCTCAGGCCACATATAGCTACTGTGTCAACATGCTTGGATGTTCAACGACCTGTCCGTTTCACCAACTTGGCTGCAGCCTTCACAGCCTGGCCTGGAGCACTTGGACCAATGCTTTCAGATCATTGGGCTGCGTCAGCGAGTGATCGTCCTGGACTGGTACTGGTCTTCGTTGAGACTTTCAGCAGCTCGTCTTGAGATGGCCGGCTGATGATGATAAATCGCATGTAAAGATCTTGTTGGATTGCACTTGGAAAGTTCTTGTCTGATCGCGATGGATCCTTCCTTGAAAACAAGTCTTCATCAACGCCACCAAGTTTGCCCAGGCCTCTTCGGGACTTGACGGTTCGTCCCCGCTTCCCTTCGCAAATTGCTACGGTTGGAAAATGTTGGAAAATTGGTCAGTTAGGCAGCTTGAGTCAAAGCAATGCAACTTTGCTGGGGGTATTGCGATTGTTCAAGCCGTTGCTTGACAGGCCATACAACATTCCACCGTGTTTTCAAATTCAAAGTCATAGGTAAACAGCGTTGTGGATTATGTGGTGTTCATAACGGGAATTGGGTTAGCCTCGCCCTCGGAATCACTCCCAGGAAAGGTGCTTTCAGTAGAGGTCTCCTGTGGCGTACTGCGTTGACCGCAAGTCCCAAGAAAACCACCCACACACACCTCAATCCTCCAATTGAATCGCACATCCAATTGATAATTTCTCCCTTGGGAAACAGAAAACACAGCTGGTGTATTTTATTTGACATAACTCACATGACATGCACTTGTTAAATCGTCAAAGAACATCCGTTTTCAGTGCACGTCCATGCTCCTCCTCTGAATCGCTCAGGTCCCCCATGTTGCCCAGGTCCTGTTCCAACGATGACAATCAAAGTTCACTTTTACCGAGCGCTTGAAGATTTGATATAAATATGTCTGGCACTTCCAAATCACCAGAAAATCTCAATTACAGTGTGTCTGCCAAGTGGTGGCATGTTAGTCAAAGTTTGGCATGGCTTCAAGAATGTTTCGGCACCATTTCTCAGATGGAACTTCCGGAACATTACAACGTTTGATTGTGACAACATTGCATCCTCTACTACCGTACGATCCTGTAATTTCTGTCCATCACAATACCATATGGAAGAAAGACAACCAGCTCAAGCCTCGGGCATGTTTGGGGGCGCTGGGGGCTGCTGCGCAACATTGCTGACCTGCCATTCGACATGTAAAGAAATTAAAGGGGTATTGCAAAGGTGGTTCACCAATGCGGAGACTGAAATGGGCTGAAAGAGTCTGAAGACTTGTGCAATGTGCAGGTGTGAATCAAGATCTTTTTCGAGGATCACTAGCCCATGTGCGGAGAAAGGCCATAAAAATGGATCACATCAAGGCCCAAAAGCGGACCAAACTGATACCACTCGTGGTTTCACTGCAAGGCTCAACTCGGCCTGGGGTGCAATCTGAAGAGCTCCCAAGAGCAAACCATCCCAGTCCTCCATGGTCATCATGAGGAATTTTGCAGCAAAACGATGGTCAGAAGTAATCACAAAAAACCAACGTGTATGCTGTATGTGTATAATTTGTGTACACACATCATACATATAATATAATACAATATAATACAATACAATATAATATAATATAATATAATATATATAGATAGTGTTCTTAGGCGAAATTTGAGGGTATCAATCTTCAACAAGGTGCTACGGTGCAGGAGCCTCAAGCTGAACGAAACTTTTGTTGCCGCTTAAGATGCGGAAGATGGCCGTGGACTCTTCGGTGGTCAGGCCCTTGGTCCATAATGAGGTTTCCTATGGGGGCACCCCCAAAATCATCCATTTTGATAGGAATCTTCATTGTAAAAAAAAGAACATTTAATTATATATATATATAATGATATATGTATGTATATATATATATACATATGTCCATTTAGATAGATAGTTCCATTTTGGGCTACTCATGGGTACCAAAATTTATGCAAACCCCCATGTCTCCATGAGCTTCTGACAAGGTCATTCGCCACGCGAGCAAAGATACCGACGTACAAAGTGTCACTGGCGCGAGGATCGGAGGAGTTCGAAACATCAGCTGAATTTTCTCTCTCTCTTTCTCTCTCTCTCTCTCTATCTTTCATTGCAAAAATGTTCAACTCAACTCCCTGAAAAACGACAATGTGATCAAATGGATTCAAATGGGACGAAAGAACAAGCGTACCCCCCCTCATGCCCCACCCCTCTCATCCCATGGCCTCCCCTTGCCGGCGAAGTTGACGAAGGCATCGGCCAGGCCTCAATGCTGGCGGGAAGGCCGACTCATCTTTTTGACAATCCAGTCTCCGGAACCATCGTTCTAGCGTTCGATGCAAGATGTGTAAATATCATCGAATCATCTATAATTATACATATATATATATACTATACATACATATAGTACTATACTGTATTACAGTATCAGTAAATAGCTATAGTGATGGTATTTGCCCCGTACATCGTACATACGTATATTATGTAAAATAGATTTTGCCTCATCGGCTTCAAGTTAGAGCTACGAGAATAAATGAGAGCGGAAGGTCTGCCAGAAATATCACTGAAGGACTGCATGCGTCTCAACTGATACAGGACTGCACTGCGTGAAAGTGTTCAATTTCCACGACTTTTGACGTTTTGATGTGGACGGGGACCCAAACTTGTGTCCGGCCATGCTCTCTCCATTTGCAGACGTAGTCTCTGCAACTGAGCAGGAATTGGTGTGGCTGGACTGGCGATCATGCTGCTTGTGGAATTGAATGTCTGCATTCTATGCTGTATTTATTTACGTGTCAAATACAACTTTCAAACCCCAGTCCATAAACAAGTCAAGCCTCTGGGCGTGACCGTAGCGGTGCGGAGCTCTCCGCAAAAGTTCCACCTGCTGGCAGCTGCTGTGTGGGTGAAGGGTGATAGTCCCAACAGCAGCTGTTTCTGCATCTTAAAAGGTTTTCAGCGAGTGCTCAAGTTCCCACCAGACAGTCGGTACATGATCTTTGGATGAGTCTTGAGGGCCTTGATGTTGTCGATTCATCTCAGTGAACAGGCGTGCCAGCTCCGTCTCCGGTTCCTCCAAAGCTGCCCAAGCTGCTTCAGCTGCTTCAGCTGCCCAAGCTGCTTCAGCTGCTTCAGCTGCCCAAGCTGCTTCAGCTGCTTCAGCTGCTTCAGCCTCGAAATAAGGAGGCTGTGAGGGGCACCGCCTGTCGCCTAATCTCAATCCAAAATGCCCGGACCTTTGGGGAGCAAAAAGTTATGGCAACCGAAGAATGCAACCATCTCCAGAAGAATCAAGATCACAACAGTGGATCAAATGTCAATGTGCGGATTCTTGGCTACATTCCACGTCCAACTGCGTGCCTTCTGAGGGAACAACAGGGAAGGAGGGAATCCAATGCCACATGGCTCTGGGGCATGAGGAATTCCCACTTGACATGGTTCATTGCTTGGAACAAGGCGCTGCCTCAGTTGTGAAATAAGTAAATGCCAAAAAAAGAGTGGGTAGCCTGTGTAATAGCTATATTAGTATCTATATATATATATATACATATTTATATTATACTAGTTATGTTCTTAAAAGCCCCCAAATCAGGTGGTTCCCAGCCTCGACCGGCGCTCTCGGAGTACTCGGAGTACTTCGTAGTTCTCTTCGGAGCTCCTGAACCTGGCGAAGCACAGGTTTTTTTGGGGACGCCGCCAGAGGCATCTGTCGATCGACTGGATCGATCGACTGGATCTGGCCTGAAGCCCGGCCAATGATTCTTCCAATGATTCTTGAAAGGCAGCCATCTGCATGGAAAAGAAATCAGCAGGCCTCGTCACCAAGCCAGTGCAGTCTGTTGATTTTCATGAGAGGAAAATCCAACAACAACTCAGCTGCTCATATTGTATGTTTGCCTCTCTGCTGCAGCTTTGGCAGCATCCGGATTCTCCATTGCCTGATTTCGAGCAATGTTTTCCTTGCCGACTCAATGTCTTAGGACATCTCCAAGCATCTTGGGAACAATGACTTACGCGTCACTGCGCTTTCACTTAGCTGCTCACTTGATGGGACTTCTGAACCCAAAACAGTGTGTTTTTTTGGTAGCACAGTGCTAGCAGTATTACCATACCATTGGTGATACCATAGCAACCATGGAAACCCCATGACAGTCCGGCCTCTGCAGCTTCCACTCACTGCGGGGCCTTGGTTAATCATAAATGGCTGGGAAATCCCTTCAAAAGATGGAGGTTTGCTCGGAAGATCTATAAATTAATCAATTATAGTTGACCTGTAGATTGTAGATACATTTGTCCGTTCTTGTTTCACAATGTCACATGTCCTACTCATCTGATCATGAACTGCTTTACATACCGGGTTTCACACCTGTTTCATGCGAAGGGCACATCGTCGAAGGTGTTCACGACGTTGCAGCATGGCGACAATCGAATTGAGGGTTGTCTAGTCAATCTAGTCAGCCGTGTTGCAGTCACTTGCACTGGACACACTGCAAACTCAATGGAATGACAGAGTGGTTGATGGTGTGGGAATAAAACTCTGAAAAGATCACATTGTCCAGAAGAAAATCAAACAACTCTATCAATGTTCGAAAACAATCTATTTGGGCGAATTTGCAGGAAGTCCAAATGTTGGGCCCAGATAATGTTGAACTGTTGAGGAAAAGCAATCAGTCTTTAAACATGCAGTGTGTGTGTGTGTGTCGGACATTTTGCGATATTGCTGTGACTGAAGCTGGTTTCAGCACAAGTCTGCTTGGAGAGCATGCAGAAACAAATCCAAGTTACTATAAGTTACTGCTCTTATGTGCTGGACATCAGCAGATTGATTATTGTGAGGTGGTTGCAAGTCTTTTGTCCCTTCTACATGTTTTCTGCGCAGCCCTGTTGATAACTTGAGTTTGTGTCTACTCTCCAAGGATGTGTGATGTCTAAAATGCCAAAATCGGACACGATTTCCATCCCTAGCAGTCACAGTCCAGCACGATGTGCCTCCGGGCACTCCCGCGGCCCTGTGATGCTCCGTGCATAGGCTTCCGGAGCCGCCTGCTCGGCCGGGTCGAAGCAAGCGAAATGATGCCGTGGGTTCAGAGTGCAAGCCACTGACAGATAGTCTTGCCTATACCCATGTGTGTATATATATATATGTATATTGGATTCTTGGATTTGAGCAGTAATATATATATTGTATTATATATATATATATACAGCAGTCATATTGGATTCTTGGATGCAGTGGACATGAGCCTAACATGAGGTTTTCTCATGGTGATTCGCATGATTTCATCTGGCAAAGGTGTTTGTTCTCGCGCCTTCAAATGGGACGTTGGGCCGGTCAACAGACAGCCACCATCGGGCCAATAGGTGAAGTGTGTGCAGCCAATGCTGATGGCACACTCCCCCTGGCGGAGTGGTTTCTTCAAGAACCCATCAAAAGGATCGGCATCCTGTCGGACTTTTTGGCTCTAAAGTTTATAAAGGTACTGCAGTGTCTGTTTGAGTGAGACCTTTTCTGCTACCAAACTTTGGATCCGAAGTTCCCATGCAGTTTGCTGGGAACCATCCACGACCATCCATGATAAATACCTCGTTTTCCCATCCCAAAATAGGTTATACACGACGAAAGCAATCAACGGAAGTTGCAAAAGGCTCGAACGGCTCCAACTCCAGGAGCATCCCACCTGGCACGCTTGAGCATCTGGCTGCAGCGATTTGAAAAGGTGAGGTAGTCTCACCTTGGCAGATGATGTCAGCTGTTCGGTTTGTCCTGTTCGAACCGATCCTAACCATGGCTGATATGGCTGTTTGTTCCATGCTGGGATGCAACCCACGACAAAAAAGTCCGGTGAAAGCCATCACATTAGTCAAATTACGAGCTGAAGTGACCTTCCCCAATGGAAATTGTTCAACAATTGCTCCCAACCGATGCCGGCACACCGGCTGAGGTTCGCACCGGATCCGCATAGTACATGCCCACCTGGTAGCAGCTGCCGAAGCCTTCGTCAGCTGGAGGTGGCCAACAACAACCATCCACCAACAACCCATCCCAGCACCATCCCGCCTTTTACAAAATCAGGAGCCAGGAAGGCGATCCCTTTGGGAAGCCTCCTTTGGGAAGCCTCCGCAGACTTTTTTCGTCACGGCTTCACAACCAGTCGTGGCACCATTCCCAATGCCCGCCTTCCGAAAACAAAAACTGCAAAGGCCAACACCAAAAGTACAGCCAGAGAGAGGATGGCAGTCCGGAAACTGCTCCTCTTGTAGAATGTCCTGCAGGGAGGCCACCCTACCTGAGGTTTGTTGGGCGACTGCATCAACCGTAGCCTTCCAAAATCCAAAGTGGGTTCTGACGGCGGCCGAATCTGAGCTTACCGGCTGGCAATCAAACATGGCCATGGAAATTTCCCCATTTTCGTCCGTTTATAGATGAGTGTCACTATTCAAATGTGATTCTAAAGCCATGTTTGATTACCAGAGGGTAGACCACATTGGATTTGGCTCCATTCTTCCCTTCAACTGCTGTCCACATGGTCCTCCACCAAATGGCAAATGAGTCTTTCGGAGCATGTGGATGAACGAGGGACTCCCTCTCGTCCATTCCTCCTATACCTCAAGGGCACAAATGAGGTCATTGGAATACAACGCTGCAAGCAAACACTGTGAACTGTAGCGAAAATGTAATGGCTGAAAATCATTGGGTGGGAGTACCTTTTTCCTCGCCATCACTGGTGGTTCTCTGTCATAAACTGCCCGAAGAAATGGCAGGTGGTCTGGCAAACTGAATTTCAACAAAGGCTAGAAAGATGGCACTAGCTCGCATTGACAATTGCCGCACCGAGAGAAGTCTCATGTGAAAATGAATGTTCCACCCTAATAGTCAAGATTTGTTCCCAAAATGTTTGAGGAAACAAGCATATTTGCAGATCTCCCAACTCGCATGCAGCATTTTGACCATTTCTGCTGTTAATCATCCCCTGATGTTTGGAGGATGTATTGGTATGTTTCAAATATACTCACCATCAACCATCAACTCATCATCCGACTTGCAGGCTTAGCATTGAGGCTCTTGCAGCTTGCCGCGGGGAAACCGCTGCGGCGGCTCAAGCACTGGGAGCCCAAAAACAGCTGCTGTTTGAAAGGAAACATCCATTGGTTTCATTCACTGGACCTCGCAAAAACGAAACTTATCTGTGTAGGTGTATGTGTACAGTGTATGTATGTATATACATATATATATATATACATATATATATATGTGGTTTATAAAGATGTGTGTAATTATATATACTGTATATATATATAATGTACACATATTTATATACTGTACATACATATAATTTACGCATACACATATACAGCTACCTTCCCCCCCCTGTGATGCCGCTTCTGATCTGAATATGTCAAAAATAAATGCTGCCGTGGCACATTTCGCTGGTGTCCCAGGATCTCAGCGTTCAAACGCTGCAACACCTTCAGATTCCGCCATTGCAAACAGGATTTTTTCTGAGAAGTTTCCAAAGGCCCCAAATTCAGAAGCTGATGGACCCATAACGTGTCGAAACGGAACATCCTGGTTTATTTCGACGTCGGCACTTGGACACCTTGTGGTTGTTGTTCCGCTGAGCCACCAATCGCCTTGGCGACCCACGCCGTACCCATCACAACTGTCCACCTTCAGGAAGGAACACCATGTCTCCATCCAAATAAGGCCTCTCTACAGAAAAGTCATGAAAAAGCATCTAAAAAAATCCGCCCCTGCAATGGGCCATGAAAAAATCGCCAAACTTGATGAAACCATATAAAACCTAGCTATCTGCGGTATCTTCCCAGCTGTCCCAGCTGTCCCAGCCGGGTCTCCCACCTTGGTGCCCCCGGCTGCGCGGCACCGGCGGTGTTCGTTTTGCGTGGCGAGGCGTGGCGCTCATCGGAGTCGCTGCTGCCCTGGGGTAGATGCTATAGCTCAGTATAGGTATAACCGCTCCCCAGGTCTGCCATTCATGATATATCTTATCTGTTTATGAAGTTTATTATATATTTACAGTATTTTGAACTGGCTTCAAAAAGCGCATGGAATGCAATGTGATGCAATGTGATGTGGTGTAGCAGGATATAACGCGATGTAATGTGTGTATATATATATTATATATATATAATTATGTGTATATATATATATATATGTATATATCTACATATATATATATAATTATATATATATGGGTAAATTACAATATTTCACTAACCTGAATTAAGGCCAATTTGGGGATGATTCCCCTTATAAACCATGAATTCCAGTGAGGTCGCAGTGAGGTCATTACAATTTACTCAATAATATATATATATAGTTATATTATATATATATATTATAAATATATATTATAAATATATATTATAAATATATATTATAAATATATATTATAAATATATATTATAAATATATATTATAAATATATATTATAAATATATATTATAAATATATATTATAAATATATATTATAAATATATATTATATATTATATATTATATATTATATATTACATATTATATATTATATATTATATATTATATATTATATATTATATATTATATATTATTTATTATATATATTATATTATATTATATTATATTATATTATATTATATTATATATATATATATTATCCATAGAATTGGGGATTGTGCCATTATCATCATTTTGTACATGGATGTACATTATCATCATATGTTTGGTCGGTTAATCCCCGTGGCTTTTGGGCACATTCGTTGCAGATTACGGGATAAAGGAACCCTTCATGAACCACTGCAATGGATATTGGATATCAACTTCCCATATCATTTTGACCCTGATTCTTTTAATAACCACCAACGATGTAGCCAACAATAGTGTGTAGGACACATAGCTCTTACCCAAGCAGTTGACCAATTGTAGGAAGGACATCACCAGTGATTGCTCTGGTTAACGCAGAACATGTCAGTGATCACTTCACTTTCCAGGTATGGACCCTATGGACGACATTTCACAGCGTAAGGTTGCCTCCGAATCTGGGTGTCCTTCGCCAGCATCAGTGGCCTGGGAAGCATAGCTAACCTCGACTTATCCAAAGTCAACGAATACTGATCCATTTCGCCAAGCAAAAATCAGCAAAATCTGTTCAGTGAGTCCCGAACCTCATCTGCACCGACGTCAGACTCATCCTGACATTGCGACAAAGGTCTTACCGTGGGACCTCAAAAAAGCCTGCACGTTCCATCAAGGTGCACAGAATCGGATTCACAAAAACCGGCAAAGCCAAGAAACAATTCCAGCAACCTCCAAAATGTGATAAAGAAAATGATGATGTTTTTTACATTTTTTACCACCACCATTTTTTCCAAATGGCTTCGTACCATTTCTACATGGACTCACCCACCAACGATCCACCTGTCGCTTGGATTCTAAAGCCTCGTCGCGCTGGCGAAGGGTTCACCCATGGGGGATGCACGGGAGATCATGATTATAGTGGAATATCCCAAAAAATAGTGGTATAAATGGAAAATAATGGATTATCCATCCCCAATAATGGATTATTTTGGGGATTATATCATGTCCAATAATGGAAAATCCCCAAAATAGTGGTATAAACCATCCCCAAAATAGTGGCATAAACCAAAATAGTGGTATAAACCATCCCACTATTTTTATTACCAATAATGGAAAATCCCCCAAAATAGTGGTATAAACCATCCCCAGTCATTGAAGGGTTGGGGGTTAGCAACTTAGCAACTTTGCTAAATCACGATAGATCTTTTCACTGGCCGAAACCGGGTCCACAAAACCGCTGATTCGAAAAAAATGGTTGCAAGGTGAGGCCCCCCAGTCATGTTTGTTGGTTGAACCCGCTTGGCGTGACTGATCAGCGCCCAGCGCCTTGGCACACTGTCTGCTACCTTCCACCGCGCTAATGGCGGCAGACCTGCCGCACCATCCAGGTAGGTGAGGAATCTCCCAACTAAGATATGTCCAGATATGTGCACTGATGAGTTTAGATCATTGTAGATCAACATTGCGAAGCCTGAAACCGGATAGTTTGAAACTGAAAGTCATCTATTTATATACTGTAATGCCTGTATACCCGGTAAAGGCCGACAGCAAAGCTTCCAGTCCACCCAGCTTGAAGTCGTCTTTTTTGGACGCAAAACAGGCGGTTTTGGCGACTGATTGATGGTTGCAACTTCTCTGAGACGACTTTTGTCTGTTGGGGCAGTGGAGAAGCTGGGGCCGTTGTGATGTAAGGACTCCAGAAATGTTGATCATCCTCGTTGCCAACCTTCCGCAGAATGTTGGGGCATTCATTTCCAGGTCCAAGTTGCAACTCGATCACAATGCAGCATCAATTGAGCACCCTCTGTTTCCCCTTCTATTGGTTTCGTTCGGATTGCCCTTGGTGGATTGTAGGTGTGAATCATCCGTATCACAGAGAATCATGTAGTAAAACCCAACAGAACCATCAGGCAGCAAGGGGGTCGGGTATGGCTCAATTGGTACGAAGAGGAGCTCACCGCAAACAGGAGCAACTAAAAGTTCAAACCACAGCGAGTTGGTGCTCGATGAAAATCCATCAGTTGTGGGCATCCAACCATCACAAAATTAAGTTGACGGAGCATCCAACCGGATCGTCAAATGCCAAGGTCTGCATAGGCACCAAACCTCAGAGGGTCATGGATGCAACCCTACGTCTGTGGCTGATTTTCGCCCCAGTGGGCCTTGCTGCCAAATGCGGCTAAAACTGGGCTATAACTGGGATTTTTAGGATTTAGTCGAAAATATGAGCAAAAGGTGATTGTTTTAACCAGCAATTATGAGGATTTAATTAGGATTTACCCTGTGAAAATTAGGATAATCCCTTCCCCCTACTACTACTACCACGACGACGACAAGGACTACTACTACTACTCCTACTCCTACTCCTACTCCCACTCTTACTCCTCCTCCTCCTCCTCCTCCTAGACAACTACTACTACTCCTGCTACTGCTACTGCTACTACTACTAGTATTACTACTACTAAATTCCCCCCCCAATACCGGACCCCAAAACGAACAGATCCAATACTAAATCATTTTTTTTAGCTGGGTATTTAATATCAGGAGGAACGGATTGTAAGCATTGCGCGACAAACAGAAAAACCAGCCTACAAGAGAACCATCTGTTCCGCTTCGTGCTGCCAGTAGACACCAGGAAAAAGGGCATGTCGACGGCCAGAAAGAAATGCCACAGTGAATGGCGAAAGCTCCATTCTTCCCGGGTTTTTGACTTCCTGCAGTCCAAAATCAGATTTATCTTCTATCCATATTATATATAATATATGAATATTATGTATATATATATCATATGTATATATATATATGTATATATATGTATATATATATATATGTGTATATATATGTGTGTGTGTATGTCATAGAATGTACTTGCACAAATGGCCGAAACCTCCCCTTGGGTGTGCTGATTACATAGAAGAGGGTCCTGGAGAAGCTGAGGAATCCCAACAAAGGCAGCGCGTTCAAGGTCGACAACAAGGGCAGGTTGGGCCACGCCAAAGCATACCTGCAGCGTCGCGACACTAAGCGGCTCAAAGGAAGTGACTGTCTTGTCCAATCGGCGGAAAATGGTGAAATTCATGTTCAGTCCATTTTGCAGAGTGTACCTGGCAAAAACTGTGCGGATTTTCGCAAAAAATCCTGAGGAGATCCTTTCTCCAAGGTTTGATATGTGCAGAGCCAGCTGCATGTACAAGGCATAAGCAATTCCGCACCACCGATCGATCAGGTTCCAGACCTGGGCCGTGACGTGCTATCCTGCGGCATCCCTTGCCTCCCTACCAGGCACCATGTGACGCAACAACATACAACTGAGGCAATGCTCAGAGCCACAGCCTGTATGAACAGTGCAAGTCAGTAGTCAGCTCACACGTACTGGACATATTACAACTGATACTGGCAGCAAGTCAGCAATCAAGTACCAGTTGCGCAGAGCTGTGTTACAAACCGATTCTGCAGATTTTATCGCTGGGGCCGCACCGTCAACGGAAATGGAAAAAAAACTACCTGCAATCCATGCGGCTGTGCCGATGAACAGGTAATCTGCGCAAAGTGAAGTGAAGGTCATGAGAAGTGTCGCCAAGACCATGGCCATATCATTCGCATAATAGGCCGGAAGAGCTGCTGTGAGAAGCGCCAAACACGAGACTCCCACCTGAAAGCTGGATAGAGAAGAAGCATCCAACATACATATTGTATATCTGGAAAAAGAGAGAGAGAGAGATTCTCCATATGGTATGGCCATATTATGGAGAAACACCCATGATTTAGCTGGCACCAGTATCAAGACAGCCAAACAGCTCGGCCCCCACCAAGGTGTTCTGATGTTCGTGGCTCTGGGGATCTACTTCGAAGAGTTTCCTCGAAAGTGTGCACAGCCCATGGCGCAACTCATCCACTGACCGCAGCAGCATGGCGAGAAATATTTCAGGGCGAAGGGTTTTCACAACACACGTATGACTCTTTTTTGCAGGGGAGATTAATATCAGAAACTTTTTTAGAGGTTGAGCCATCCATCAACTTGCGGGTAGATGAGGGATAGGATAATTGGGATGTCACCCACCAAAGTTTTGCTGCCAGTGATGATCCATTGATCCCATAATCTCAGCTCTGGCCACAAAGCTGAGGTTGTGCCACACAAAAAACATGGATCAACGTGTGATGCACTTGAAGCAACGCAAAAACGTTCAAATATATGGCTGTTATATATATATAATATATATATATATATATGTATTTGATATTAGTTTTTGTATATGAAGGTAATGAAGGTTTCTAAAAATGGGGGTACCCCAAATCATCCAAAATTCGAGCGTTTTTGTGTTGAAACCCATAGCCCTCCATTGAGCATCCCAGCATGGCCACGTTGGATGCCCCAGCGGCGGCCAGCGAGGCCCGCACCGCTGCACCTCCGCGAAATGGCTGGTTTACCAATGGATAGGGTTAGGATGGGTTACAGGATGGGGCCCCCAAGAGAGCTAAGTTGGTTTATAAGTGGCTGAATTCTATGGTTTATGGTAGATGCAAAACTATAGTTAATGGGGATTATAATGGTTTATAAACCAACTTATAACTAGGGGGCCCCATCCTGTAGGATGGTTTAGGATGTTTGATGTTTGGGATTCACCAGAAAGGGCCCCAAATTTTGGGAGCGAAATGTCACCAAAATTGTCTGCGAGGGCCAGTGAAGAGTCTGGAACTGAAAGAAGGTTGTGACCAAAGGCAAGGCGGGGTGAGTGCGCACACAAAGTTTTTTGTGTTTGACGAAACAAAAACCTGTTTGTCCTTGTTTTTCCTTGCTTTGCGGGTTCGTTTGCTCTTCTCCTTCTGTTTCGTACGCTGCTCTTTGCCAATTTTCGGATCTGTTGCGTTCCTTTCGTTTCCAGTTTTGTTCATAATAGGTTTTTCTGCGTTGCTGTGGCAGTGTTCTCTCGCCTACCATTGTGTTTCTGGCTGCATGCTCAGCTTTGCGGTGATTTTGATCTCCGCCTAATTGTTCGGTTGTATGCTGCACTTGCTGGTTTTGGTGGTCCACTACTTTCTTACCGAATTCCTGCAACGTTTTGATTTGCTTTTATAATGTTTTGCTTGGTGCGCTGCTTCTGTTGATTCTCATGTTTTAACGTTGTTTCCCTTTCATTGACGGATCTGTGTGCTTGTCTCCCTTGTTGCCGCAATATGGCATCTCCTCTGTTGGGTCATCCGCTGTTTTGTTGGTTTTGCAACCCAGAATAAATGACGGAAAGCGACAGTGAACCATACCGATTCACAAATTGACAGGCGCAGCAACTCGGTCAGTCCTGATTCTACAGACTACGAGTACAAATCTCGAAAGTACATGTTTCTTACGTTGATTCGATGACATTTCGACTACAAAAAATACAGTATATTGTGTGCATGTGTTTGTTCAATTCAAAGCAACACTGGAAACACAGTCGAATATGTTGATATTAATGGCATTTGAAATTGAAACCTAAACTAGAAGCATGTACGAATATCCCAATCTGCCTGCGAAGCGCTCTTGTGCGCCACAAGGAGCTTGCAGCTCCGCCGCCGTGATCTCGGTGACCTGCGTTTTTACGGCGATTTGGCGGTGATTTAGTGGTGATTTCATGGTGATTTCATGGGTTTTAGGATGATTAATGGGATTTGATGATGATTATATAATGATGATTAATGGGATTTTATGGTGATCAATGGTGATTTATATGGGATTTTGTGGGATTTGATGATGATTTTTTCAGTCATGGGATTCAGTGGGATTTATAATGGGAATCTAAGTATCAAGAATGAGGATGTCAATAAGGAATACCCTCCAGTAATAATGAGCCTAATAGCACAATCAAAATCGAATTTTTACCACGGTGTTGATATATACATTATCCATGGTTGATTCCAACCATCATACTTTTACCATATTACAATCATCAAAATCATGGTGTTTTTTTAATGAACAATTCAAAAATCATGTGTTTGTTGGAATAAATGTGAATTCAACAAAAACACAACGATATCCAGGTGAAGACAACAATATCAAGAAAAAAAATGGTTCTCTCCGAATGTATTTGGCGCAAGACTGCCTCAAGAAGAAAAGAATAATCCAAAGATATCGAGAAATTATGGAAATCTAAAGCCGTGTAAGCAACAGTGCTTGGGTTGACAAAGAAACGGGCGATCCACTGCTCAGGTGATCAAAGTCGGAATTGGGAGCAGCGATGGGACTACCACCAGAACATCGGATAAATATCGGTAGAGCATAGAGGATACCACCAACAATTTTGGTGGGTTTCCCACATGGTATCTCTGGGTCCTTATTAATTCGGGATTAATCAACTCTCATCAGGATGGCAGAACCAACGAAGATGGAGCCAACGGTAATAGGACATGAGGCTTGTGTCTTAGTAGTTGACAACCACCTTATTTGGCAAAAAATGCGATTCTCTCTGAGGATATCAGCTGCAATGGGGATCAACTGGGGCATAGCATCCAGCAAATATGGGCAAATAACCCCATGGTGTCTGCTGGTGAGCGCTGGCGCTTTTGTGGGTTGCAAATTCTTGATGGTCCTTCCAACAGGACGGGCCGGAGACCTTCGTCCAAGGTACCCCTAAGGTTCAACCTTGGAACCTTAAGCCTTAAGCCTTAAGGTTCCGACAAAGGTTCCCTGGCAACCTTAAGGCTTAAGGCCAAGCCTTGCCAAGTTGCCGCCAGCCCCAGTGGGGGGACAAAGGTCGAAGCCTTAAGGTCAGGGAAGACCTTAAGGCTTAAGGTTGCGATGAAGGTCACTTAAGGCTTAAGGTTGCGACGAAGCCACCTTCGAACCTTAAGGTTTAAGGTGGAGACGAAGCCTTAGGGCTTAAGGCGCAAGTCACCTTGGTACCTTGAGCCTTAAGGCTGGAGACGAAGGTCACCTTGGGACTTTAATATAAGGCTAACCTTGAGGTTCAAACCTGGAGCCCCTCATGTAAGGCTTAAGGTAGAGACGAAGGAACTTTGGCTTAAGGTTTGGGGACTAGGAACTTTAAGCTTAAGGTGGAGACGAAGGTACCTTGGAACCTTAAGGCTTCAGGTGGGAGACACCTTGGAACTTTAAGGCGGCAGAGACGAAGGTACCTTGGAACTTTAAGGCTTACTGTAGAAGGGAAGGCACCTTGAAACCTCGAGGCTTAAGGTAGGTGGAAGACAGTGGAACCTTGAGGCTTAAGGTAGAGACGAAGATAGTTTGGAACCTTAAGGCTTAAGGTTGGAACGAAGCCACCTTCGAACCTTAAGGTTTAAGGTGGAGACGAAGGTAAGTTCGAGCTGAAGGTTGGGGACGTCGACGATCGAAGGTCACTTTGGGACCTTAAGATTTCAAGATGGGCTCCAAAACAAAAAGCCTTAAGATTGCATGGACACGAAGGTTACCTTGGGACCGCAGGGTTTGAAGTTGGAGACGAAAGGCTGAAGCTAGGCTAGGGCTGGGGGCGAAAGGCACCGTAAGACCCTGAAGTTCTAGATGGATGCCAACTCCAACCCTATAGGTTCTAACTAGCTGGTAGGTTCTGAAAAGAGACTCGCATGGTCATTGGTCACAACAAATCGTCCACAAGTCTCACGAAAGAGATTGCACCGTCACCAGCCATTGATTTTTTTTCCTGTTCGGGAATGGCCCCAAAAGAACCAAAACCAAACTGTGAGAGTTAAAGTAAAGTTGCTGCAACCTGTCACAATGGTCATGCAACGGCCTAGGTGGGCACGCATGTTCCACATCTCCCGACTGGAAATGGCTCCCCAAAAAAAGAGAAACACTTGCTGCAGGGTTGCCGTGTGATTGCCTTTGACTCATGACAGGACACAACAAAGACAACATCAAGCCTCCTCTTCTCTTTTCCTCTCTCTTCCTCTCTTTTTTCCCTCCTCTTCTCTCTTCTTCTCTCCTCTTCTCTCCTTTTCTCTCCTTTTCTCCTTCGTCTCCACCTTAAGCCTTAAGGTTGAACAAGTTTCGAACGAGATGGAACTCCATGGTGGAACTAGTTTCACGCTAGTTTGAACTAGTTGGAGCTGTAAGCTGGTTGCAACTATTGGAGAAACTATTTCGAACACAAACACAGACTGGAACAACCGAGCCAAGTGGGAAAAAAGCAATGTACCTGACAATCGGAGTAAAAATTCGCAAGAATTTGTAGCACATGACCGGATTGCAACTGTTGAAGAAACAGACAGGAACAATGTACATGACACTTTGTGGGCGATGGAAGAAGGCGAAAGAGTCTAAAAGATCAAATTTGGCACCCTCTCGCACGATGGAATCCGAGAAAGGGAAGAATGGAAAAGATCAATTTGGCACTCTCTGAGCACGATGGAGTCCGAGAAAGTGAGCAATTCCAAAAAAAAACAAATTTGCTACTCTGTGGGCAATGGAATCCGGGAAAGTGAAGAATTTTTGAAAAAAAATAGCACTCTCTACGCACCATTGAATCCGAGAAAGTGAAAAAATAAATAAATAAATAAATAAACAATTTGACTCTCTGCGCACTTTCAAGGCACAAAAACATGTGAGGAGGTGAAAAGACTTTGGTGTTGGACCAAGGTTCTAAGGTACCTTCGCCTCCACGTTAAGCCTTAAGGTTCGAAGGTATCTTTGTCTCCACCTTAAGCCTTCAGGCTTTAGGCTTAAGGTTTGAACCTTAAGGGTACCTTGGACGAAGGTCTCCGGCCCGATATGCGTTCCAAAGGCTACGTTACCAACGGTTGCATCCAGGTTCTATAGACTTCAAAAAGAACTGCTCAGGAATTGCTTGCAGCTTCAGCGATATCAACAGTGCCCTAAAATAGTCCTCCTGAAATCCCCAAAAAGCACATCTTTCTGAACAAAGTGGATTTGTCTGCAAATAGGGTACTTCGAAAATGAGTTCTCATCATAAATGTCCCTATTCAAACGGCCATTCTGGGGTTAAATCCACCATTTTCAGATATGTTGGTCATACATCCCATTCCCATTAGAGTCTCAATTTTTGGTTATATAATAGTTTTATAGTTGAATCCCGATTTTGGTCAATCCACATGGCGTGTTGGTCTCCGGAACCGCCTCTGCACACGAGAGTGCGGAGTTCAGGGCTTCCAGGCCCAAACTCATGGCCTGACATGATGAGCCCACTCTTCATACTCTTCCCTGTACCTATTGCGGTCCTAGTGGTAGACCATGATCCATGTACAGATATGGACTGCAAAAGATTATGGATATCTTGGATTCGATGAAGCAACTTCTGAGCTCCAGACCGTCACAGCGTGTTCCGCACAGCTCACCGCTTCAGGGTTTCGCCTGGCTGTACTTCTGGAGCTGCGATAGCCACTACGGTGTTCAGGCCCAAAATTTGGGAAGGCAAGATACCAAGAGATACCAAGTAACACGGCTGTCTGTGACTCGGTCATACTGGGTCATACTCGGTCCGCAAAGCAGCAACTTGTAATTTCGTGCGGTAGGGATGAATTTCAACACAGTTTCCCTGAAAGCCTTGGGATGCCTTGGGCTCACTGGTTCCCCAAATTTCCCACAAGACCGTGTAGAAAGACACCCTTTCGGAATTCGCCATATTTCGGACATGGCTCTTCCCTCTTGGCAGGAATTTCAAAGAGCATCCATGAAAGAAAATGGATAAATGATGATAAATGGCTATGGATCAAAAGGTACCTTGGCACACACCTAAAATAGCTCACAAATGGATGTCCATCCACTTCACATCGGAAAACCACGGGCTTCGACCCCTCCCCATGTATCCCCATCTTTGTTCGGTTAAATCCCTATGTTTTGATGGGCAAGTCCCAATTCTTGATGGTTCAAAAGCCAATTTTCATGGGGCCAAACCATTTTTTCAAAGTGATCACAAAATTCCGATCCTCTGGTAAACCAACATATTCTAACATAGCTATGGAAAATAGCCACTTATAGATGATTGACCTGTTAAAAACAGTGATGTTCCGTTATCTTAGTTGTATCCCAACAGGCTGGGGCACCCCGACTTTGCTGCAGCTCGGCACTGCGCCGCCACATCTAAGGTGGCATAGCCGACAGCTCGCACCGCCTCGCAGGTGGAAAACCCTATGGTTTCCCTGGGAAAATGATCTACAATGCACATCAAGACTGCCTAGGAACCAGATCCTATGCGTTTAGTTGTTAGAATAGTTCAAATATCCATATATTCCTCCAATTCCATCCGATGACTATTCCCAAAGTCATAGCACCCCCAGTTCCACCCAGTCACCTTCACCACAGTGAGGGTGTACACAATGGCAGAGTGCGCCACGGACTTGATCACAGCCTCGCGACTTCCACGCTCCTGGCCGAATCTACGAGTCGTGCATGACATGGCAGACTTTAAGGCCATCCTTTGTGTTCATGCTGTGTATGAATAATCTCATTCTAGCTCAGAACAATAATGGCTGCCGACTCCCGACTATGTCAAAAGCCCTCATCTCTCCCCAAACCAGTCCAAGCAAACAATCGTGTTGTCATGTCATTCAGTATATTCATTACAGTATGATCTGCCTCAATTCTGCCACTGACCGACTTGATCTCCTGGTCCTTTCGCGCAGTTTCAGCAGCTTCAGCTGCCTTGATTCGCTGGGTGCATCAAGATGGATCTGGATGTGTATCAATTGGGCATGATCACCAGCAACAATAGAGATGCCAGCATCCAGCAGCACTGACCCTTGAGATTGGCTTTAAAGAACTCAGAAGTATTAATCCTTTGCGGTCTGTTTTGCTTTTTCTTGATAGGGTCAACTCCTGTTTTTTTTGGAAGTTCGCCATTCCTCATTTCTTTCCCTCCACTCCTTTGAGTTTGTTCCAGGGTATTCCAAACCTCTAAAAGACAACCAAAACCAAGCCATGGCCAGCAGCGTCACGTCATGCGTAACGGCTGTTGCATCTGTCTCTCTACTTAGCTGCATCATGCCTTATGGGTATTGTCTCCCTCTCTCTTCTCAATCTTTTCATGGCGACGTTTTTCGTCACCGGCCTGGTGTGCGAACTCCGCGGCCGTCTTGGCATAGCGGGATGCTTCCTCTGCAGCCTGGCAGGTGTAGATTCAAAAAGTATCCAGTAAAATCTCCAGTAAAGGAGCCGGAATAGTGGTATATCATGGATTATGGTATATTGAATTCTATTGATATAACATGATATAACCAGGTCTAGATTCAAGATGTCGGTTGCACCCACAATTGGTATGGGCCAAACTTGGGGATGCACTCAATGCCAACGAATTAGGTATGGCTATGGAAGCTATGGAGGCTATGGGTCAAGCTTTAAGATCCCTTGAAGATCAGCCCTGGGACAAAAGATTGAAGCCTTGCGACAAACAACAGTTAAGATATTATATAATATATATATATATATTATATACATTGTATTATATATATTATATCATATATATATATTATATTATATATATATATTCACCTGCCAGGTATTTTCAAAGCTTACCAAGACATGACCTATACCCAAACAGATCAATGATGTTGATACTATCAGTTCTGTCAACCATCGTTGACCGCCAGACCAAAAACTTCAGCAACTTGGGTGTGCACAGGTGTCCCCAGTGTTCCCGCTCGCCTTGCTGGCCTTTTCCAGAAGAGTTGCATTGTCCTGGCAACGCATGGCAAAAATCGCATCAAACGCCTTGGACCGCCCATGGAACATCTGGAACATCAGTTTCGCTGTGATTGAACAGCGTCCTGGGATGTACAATGATGTACAGGAAAACTGGACAGTAAAGTCTAGTGGCACAAATGTGCAGGCTGCATCTTGCGGCAAATCATTGTGGCATCTTCCCATCGGAGCACACGTCCTGACAATGGCCTCCCTTTCCTTCCGCCTCAGGGCAAGAATCGGAATGCATCGGAATGCGGCGCGTTCATCCTGTACCGAAACAAGCCGCTGGGAATGTTAATGTTGTTGGAAATCACTGCAGCCGCTGCAGCCCAAATGGAATTGAGAGCTGCTGAACAAACACTGTGGCTCAGATTTTCGGTTCATGGTGCAACTACAATTATAACAAACACGCCCAGGTAGCCTTTACCTGGGGCGGATCACGTACACTCATGATGATGACAATGTGGAATTTAGAATCCCCTCTTATTTCAGATGATTTTCCAACGCAAAATTAATGAGGATTGCCAGGATTGCCCATTGCCATGTTAACAGGTGCAATGGAACCTGCGAGGCCTGGTCTTTCTTTTCATCCTTCTCTTCCTGTCAAGCTCATTGTGGAAGTGAAGTGCCAATCATTGGGCCAATCATCTCTAGACTGGTTTACCCACGAAATAAGAATAGTTTTCCTCTGCTATTCTTCAAGGGTTTCTCTATCCATGGTGGGACTAGCACCCAACTTGTCCTCGGACGTGAGACCCAGTGATACGACCTGCCTCTGCGTTCGCTTCAGCCTTGTCACAATGATGGCTAACCAGGGACATATCGTCTTGGTGGGCTGGAGCGCCTTGCCTGAAACCCTTGGAGGGGATTGTGGATTATTTTCTCACCTGTGCTGGAAATCCTGGTATTCCTCAACCTTCTTTGATCGACACAAGTGACACCAAATGCGCACAGGTACTGGCCTTCTTTTGCTCAGCATGATCCTTCTTGGGTTCGGGCGTCTCCTTGCATGTGTTTAGGAAGTTCCAAGACACCAGCAGCAGCAGCAGCAACAGCAGCAGCAACAGCAGCAGCAGCGAGAAGAGCGAGAAGCTATGTGGAACAAAGAAAGAGGAAGCGAGTTTTTCAAAGTTCAAGTGAAACGTTTCAGTCTGTCTCCAAAGCATTTGTGTGCGTGTGTGTGTGTGCGCGCGCGCGTGTGGCCGCTTGAATCCTTCCATTGAATCTCCGGTCCTCTGTGTCACTGTCACTGAAGCGCCGGTCCTGGGGTCTCTTAGGAGTCATCGACGATTCACTGATGTCAAAAGTTGAGCATGCGAAATTCCCCAAGACAAAGCTGCAGGAACTTTGCTGCACAAGCTACTGCAGCTACTGGTTGTTGTTCTTTTCATGTTTTCGGATGGTTCCAGTGATGACGCCACGGCACCTTGGAGCCTTTGTCATCAGCCCCACGGCGCTGCTCCATGATCTTTTCATAGGCATTCGTCAGCTCCTTGTCTCTAAAAGGCATGGCAAAGGACGGGCTCACTTCAGCACAGCCCTGAGCACGTGCTTATGATCCCCTGATGATCATCTTCTGAGTGTAGCAATTAAACTAAATCCAGTTTTTGTCATCCTTTCAGTGTCTTGGCTTCAGGAATCCGCTGGCCTGCCGGCGTGTCTTGTGGATCTTGTTTGTTCATAGTTGTACTGTCTGTTTTGTCTTTGTCTTGTTTAGACTTTCCCCTTGGCGCTGATTTTTGCCTCGTCTAACTTGAACCCACGCCCCCAACTCTTCTTTGTTTCGTCTTGATCTTTCCTTACGTTGTGGACTCTGCCCTCGCCTCCTTCAACACCAGCTTGGTTTTGCACATCTTGCTGTCATTTCGATGGTTGTTTCCGTTTTTTGTTGTGTTTGCCATCGATTTGCTCCGTCGCTTCTTATATCCAATACTTGATCCACTGGCTTTTGTGCCGAACACCTTTTACACGCATAACCGCATAACCTTTCTAAATATGGCCTTTTCCAAAGCCGTTCTCAATATGAACTTTTCCAAAACCCTGGTTTACACACATGCTTTGGTTTAAACTAAAACCGTGGTTTGAACAAAACCAATGTTTTTGGGTCCAAACCATCTTTTACACAAACACCATGTTTTACACAAAAACCATGTTCTTGCTGGGCCTGTGCAAAGGCTGTTTGCAGCCTACAGGATCCAGTAGCTCTTTCCATGGTGGAGCCATCAGCTCCTGGAAGTCTTCCTTGTCGCCACCTTTGTCTGGATGACACTGCATGGCAATGAGCCGATAAGCCTTGCAGCCAGAGATGCCAAAAATCCATGGTTGGTACCCCCCCAAGGTGAACACCGACCCCATGGATGCCCCTCTGGCAGAGAACTTGTCTAAATCCAGCATCAACCGAATCAATCAGGACCAAACTAAGTATGACTCAAAACCCGGGTAGTGGCGTAGCCGCGGCATCGCGGCGTAGCCTGCTTTTTACACCGCACAAAACAGGTAGATCTTGATCCCTGCATCCCTCCACTCCTCCCACAGGTACCCACCTTCTTGATCTCAGCATCCGTGGCACTGGAGGGAACGCCCAAGATGGCGTATGCGGAGTCCTGCATGCAGAATTCAACAAAAATTGGAAATATAGTGAGATATTTGATGGGAATGAGATATATTAAGATATATATATATATATATAATGGAATTTATCACCAACAATTTGATTTGGGTTTATGCAGAAATGGTGAGTTTACCACCAATCTATCGCTATGTCAATGAGGAAGATGATGATGAAGCACTGAATTTTGAGGTGCCCTATTTTCAAAGAAACCCAAATGCTGCAGGTGATGGGACCAGCGTGTGTAAGGATCACCACACCGTGACAAAGCCACCAAAGGTTGACCACTTGACGCCCCCTCCTCGTGAAGACGAGCGATTTCATCCACGATTTCACTCTTGAAACACATCTGCCTGGCGGATGCCGGGCGTTGTGTTTAGATTGCCGGATTCATGCTGCGTCAGCATCACTCCCAGCGTGATGGTGGCGCGCCTCAGGATGTATTCATCCAAGGCTCGATTCAGCTCCTACGCCACGGTTGCTTTATGTATGTGCGTACTTTGTAGCTATGCAGCTATGCATATACCTAGACATATATGCGCATATCATTTCTGTACATATGTACATATATATATATATATACAGAGAAAGAGAGAGATACAGAGAGGGAGAGAGAAAGCAGTGTATATATATATATACATAATGTATATATATATACATATAATATATATATATACATACATACATACATATAATATATATATATACATCTATTTACATGGATACATATATAAAGATCTAGAGAAAGATCTATCTATATAATATATATATATAGAGAGAGAGAGAGAGTAGAGATCTATAAACATATTATAAATTTAAATATAAACATATATTCCGTCGATTCCCATCGTCTCCCATCTCCGGTTTTCGGTCCTCCAAATGTTCGCTGCTCAGTTGGTTGGCCTCCGCCTCAGCCTCCTGCGAACTCAGCTGCAGTTCATGGGCCAAGGCCAAGTCGCTCAACACCTTGCGACGCGGCGACGGGACGACGGGGGAATCCAGAGCTGAAATTGGGATGGTATAATTTCTGGTGTATCACTGTATCACCATAAATGTTGAAGGTTCTTATGAAATACGAGATGTTGATATACCTCTTAATTGGGAATGAATGACCATATTACCACGACTTTTATGGTCTATTTTAATATATTTTAATGAAATGAAGAATAAAAGGCATCCAGTGCATGAATGAACGACTGTGTATTTGTGAAAATAAGATGATCTTCTCCAACTGAAGTCGGGATGTAAATCAGGGATAATCAGGGTATAAAACCAACCAGAATGGGGATATAATAGGGGATGTGATATAAGCATCTCTAATGGTGGATATAACAGATATTAACAGATAGTGGGTATATATAAAACCAACCATTAACATTGGCTTCTGGAGATATCATAAGGGATATCACCAATTCTATGGGTATCAATGGATTGATTTTGCTGGGAAAATGTACACTGAATGATGGTGGCTTTGATGGAAAAACATGGAAAACCATCTAAAAACCATCTAAATCCTGTGGGCGAGATTCCCAGAGGCTCCCTCGTTCCAGCCGCTGAACATCACTGGGGCTCCAAACAAAGTGCCCCTCAGATTTCTCCACGGAGGGATCGCTGGAGATCATCAGTCCTGGCACAACGACCCACGTAGCGAGAAATGCGGTGCAGTCACGGCTTCTGTCAGTCCTTCGTGTCGCAGAGGCGTCTGGTTCAACTGGGGCAACAGGTGGACATGGGATATAAAAACTTCCAGAAAACGTTCTACATTGGAATTTTCTGATGTTGCGGTGTTGCGGACCCACATCCTGCTGTTAAGGCACGGTATTGCGAATACACAAAATTGGCTGCTCATGGTTTCCACCTGAAAAAGACTTGCTCAAATGAGAATCACTATTCCATTTGATGAGGATGCTAAGGTCTATCTAATTTTGATGTTTAAAACAATCCAAGGAACACCTATTTATCCATGGGCCGCATGGTGAAATCCCAATTTTTCTGCAAAAAAATCCCCATTGTTTTCATGGTGAAATCCCCAATTTCTGGTACCTGCAATGGTCCCGCATCTCCGCAGAAAGCTTTGATCACCTCCATTGCCACCTTGGTGGCGGTTTTTTTGGCTGGGAGATATCCAACAATGACTTTTTTGAACGCCCACCTGCTTCAAGGGGCTGACAATTTCGGGTATTTTCGGGGTTGAAAAAATCAACGTGGCGAAGAAATGTTGCAAAATTGTATGTTGCACTATAAAATAACATTACATCACTGTGTTCGAACCCCAGCAGCCTGTCACATAGGTGCAACGGTGCAACACCCCCCCAACTGTTCAGCCTGCAGTTTCAGGTAGTCCTTTGGCGATCCTCATAACAATGAGGCGTGAGCTGGACCTACATCGCCACCCCCTTCTTCAACTTCGCGACCAGTTTTCGCAAAACCATCCAGAGATGTTTGGGGGGTTCCTGGTCTTGAAGTGCCACTGTCATATTCATGTTTTTTTCCAAATTTTGGAGGCTCAATTAAGTATCCATTTCATGAATCTCATGTAAAAAATACATGAGAACCCATCAACCCAAATGAAATTCATGGCTCATCGATTGTGATTTGGTCAGTGAAATTAACCATTAAACCAAATTTTGCTCAATAGGTGAACCATTGAAGCCATTAGAATTCATCTCAATCAATATCCTTTTTCTACAGTTCACTAACCACTAACCTGAGATTTTCCGAGCATTTTGGGTTGTCAAACGGGTTGTTTATAGTTGCCCCAATCCCATCATTGTTCCACGGTTGATGCCTCCATCCAACAACCAGCCACAGCGCCACTCCTCCACGGCTGGGATGACCCCGGAGACACATTCGGCGGTAGACCAAGGAGACCTCTTCCACGGAGAGGTTGGACCTCAGCGGACGACAAAAAGCAGCTGGGGGCTTCAAATATGTTTTCGATGTACTCATATTCATTGTATGTGCATATGCAAAAATATATAACATCATTATAAAGTATACACACAGTATACGTATACGGAATGATGTGAAACAATTGTCTATCTACCTTAATATCTATATACATATATATATATATGTATGTATATACATATAATTATATAATTATATAATATATATATATAATTATATAATTATATATATATGCATGATAAATCCAAAGCTGGTTGAATTCTTTAAGAGAACGAGAAAACCCTCCATATCACCAATCACTTCCGGATATTTCTCCAGGCATCAAGTGGAATCCACCCAAGGATCCGGCCAGTCCCCATCGGGCCGCTGTCGGAAGCCCATCAGCGAGAAGGACTCCCGGATGGCATCCGCTGGGTGTTTCTGAAAGACCTGCGGCTCCGTGCCGTGACTGTCAGAAGGTATGTGGTTAAAAGTTGAAACCAGACAGTGATGTTTCAACAGTGATAAACCAACCATATAGATATTAAAACTGTTACATCTGAATCTTCTTATTGCATCCTCAGACAGTGATGTTTTGTTCGCAGTCCATCTTCGCCTCATCGTACAGCCATTCTGCATCGCTGTAGCCACCCACCAAGGCACCCAAAGGTCCTCCAAAAGGACAGAGATTTCATCTCTCCACATCTGCAGTTGACTCAGTTGACTTCCACTTAGTGACTTGGATTTACTCCTTCAGATTTTGGATCTACTTTTTTCGACTTGTTCTTCAAAAGGGTCGACACACCAAATGTTCAGATGCCAACGAAAAAAAAACATGTCCAGTAAACTTGGTGATCACACCTACCGCATTTGTGCCAACCAAATGTCCAAAGCAGGGGAAGATAGGATGTGCCCTTTCCAAGACTGACTTCACCAGGTTCGAAGCCTCCAAGGACCTCTAGCTCACAACCACCTGACCAGCTGCACATCATATCACTGCGGGAAGCAGTGCTCAACTGGGCCGCTGACTGGCCAATTTGAAGTTCGACAACACCGTCAGGGCACGATCCAAGATCACCTGGCACTACTTGGAGGAAGACGTCCGGAAGACAGATCATTCGCATCATACTCTGGGTTTTTGAGGATCCTGATGCCTTCACACATTGCAGCGAAAGTGAGTATCAAGTCAGACATAGTCAGACCGTGTCTTCATCAGCCACAGGACGCCTGCGAACATTGCTGTCCTGAAGTTTGCCCCAGCAGCCACCGTCTCACTTCTGCAGTTGCCTACGGCCAATGCTCAAAGAATCTTGGGTAACTCTCAAGGCGAATTACATAGGTTTGTCTGAAAACATGGTACCCCTAAATATAGTGGGTTTTATCATGATACTCTATTCAAATTGCAATGTGTGTGTTGAAGCTCGCACATTCTCGGACACATCCAACCATCATATTGCTGGGAATAGTAGATCCCATTATTAGGTCACCATTATATAAATGATTTTGATATGATTTATATATATATACGTATAATTATATGCATGAATAACTATATATATATATATACATCATTACATCATGTTACTGTACGTCATATTACTATTAGATCAATATTAGATCTCCATGATATTCCCATTCATATTACCACTTCAATCTATGTCAAGCGCAGCGCCTCCAGCCCCAGCTCTGAGCGTTCTAAGCTTCCAGTGTTGGCATCTGCAGGTGGTAACCAGCTCTCTGGCACCTCGAGCTGTGGCGAAACGCGACAACTGACGACTCATGGTGATTTAATGGTGGTTTTTCACGGTTTTCCATGAGTTTTTCATGGGATTTCATGGGGTTTAATGTGCTTGAATGGGAATTTATATAACATGAGCTATTGGGAGCTAACTTAGTTGACCATCTGCTAAACTTTGGAAATTGAACACTTTGCCATGGAGAATCAGCATATCTACATTGACATCTATAAAATGGGTTCAAATGGCAGATTTGTCCATTGCCACGTTTGATTCCCGGAGGGTACTGTACATCCTGGAAGTGAAAAAGGTTGTCTTGTGAAAACCTTTAAAAAAATGGTTGATCATACCTGACTAGTTGAACGTTGTCCATTGGCATCTCAAGGGTCCTGTGTTACCAAAGCGGTGACTGCAAAATGTCCACTCTGGTTGACTCAGTGCCCAACCTTGCTGCGATTGCAAGCATCGTGCAAGGGTTCCGCCAGCTCTTGTTGTAGCAGGCCAAGCATGCTGGTCCTGACAGTGAAATCTTGCAGCTTCCAAGGGCCCTGATCCAGAAATGTGCAAAGGAATCTGGGTGTCTAGTAAAGATATCCTTAAGCCCAATGATATTTTTCCTCTGTGATCTTGACACAGTCTCAGATATGCCATGATATGCCCGTAGTATACCAGGGGCACCCAATGATGGCATGGTCGAAATGTCCTCCTCTTTCTCAACAGGCTGCCCATGGATTCGCGACGCTTCATCCCAGCTGCGCAGGTCTCGTTGCAAGGCCTTAGGATGAGCATTTTCGAAGGGTTGGCATGAGCCAATCATTAGATGTACGGTAACGATATAGTGACCAAAAAAAAAAGTTGAAAAGGTTCGATTCTTCACTATTTTCGCTTGTTTCTTCAGAATGCAAACAAAGTTTGTCCAAAGATGGCAATGCCCAAAAAAGAACGAACATTATCTAATATATCTAATGATCGCAAGTTATGCTAAGTGAATGGGAATGACATGGAATGACTGAATCATCAAATGATACATGAGATAAAAGACCTTTAGACTAGGGAAAATGATTGTAGTATTTTTCAGACTTGCAACTTTTCTATCTTTTTGGAGGTTGCTGTAAATATTAAATGACCCCATCATCAAATGATGAATGGGTTGGCGCAAATGATAAATTCGCAACATAATCGGGTCATTGTTGAGGGAAGCACAGAGAGGATGTTGGATGGAATCATTCAACAACAACAAATTAGCCCATGGGGATAAATGATGATGAGCGGGAGTCGCAAGCTCCAAGAGACAGCAATTGATCTTTTTCAGACGAAAAAAATAAACAGCAATTTTGTTCTCGACTGTCTGTGTTGACTTGTTTGTGATAAGCTTCGGCTAAACTCTTGCAAGTTTACAAATGACAAGAATCAAGTGATGCACAACCCATGAAGTTCCAATATCTCTAGCTTGTTCGAATGCAGAAAAGTGAGAGGTGAGAGTCCAAGTTTGGCTGAAGGTGGCTGATTCAAAATTGGAGGGTGATTTCATCAAAGCTCCCCGTCTCAGAAGTTAACAGCAGCTGCATCAGCCTTCCACCATCCCTGGTCCCGGTCTCCCGACACCAGCGCAAGCCGCGTCTGGCAGGGTTTCGAAAATGGAGATCTCCATCTGATGAAACTAAAAGTCTTTAGGAATTCCTACTTCAGTGACCATTCCAACCATGGCTTCGCAAAAAAAATTACAGAAAATCTATAGAAAATCTATAGAAAACTCATGTTTTTTTTGCATTTTCCATAGATACGGGTAGGTTTCCTATAAATGTTCCCTTGAAAAGCGATGCTGCACCTGAGGGGTACCGCAGGGATGCGACTTCGAACTCGTCGAACTCGTCGCCTGGGGGAATTTTCATCACCAGGTTCCCAATAGAATTGCCATAACTTGGGGTATACTGTACATTAACCATTTTATTGGGGACTAATTTTCAGTGTACACTATGTACATATGACTAATTAACCCATTAACCATGATTAAGCATTTTCAGTGACACACCAATGGCCTGTCATTTTTACTATCAATCCTAACAATCATCCATAATCCATATCATCCATTTTTGAGGGACCAATCATTTTGACTCCCACATGTCATGTCTCAAACCTGGAAAATCATGGAACTTGCGCACACCTTCGCCGCCTTTCCAGTGACGCTGATCATCTCTTTGGAAGACACAGAACTGTTGGCTCCTGCGAAGTGTGAGCGAACAGCGAGCTTCGTAAGGCGGCGAATCGATGTTGTATCGGAGAAATGGAGAAAATGGGGAAAATGGATGAAAACAGAATGAAATGTTCAGGAACATGTTAAGTTCGAACCCTTTGTCTGCTCCATCTCCTGAAATCCATCAATCTGCTGAGCTGCCGACCGCTCAGGTTGGAACCGCTACTTCCACCCGATTCACCTGTCACAGGCGAATCAACATGGTACACACTGGGCCTTCCATCTGCTCAGCAACCTCTGAGTATCCCCATTTCCAGCAAGAGTTGATGGCAGGTAAAAGCAATGTCCCAAATGGAGTCGGCCTTCAGATGGTGACTCCGGTGGAGAGGAGGGTGTTGAGGCCTCACTTCATGGTGATGTTTCTTCTTTTCTTGATGGGATAGTCTATACATATTTTGTCCCTTTCATAGCCTTTCATAGGCAATAGTGTGTGGTAGGATCAATTCTTCAGATATGCTGAATTTGTTCATTGATCCTTGTCACTGCCCCACTACCGGAGACCACTTCCCCCATCCAACCACTTAGGCAGCCCTGCACCAGCACGTGAACTGGCCGATTCACCAGTGCGCGTGGCCTGAAGTCCAGTAATGGCACAACAATCCTGCGCTGATTATCACAGCACATTGAACCATTCAAACTAGTCAAGATAAACCAACCATAAGTTGGCAGGCAAGGAAGACTGTCATGAAATACAGTATATATTTGCTGGATGCATAGAGTTGAAAGAGGCCTGAGAGCAAACGTAGATGTGACAACTTTCACCTAGATGGATATAGCACTTTTATGCACTTTTTAGGTGTTATCGCCCAGGAGCCACAGGAGCATGACCCTTCCCCTGGGCAGCTTGCAGTGCTGGTCTCAGGTTTGCAGACCTCGTCCAAATGCGCCTCAAATCCAACCAGTCAACATAGCCACAGCCGATGAGGTCATGGCGAGACCAACAGCTAGCTGAAATTCCACTTTTGCTGGACAAACCCCTCCGATGATTGCTAAGAACACCATGTTTGAAAGGTAAAAAAATGTAAAAATCTGCAAAGTGTTTCAACGTTCTCCGAAAAAATCCTCGTGACATCCCCAAGCTTCCAGCAATCAGAGGAGGTCTGCCCCGCGGCTTTTGCGGCTCCCGCGGCTCCCGCAGCTCCCGCGGCTCCCGCGCCGGCGCGGGCCGGTCCGCAGGCCGGTCCGCAGGCCGCTCCGCAGGCCGCTCCGCAGCTCCGCCGGCTCCGGCAGGCGCGGGGATCGGCCGGGCCTGGGATTTCTTTCAAGGGCGAGTGGAGATGGTGGTCTTTGATCAGACTTTTGAGATGCTAAGGCAAAGTCACTCTGGGCCTGGAAGGCTGGCTCGTTTTTGTGGCATCGTCCCTTAGCGCTGGGATGATATCCTGCATCAGCCTTTTTTGGGGGTAAAAATGTTGCTGCAAGTCCTTCAATTCAACCAACAGTATCCAATAGTTCATTCAATGTATCTTTGTCTTTCCACATGGCAGGTGATGATTTAAACATCCCATCTCATTGAGCTGAAGATCGTTTGAAGTCAAATCCAATATACATATACATATATATATATACTGTATATATATATACATATATATATACATATATATATGTGTGTGTTTTTTCAAAATATTTTTTTAGGTCATCATCTTCTGCAATCCCAACATCCACTGCTGTCACTGCAGCCACTGGCCAACCCCCCACAATCCAACTCTCGGAGCACAAACTTCGAGGCTACGCTGACACCGGAGGTGCCTTTGAGAAGTCGCAGACGAGGGGCCGGTCACAGGTGACGGATCTTTGCACCATCAAATCATCAAACATCATGGAACATATCTGAGAAAAATCATCTTACTGACTGGAAAAACTATTCAAACAAAAAATAGATCTGAAGAATGAGAAGAATTGATCCTTGGGTGGCAATTGCTGCCTGCAGCCCGAAATCTGGCAGCCCGGTCGCCCTGGCCATGTGCTTTGGAAAAAAGGAATGACATCCAGCGCTACAAAAATGTCAATCAAGAAACTAGTGAGCGGTTGCTGGCATGAAACTCGAATTTCGAATGCAAATCGCTAAACCAGGAAGATCTCGAACTCTGAAACTTAGAGTCCGCGGCAGCTCCCACTGCCGACTGCCTCCAATCCACCATATCGGTCATGGCGATCATGGCTCCTCAAAGACAGAGGACGTCGTCTCGATTTCGTTTCCCTGTGAAAAGTATCCCTTCCCCTGAGAATAAAACACCCTCTCCTCCAGAAAACCTAGTTCAGGAATGATTGTTCATTTTGCGGGTCCCATGATATAGGATGGGATTTGGCTTGTGATTCATGATGTTGTCTTTTGCAGCCTCAACAAGTCCCAAGAAATATACCCAGTTGCGATCGTGCCCAATGCTGGTGGCTAACTTCTGGGAGTCCAGGCCCAGGATAGCCACTGGACATGGAGACACCTCGGGCTGAGAAGGGCGTTTTCAAAATGTCAAAAAGGGGAGGAGCGCAGTTGATGGTTGAGGGCTCCAAACCGCCACAGGCCAGAAACTTTGAGTTTGCAACGTGTGCTAAAGAAAGCTTGTTGACATATTTGACATGTTGGCCAAACTCATCAACAAACACCACAAACTACAGCTGAATTGAGGCAAAAGTTTTGCTGCCTGCAGGACGAAACGACCGCTCCGTAAAAGGTGCACCATAATTGTGTGCCTGGCGCATGGTGACTGGCAGTCTTTCTCGAAGAGATCGGTGTTTCGAAGCTCATGGGAATCACTTGGGCTGCGGGAAGCCTATGAACTGCAACTACGAATCCTCCAGATCAAGAATTTCGAATCTGATTTATTGATATTTTCGGACAATAGCCACCACAACTCGTCCGGAAATGCCGCCACCCGCAGCCAGTGCCTTTGCATCTGGCCGCGCATGAGGCTTCTCTTGACTCCTGCCGCGAGAACCGAGCAGGAAGTTGCTCCAGAAAAAAAACAGAAAACAGGAAAATCATTGTCAAACTTTTTCGGGCACGTCATGTTCGTTTTTAGCATCGTAGAGTTTGGAATCTCAACATGGGATTCAGTGGTACGCGTGCTGTTTCATCCAGCCAAATGTGAAAGTCGATTGGGTTTATGCGGAAATATCCTACCAGATCCTTCCAGCAACAGTGGTCCAATATGTGAGGCCACCATTGAAGCCGCCTTGGAGTGTATCCTTTCCTTACTCCAACCACTTCTGCACGTCTCAATGCGTCTCTCCCTGTCAATTCAAGCCAGCCCTGCCAAGGAAACGAAGACGACCCATGCGCAGCATGCTCTGGCACGGACTCATACTTCAGCAGTGTGCTATGACCCAAAATGGATCCAAACTGGATCCACTTGTCCATTCTTGGTGTATCAAAACATTGGGGACCCCATGATCCATCATCACTAGCTGATCGGGAGAAGCCCACTGGCTGGGAGCACCCACTTTTCAGCTTTCACGCCAAGTTGCCACGGGCGGTTCTCTGCGAAACTGCTGGAGGACCTGCGGAAGTGGAGCTGAGCAACTGGAAATAGCTGGAAAAAAAGAAACCTTGGAATCTTGGAAGCAAAAAAGGCAGGAGGTGCGAGTCCGAACATTTCAGACAGCTATGACAGCTGTGAAATCTGGAACGAAAAAAGGCCATGAAAGGGTTTGCTGCGAGACCAATTCTCAAGGGCATCATCGCCACTTTCTGCCCTGTCGAAGCCAAGCAGCGTGGAGTAGCGGTAAGCTTGAGCCTCAGGCTGACCCAGTTGGCAGGTTAAGATGGGTGCAACTCTTCCCTTTGGAAATGCAAAATGTTGCAAAATGTTGCAAAATCCAACAAAATCCAATGATTCATCACCACGTTCTGTTGCTTTTGGCCCAGAAAATTATGCAAGTGTGGCCAGCCCCCACCGTCCCCGCACCTTGGTCGAAGGACCACGCGCTTTCGGCAGCTCTGTGCTACTGCAATCGGCTGAGCAAAAAAGTTGCTTTCCCTCTAGAGATCTCTAGAGAGCACGAAAAAGTATGTAACCTCCCAATTCCACAAGTACGTCTGCAAGAACATGTTCAATATTTAAAAAAAAACATAAACATCCAATACGTTCATCTGCATTTTATTCATGTCCACTTAGTTTTGATCCCGCCAGAACAAAAAACCTGCCAAAAAAATGAGGAGTCTCACAAGGAGTCAGCACATGGCCAACGTCAGCACATGGTTAAAAAATTCAGAGGGAAACAAACCGAAAGTCTGCTTCCAGATATCACAAGCACGCGCACAGGCACCTTGATTCGAAATCCCATGAACCTCACGGACTTCTGGTTCCAATACCCTGGTACTTGGTGAACATCCTGAAAATGAACAGAAATCCGAAAAGAACAAAATATGTCAAGATGTTTACCATTGTTTAACTAGAAATTTCAGGACGTTTCGGTTTGACTCATGACCATACCCGGATTCGGACCAGTGAATGGATCACCTGGGCTCACCAACGACTTTGCGCACTCGCCGTGCCGCAATGTCTGAACTCACCTTCACAGTCAGCATTGGACAAGATCTGATGGAATCATCCTATCCAGTCGGGATGAACCCATCTGAACCCATACGAACAATGATATCTCAATACAGGGCCTAGGAATCTGGACCCACAGCCTCGCAGATTTTTGCATGTTCAACAATTCATGAAATCGATCCAGAGCTTTTCTCAACCGGATCCAGTGTCGAACCTGAGGATCGTTGGACGCCTTCGCTCGGCCGAGAGGTAAACCTCAGGAACCCAGCAAAGTGCTGGCTGTTCCAATGCAAACACCAAGTTTCATCAATGAACTTTTTGCTTGTCCAAATATGAAAACATTGCCAAAGAGCAACAGAACACATGCGTGGGTCAAACTTGGGTAGCCAAAAGAATGGCCAAAGATCTATGGCCACAGGGCCTGATATGACCCCAGCTGAGCCGCCCAGCGCTCCAGAAGGAGACCCCCCAGAGCGAGACGCGGGAGCTCTGAATTCCTGGTTGCTAAAGCTCGGTTGACAGATCCTGGTGGCCTTCATGGCCTTCATGGCCTTCCCGTCGTTTCTTTTGAGGCATTTGAGGAACCACTTGCTCACCACCCCTGTCACCCTTCAGCTCGTCTGCCGGGCGCTGGGTTCACCCACCGGTATTCTGCTTTCGTGGGACCAACTCATTCTCCTCCCATCATTGGTTCCTGGCAGATCATGGTGATCATGGGCATGGGTCCACTTGAGGAGCTCAAAAAGGTTGGAGCCAGATGACTCAAAAACATGACAAAAATCCATTGTCTCGGGGCCAGCAAAAGATCGACACATCCCCTCATCTGTTCCAATCAACTTAGGAATTCAAAGTCAGTACATGACCACTTAACTAAGAAACTGGGCGCCTTGGCTGGTCCTTGCCCATTCTGGTAACGTCCCGGAACTGAACCTGCCAGCTGGTAACGCCCGTGTCCATTTGTTGTGGACGTCTGTCTCAAGGTCAGTGATCCCAGCGTGGCACCTGGATTTCGCATCGTTCTCCTTATCAAGGCTCCTGGTCCAGCAACGGACCAAAAAATGGGAGACTCGGAGAGATAAACCTTCTTGGCCTATGAAAGTGTTGTGCAAATGAAAACTACCGGGTATTTGGAGGTGGGGACCAGATACAGAGATTTTCACATCTGAGGCTTGGCTCAAAGCCACCCGGATTTGGGGATCCACACCTGAACCACTCGCTGGGATCGAGGCTAGCCTTGGGCCTGGGTCACATCCAAATATCCAAATTGGAGAGGTCAATAAAAATGATTAGCAAATATTAGCAATGTCAGTTTGTCAGCTTACAGTAGTGTGGAATCATTTCATGCATTTTTCTTCAAAGATCCTTCAAGATTGAAGGAAAGAAACATTATACAAACTGATAACCTGTAATCATCCTCTTGCTATCCAGAAGTGAGTGCAGCCGAGGGACTTTGAGTTAGTTTGACTCTGAGTGACCGATCCCACACCACCCTCCAATTTGCAGTGGAGGCACTTATTCGGCGCATCAGACCACACAGGCGATGGCTGCGGGAACCTGACAAATGAACAAGCCACGGGCCACAGAAATCTCATGATCTAAGGCCACTGGTTAAAGGCCACACCAGTTCCACATAGTTCCACTGTGTAAGAAGACTACTACTTCGTTCCCGGCCTATGGTTTGGCGGATCGGCCTTGCTGCCTGTTTCAGTTACCTCAGGGATGGTAGAGAACCCAGCCTTGTTGGAAGTAGGGGAAGATGGGGAAGCTATGGCTTGGGGAATGCTGCAAAAATCATTACACCAAAAAAAAACGCGGTAGAAAACACATGTTGTAGTTCTATGTATTGCAGGTATCCTCCCTGCTGCCACGTCACACTTCGGCGCCCGGTGCCAGACGAAGGGGCAAAAGCCTGCGGACTTCCAGACGGCATCAACAAGAGCTCAATTGGGCCCCAACTCCAACAAACTCCAAGTCCCAAAACCTTATAACCAAAGCGGCATCTTATGGGAGGAAAAATTCCTTGTTCCCCCAACAAAAAACTCCGAAGAACGAAGATCTGGCAGTCTCCAGGTTTCCCCACTGAAGCAGCCGCCGCCTTGGTGCTCCCCCCGCCCAGCCCCCAGCTTGGCTCAGGCCTGGGAGCTGAGCTGCTGGCCACTTCCACACCTTCGCCATCCTCGAGGTCTAGAAGATCCGCCAACTTCACAGACATCAGGACCTCCAATGGTGCAGCGTGGACGTGCTGACACAACATGGAATGACACGACATGTATGAGTTGGTGACATGGTGAAACCTCCTTTATTGTCACATCTCAAAATTCGGAGGGTGATTTCGAAACATATACTTTGACATCTATGCACAAATAATGTGTGCGTGTATATATATATATATAAATATAAATATAAATATAGATATAAATATATATATTATTTATTTATATTTATATTTATATAAATATAAATACAAATGTAAATATAAATATAAATATAAAAATAATATATATATATTTCTTTATATTTGTATATATATATATAAATATAAATAGAAATATATATATATATATTTATTTATTTATTTTTATTTAAATATATATATATATCTCTCTCTCTCTATCTCTGTGTGTGTGTGCGTGCGTATGTATATTATCCACCGACCCTGCCGTTGAAAAGGCCAAGGCAGGGCGGCGCCTGGGACCACCGTAGGTGTGCAGCCTTCCATCGCAGGGCCGTGCCATGGGCTAAGTGTGGTTTTTCTCTAACCATCCGCAAGGCATTCCTTTGGCTTGATGAAGTCAAACTTGGTTCCTGCTTGGCTCTCTACACATTTGCATGTCTCTGTAAGCTTTTTACGGCCTTTAAGAATGCCTTGCGCGCCCTCCGCAAAGCTTTTCTCTACCCACTTGCCAGGCATTCCTGTGGCTTGGTTCCTGCTCGGCTTTGTGAGATTTGCATGGCTGTCTAAAGATGTTTCCAGCCTTTACGCTGCCTTCCGCACCATTCGCAAGGCTTTTCTGTAGGGCTCTGTACACTTTTTACGGCCTTTAGGACTGCCCTCCGAACTCCCCAAACTACCCGCAGTGCTTCTCTCCACCGGCCCGCGTGGCATTCCTGTGGCTTGATAGAATCAAACCGGCTGTCTACAGATTTTTCCGGCCTTTCCGCAGTCCGCAACGTTCGCAAAGCTTTTTTGTAGGGCTTTGTACACTTTTTACGGCCTTTAGGACTGCCCTCCGAACTCCCCAGAACTCCCCAAACGACCCGCAGGGCTTCTCTCCACCCATTCGTGCGGTATTCCTGCGGCTTGATGGAATCAATCCTGGTTCCTGCTCGGCTTTGTCGACATTTGCATGGCTGTCTAGAATTTTTTACGGCTTTTACGCTGCCTGCCGCACCGCTCGCAACGCTTTTCTGTAGGGCTTTGTAGACTTTTTACGGCCTTTAGGACTGCCCTCCGAACCCCCCAGAACCTCCGTTCGCAACGCTTTTCTGTAGGGCTGTACACTTTTTATGGCCTTTAGGACTACACTCCGAGCCCCCCAGAACCCCCAAACGACCCGCAGGGCTTCTCTCCACCCATTCGCGCGGCATTCCTGCGGCTTGATAAAATCAATCCTGGTTCCCATTTGCTGGCTGTCTAATTTTTTTTTACGGCCTTTATGCTGCCGGCCGCGCTGTTCGCAACGCTTTTCTGTAGGGCTTTGTAGACTTTTTACGGCCTTCAGGACTGCCCTCCGAACCCCCTAGAACCCCACAAACGACCCGGAGGGCTTCTCTAAAGCTTCTTCCGGCCTTTACGCTGCCTTCTGCACCGTTCGCAACGCTTTTCTGTCGGGCTTTGTACACTTTTTACGGCCTTTAGGACTGCCCTCCGAACCCCCCAGAACCCCCCAAACGACCCAGAAGCTTCCCCAAAGATTTTTCCGGCCTTTGCGCTGCCTTCTGCACCGTTCGCAACGCTTTTCTGTAGGGCTTTGTACACTTTTTACGGCCTTTAGGACTGCCATCCGAACCCCCAGAACGCCCCAAACGACCCGCAGTGCTTCTCTCCACCCACCCACGCGGCATTCCTGTGGCTTGATAGAATCAATCCTGGTTCTGTGTGAAACCTGCTGCAAAGCTGTAAACATATTGGCTGCAGCCTTGCATGTTTTACTTGTTGTGTCCTTCTCGGCTTTGTACATTTGCTAATGCTTCGTATACCGGCCGGCCGCATTTTTCCTTTGCATTTCTTGCTACGTTCCTGCTTTGTCTTCTTGTCTGTTTGCCTTTTCTTTTTCTTGCTTCTTTGCAGCCTTCCACGCGCGCAGTGAGCATGCATTGCCAGCTGGCGTCTTGTGCTTTGCTTTGACCCAACCGGACTGACACGCTGACCAAACTATACTGTCGCGGGAGCCCAAACGGCATTTTTCTATGGAAGGAGCATTTTTGTTTTGAAACGGCAGTGATTTGGGTTGTTTGGGAAACGACCACAATGTTCAACATCTTGCCGTTCCCGGTATATATGCTCTTAAGCCTCTTAACGCCACAATTCGCCCACTGCGATACTATGCTTCTCGCCGCCCCCAATAAAGGGGGTCGGAGGCAGTCGGGCGCTAGCCCATTCTATATATAATATAATACCAGTAGTACCCGTACGAGGCAGGGCGGAAGTTGCCTTAGGGAGATACTATAAGACCTTTCTCATCTATAGAACTTGCATGCGCCATGCGCCAGCCAGGCCCGTGCGCGCGAAGCTGTTGCAATGTTGTTGTCCAAGAACATGACCTGCGCGCCATCCCGGTGCAATGCAACGCCAAGCGAAGACTTTCCTCACTTTTCACACTGCACTCTTCACACTTCACACTTGCACATCGCACTCGACACTTCATCTCATCTCAAATCATGTGAGCTCTTCTCACCGCATCTCAGCTCCTCTCATCTCATCCCATCTCTTCTCACATGTCATCTAAGTAAGTTCTTCTCAACTGTTTTCATCTCATTCGGGCACTGATCATCATCTCCTTGAAGTTCGGCTCAACTCATCTTAGCTGTTCTGCACGCCAGGAAGCTCTTACTGTCAGAGAGAAACCTCGTGCACAAAAAACAATTGGGCGCAGAAAGTTTTTGCACACAGACACTTGCCACACAAATGCATTTACATACAAAAAGCCTTTCCGCAATACTTTGTACCACAAAGCTTGCACAAAGCACGTCCAGTACTACCTTGTACTACGAAGCTTGCACAGAGCACTTCCCAGTACTTTTTTGTACTACAAAGCTTGCACGAAGTACTTCCCAGTACTACTTTGTACTACAAAGCTTGCACAAAGCACATCCCAGTACTACTTTGTACTACAAGACTTGCACAAAGCACGTTCCAGTACTACTTTGTACTACAAAGCTTGCGCGAAGCACTTCCCAGTATATACTACTTTGTACTACAAAACTTGCACAAAGCACTTCCCAGTACTACTTTGTACTACAAAGCTTGCACAAAGTATTTCCCAGTACTTTTTTGTACTACAAAGCTTGCACAAAGCACATCCCAGTACTACTTTGTACTACAAGACTTGCACAAAGCACGTTCCAGTACTACTTTGTACTACAAAGCTTGCGCGAAGCACTTCCCAGTATATACTACTTTGTACTACAAAACTTGCACAAAGCACTTCCCAGTACTACTTTGTACTACAAAGCTTGCACAAAGTATTTCCCAGTACTTTTTTGTACTACAAAGCTTGCACAAAGTACTTCCCAGTACTACTTTGTACTACAAAGCTTGCACAAAGCACTTCCCAGTACTACACAACTTGCACAAAGCACTTCCCAGTATATACTACTTTCTACTACAAAGCTTGCACAAAGCACTTCCCAGTTCTACTTTGTACTACTTTGTGATACAAAGTTTGCACAAAGAAAGCTTTTACACACAGCAAGCTTTTTAAACAGAGAAGCTTTTAGACACAGAAACTTTTACACACAACAAGCTTTTACACAGAGAAGCTTTTACACACAGCAAGCTGTCAGACACAGCAAGTGTTTACACACAGAACAATTACACACAGTGCTTTTACACATGCCAAGCGTTTACACACACAGCAAGCTTTTTAAACAGAGAAGCTTTTACACACAGAGAAGCTTTTACACACAACAAGCTTTTACACAGGGAAGCTTTTACACACAACAAGCTTTTACACAGAGAAGCCTTTACACACAGCAAGCTTTCACACACAGCAAGCGTTTACACACAGAACACTTACACACAGTGCTTTTACACATGGCAAGCGTTTACACACACAGAAACTTTTACACAGAGACGCTTTTACACACAGAGAAGTTTTTACACACAGCAAGCTTTTACACACAAAATCTTGTACACACAGCAATCTTTTACAGAAAAAAGTTTTTACACAGAGAAGCTTCCTTGTACATAATCACAACAGGAATTGCAGCTCCAATACTGGATCTCGACGCCAGAGCGAAAAAAAAACGATTTTGAAGCACTGTAAAAAAAAAAAATATATATATATATATTAAAGGAAAATTGCTAGCGCCAAAATTGAGAAAATCTGCTGACAAATCACTGTCGCAGCCTTCATACAGCCACTCCAATACTATTTGCGAGATCCAGCTGCAAAAGACAATAGTATTACGCATGCAGCCGCCGCGCCAAGCAACCCTTACGCGGCCACCCCCCCGCTCGATCTGCAACCACAAATTCAAGAAACGCATAGAACTACGCACACAGGAACAACCACTCGTTGCAGAACACAGAGGAGGAACCCATTACGTCCGGAACGACTGCAGCCACACCCCCCGCACACAGGGGTTGCCTTCATCGCCGCCTGCAGCCACTTTACACGAAAAAATACAAGGTTTCGTTCTCCGGCTTCCTCCCCAACACAAGCGTCACCACTTCCCTTCCTCACCACTTCCCTTCCTCACCATTTCCCTAGGTCACCACTGCCCTTCGTCACCACCCTGTGTCATAGCCTATTATTCTTTTGTGATGTATTGTTATGTGATGTCAAGTCTCACACCGCCCTTCATCAATTTCAAGTCTCACAATTCTATTTGTCCGTAACACGGAAGTATTGCTTCCCAACTTCCTTTGATTATATATATATATACATATGGTTATGTATGCATGTATGTGTATATATATATATAAATATACATATGTGTATGTATGTATAATACAAGTATAATAAAAAGAAAACTCAAATCGATTCTAATTGTACTGCACACGGCCCGAATTGTTGCGCCCTCAAAGTTCTTTCATGGAGTTCCATGCCAGAACTTCAAGAGCCACACCTCTCCTTTCACAGTTTGTCGGCTCATGTGCAGAACTGCAACCTGCAAGGTCAAATAGAATCACCATGTGCCAGCGAAGATGCAAGTCAAAGAAACTCAACTGGAAACTGGAAAAGTATATATATATAGATAGATATCATTGTAAAATATCCTTCAAAGAAAATCTTTGTGCAACTGGAAAGTGACCCACCGCTAGCTGCCTGGCTTCGGCTTGTGACGCCTTTCCGAAGGGTTACCTCACCGAGATTTTTCGCCTCGGGAGAGCAGCTGGCAATGGAGGTGTGCAAAGCTTGCAACAAAATGTGACTTCATTGGAATCGGATAGAAAGTACCTACAGAGTTCTGAATTAACTTCAGCCAGCTGGATCAAACGATCATACAGAATCATACACAACAGCTAACATCTTCCCCTCAGGCCCATCCCAATCATGCCATGTCCAAGTGACATGGAAAGCTTCCGCATCGATGGGATTGATCTTCACCAACAGTTTGGGGATGCCCGGCTCAATCCGGACCCGCAGCACGGCACTGCTGTGGACCTCAGAGCCAGTGGCTCCATTTGCAGAGTCTTGGCCCCTATATTCTTGAAAACTCACATTGACATGATGACATCTGACATGTATGTAGATGGTCACTTTATGTATACAACTATATAATATTATATATATACACATATACTTGGCGGTGTATGTATAGCTGTTTGGAACCAAGAAATCAACTGACCACGCTGCAAAACCATGTTGAGCTGCGCACCATTTGTCCAGATTTCCTCCAGAACTTGAGACAAGATGAGACCCACAGATTCCAGTTCTGGACTGTGCCTTAAATTGCTATTTTTCTACTGAACTGAAATGCTATTGGTTCAAATATGTTCGACACCCAAGTGGCATGTCGGCATGTCGGAAGAAACATGTCTGGCACACCTTGGCAGCGCTCCATGCAAAATCGGCAACCCTTCTGAGCCAAAAGGATAAATACCATCGGAGATAAGGAGATTCCTTATGTGATTTATGTGTATATGTGTATAGATATACTGTACATACAACAGGATGGATCGAATCGATACCAACCCTTGGCTTCCATACTGCAATGCATCAATTTGATGATGACAAGAAGCAGTCCAAGGCCTGCAGGGCTCGCTTGACCAAATCGTTTCTGAAAAAACTGTGGGTTTTCCCCGAGTTTGGTGGTGGATGTGCTCGATCGCACTTTCAGGCCTCCCAAAATTCATCCCACTTTGGGAGCAACGCATCAATATGTCAGCACTGTGCTTTTTCGTTTCTGGCGCTGCGTTCTCCTCTCTATCCAAACCAGTTTGGCACTAGTGGCAGAGGATAGACAGCCAAGCTATTGCATTGGCCGTCTCCACTCAGCGGCGATGTTTAAAGACTCTTTCCATGCAGATTTTGGACAAGCAAAGTGGTCCAAGTGAATTCACTAAGAATAATCATTTTTTAAGCACATGTGAGGCCCTCACTGAGATCATCACCTGGCAGACATGGTAAACCCAGAAACCACACACCATCCGTGTGGCATGGGGTCTACCACGTTATGAAATCCCACCAGATTTCATCCTGCCTGGCAGAGAACCTCGCTGTCCTGGGAGGTTCTTACCTGTGGCTTTTCGCTACCCCAGAAATACCACATGTTCCGCAAAAACCGTGGACCCGAAGGGTTTTTCATGGTGATTCACATGCGCCATGGCTTTTGACCAGGCTACATCTGTTATAGTCATTCCTTTCATATTGGAAATTCATATTGGAAATCCATACCATGGGTGTATATTAATATATATATATCATATATATCATATTATATATATATATCATATATATCATATATATCATATATATATATATATGTAGACCCTGTTAATGGATTGATAACCATCCCCCATCAAAAAAATAGAGGACCCATGACAATCCAAGGGATTCAATTCGCTCACTGGGGCACCCAGCTGATTCGCAACATCCTGACGAGCGGAATAACTGCTGGGTTCCCAGTTACGGTTGGTAAAATAATTGGGATGGGAGAATCCTGTTGGCTAAGCTGGGGGAAGAACTCTTGGATACCTGGGGAGTTGGGAGAATACTGTCGGGTAATTTGATTCGAAGTTGGCTGGCCCTAACATCTCTGACTCAAGAATGACTTCTGCCATGAACGCCTCGGGAGTCGTTGAGCTTGCAGCAGTTGACCGAGCCCGCAGCCTTTCCAATGGGTCCTGCATCTTCAGCTGGGAATGCCACCCTTGTGCTGTCACCAAGGGAACAGATTCTTTGACTCATCATGGAACCACAAACCAATTAGATAATAGGATTATCTGATTTTGTTGGGAAAATCTTAGCTGGAAACCATGGTTGTTGCCCCCTTTTTCCCACCAATTCGGAGAAATCGTCCTGCTGCGGACCTGCCAGGAAACTCTTGATCTCTTGCCTCAGCCAGCGTCCTTGTGGGCCCCTGGCGTGGTCTGCTTGTTGTTGATGCAGATTATTATGGTCATTATCATGATTGGTCTTATCGTCATGTCTATGTTTGCTTTTGCTAGTATATCAGCATATCATCATTACTATCAATATGATGATGAAAACATCTCTGAAGCTGACGATTATGTTTGTTGTTAACTCTTCTTTGATCATGCAAAAATGCATCGAGACTTTTGTAACTTCCGGAGTCACAGCCGAGGATCATTATATGCTCGCGGTTCATCTGGATCAAGAGACCAAAGAACACCACGTTGCCAGCAGCAACCTCCCAACAACCAGGGGTTACAACCCGAGGGGTTAAAAATATCTAAAGGTCAGTTGCCATCCGAATGGGCTGTACGCCTGGGGTTGAGATGATTGCAATCAACTTCAGTGGGAATCACATCCAAAAATTGCAACCTCCGAAGGACTTTTCGGCTCAGCCGAGAAGCTGGCAGCCCGGCCCACCAACGCAGGTTCCATAACTTCTCTTCGTAGATTTTGACTAGACCTCAGGGGAATTCTGAATTGGCCATCCTACAGCAATGAAGCTTGGACTCTGCTGGACAGAGATGTCATGGAGATGGTGCCCCATTTCCACCCCCAGTTGTAGTCGTCACTCAATGTGATTTACTCGATACAAGCCAAGCTTTCCATCAAAAAGTAGCAGGTTTTGTGCCACGAAACCGCAGAAGTGGGCCAACATGATGATGCGGCTCCAATTCATCTTCCGGTCGACGCTATAAGATTGTACTCAGCCAATCGGAGAATGGGGGTCCGGAAAAATGTCCGGAGAACTCATGTTCATAAGAAAATGATGTGAAATGATCAACTGTTCATAAGTACATCCGCGAATAGATTGGTCATCTGAATTAGAACATTAAGACTATAATACATTATAATACCTTGTCCTGTACCTTGATCCCAAGAGATGTCAAGGGTTCTATGGCCCACAGCTTGGCCAAGCCATGCCATTGCAACGCAACGCTCCAAGGATCAGATCTCATCGGGGATCTGCCGCAAGATGATGTGGCCACCGATGATGAGACCAAGGATGAAACTCTTGGTGCTGTGGATGTCCACGTGCAAGACATAATCCGCCCAATAGCTCCTCAGTGCAATAGTGATATCATGTGATATCAAGATACAATATTTATAATATGGGAAATGATATGGTATAGACATTGGATCGTAACACTCTCCAATTCTTGCGGTTGGGAATTCTTCACTCGAGCCACAAGGCAAACATAGCTGATCTTGGATCGGAAATCAAGGCACCAGGTGCAGAGACTGCAAATGAAGCCGATGAAAGATGAGCATAGAATCCATGAGTCCTGCTTATCATAGAATACCACTGCCTCGCAAATGCTTTGCCATTTGGCCTTCAGGAATCTCCAAACGCTCATAACAATGAAGAGCTGACTCAGCCTCAGTCATGGACATCCCAAATCGTTGGTCAAAAAGTTTGATCGAAATCCTTGGCGGTGTCTAGTGATATCATGTGATATCCAAAGATGGAGCCAAGTGGCCTCCACCAGATGGTCCAAAATGGATCCAAACTATACGTGGTCACAACCGAGACCACACGCTTCAGCAAGTAGTAGTCATCAAAGGTTTCCCAGCGCCACGTTTGCCAAACCAAAACTGGCATCACAGCAAACACCGGCTAAAAAAGGCATGAAACTGCCCCAAGTTTTCATCATGTTTTTGCTCAAAGTTCACTTGTTGCAATGCGAGCTTCAGACATCTGCATGGTTTGCATGTGCTGCCCGTTTGGTGGATTCTCCATTTGCAGGGGGGGCGTAAATGTACATCTATGTGTATATGTACGTGAGTATATGTATATATGTGTTATATATTTGTATATAATATATTCCAATCCCTGGTTTCTTTGCCTTCGCAAGAAGTCACGAAACCGTGACAATTTCCAACCGTCGTCATCTCCACTTCTAGTCCCCACTTCCCTGAAAGGTGCCCATTGAAAGGCAAGGTGCTGCCGAAGAGAAGGGGCAGCAACAGAGCTGAAATCATTGATTCTTCTGGCTTGTGGAACAGCAATGATTGCCTGAGGTTTTGAAACCACAGCAATGCTTCGGACTTAGGAACTGTCCTCAGCAAGACCTGGCAGTCTGAACACCGTGCTCACAAATTCAGTCGTGAATTCGATGTAAGCAACAGAATCATGCCTTTACGATATTTTTTGCCATCAAACCCACCACTGGATTGCTAAATGCATAGGAAATATGGGCATTAATAATAATACCTGCGTATCGCGTCCCAGCTGCAAAATCCACGAAGCGCAAATCACCATTTTGTGGTGAGCCTGGTTGCGACAACTGGAGTAACCCAAGAGTTTTCTACACTGGCCATTGAAATGCAGTCAGAGCTAAAGCCTGCGATTGTCATAGCGTTTTGTTCCTTTAATCTCCACCAAGCAGCACACAAAATAGTTTCTGGAGTAGAGGATAAGCAAGGAATCACAATAAAGATGGGATCTCGATCATCAATGCCTGACTGTCAGATAGCTGAGAACTGGGAACTTTCAAAAATCCTGGAAACTCACAAGAAACAGAGTCTCAAAGCAAAACTGTTTTTTGAATTTTGTTCTAAAGGACCCGTGTTCCTTGACGCAACACTTCGTGAATTCTTCGGTCGCCAACGTGGTTGTCCAAGGACATCAGACACTGGACAATCGGCACATTTCCCATTAGAATATATATACATATGCATGTGTATCTGTATAAACAAAATGTATGTGCATATATGATGTGTATATATATATACACATGTATATATTACAGATTATTACAGTATATAATTATATACTACAGTACGTAGTACAGTATATATTACAGTATATACTACAGCATATATTACAGTCAAATACAATGCAATGCATGATCCGTACATAATTTCAGTACAGACGTTAAAATCAATGCCGCCAATACATGACATCCAGAAGCCGTGTTGCTAAAACTTGCGATGAAAGCGAACACTGGTAGCACCATCAAACCGAGCAGGAATGACAACAGGCACATAAGCGCTTTCCGTCCCTTGTTGTTCATCGATTCCACCAACTCCCACCTGAGATACGGGAAGTTCACTGCCCAGTCCAACAAGTCCAACAACGGTTGCTGATGTGGTATTTAGATTTAGAATGATTTAGATGTATTTAGGAAAAAATTAAACATCATGAAATTATCTGGTCTGGCAAAATGAATCAGCTCATCAGTGCCTCGACCCATTTTTGATTTACGAAGGCAATGCGGTCCCCAAAGAACAAACCTCAAAGAATCGAATACGGAAGAAACCGATGCAAAGAAGTCAACGAACACCCCTTCTTCCAACAACGCCATTGCAAATTGTATCATTTTGCACGTGTTTCAGAATTGATGTCTTAATATGCACAAATCCTGGAGACCCATGGGCCTCTTTGCATCATACAATTTGGCCCCAGACTGGTCCACGACACTGCCAGCTTTCAAGCATTACAAAAATAAATTACCGTGCATAATTATTTTTGTTATCTATGTAATTTTTAAATGTTATAAACATCAGGGTTCATCCATGAAATTTTTAAATATCCAATGAACCACATATTGGAATTGTTGTTCTTTGTTTACAGCATTGATAAAGTATCAATGATGTTTTGACCATTGCTGATTTCCCAATGGGTAAACGCGGGCCTGACAAATTTGATGAAATGCGGGAAATGCGATTACAATTAAACGTATGTTTCTTTGTGGTTGTGGACAAAAAGTCTCTTGTGGATACCTCCGAAAAGTATACCTCAGCACCAAAACCATGATTTTCACCAATTACTCAAGTTGGCGAGTCTGGATGATTTCACATGTTCCATCAATTTCCCACAAGTCCCCCATGTTTTTGTTGCTCCCAGTTGCTCCCATTCCCACTTCTGGGATGGTGGAGCCGCCGAAGCCGGAGCTTCCCCTGGCGCCGATTTTGTCGATGTTGTCGGCATGAACTGGTCCCAAAGCAGCATCACGGCATCACCGCCAATGATGCGGATCCAGTTTCGATTCATTTTGGTGAGACGTGACGCAAAAGACATACTTGGGCCGAACTGCTGAACAACAACGCGCTTTTGAATGCAGGTTCCCAATAAAATGTGATCTTGTTGCAATTTTTGTTCTTGTAACGAACTAAAACAAAATTCGAAAAACAACCATTGATGCAAAATTGTCTCATGTGTTGGACATGCAAACCAAATCATAAACCAACGGATGGTTGCATAATGTTCAATTTGTTCTTCGCATCTTCATATTTTGGATTTTCTTCAAAAACTACAGGACTAACGAAATAGGTCGAAGCCAAACTTGCCCCATGTTTAACGCTATTTGGTAGTGCATCGGGAACACAACAAACTACCAATGACATGACCCACGCACCAATTAATCATATCACCAACAAAACTGAAAATGCAAATGAACATCGTTGACGCACATTGGGTTACCCATTGCACATGGCAAAACAACAGACGGTTATTCCAAACCGCCTAGAATTCACCAGCCCGGATCCAAATCAAGCGCTGAAAGCACATGCTGTTTCAAAGTGCATCTGCAAACTTTTCTGGAACCGAAAAGCGCCTGACGATACACGCTGAGTGACACTTCTCGATTTGTGCTGTCAATGCAAATGACTGACATCAACAGTACTGTTTCTGCAGGGTTTGCACATGCGTAGCTATCCAACACCCGCCTTGATATAGTTTTTTGCCTAATATCACCACATTCAACTCCTCAGGACTGCGCAAGGTCCTTAGTGTACATTTTTGTCAGAGTTCTGCGCGGCGAAAAGTTGCGCTACAGCAGCTGCAAAAGCCTTTGTTGCTGATGCAGCCACTGATTTCCTTGGCGCAAACCACTCTCGGAATTCTTACCGATCGTCCCTGGTTTCTGCTAGGCCATAGTCATCTCAGTCCATAAATCAGGGTCTGAAACTTCGCACATCTCATCATTCATATATTTCCTCATCTTTTCACTTTTTGTCTCTCCGTGGGCTCCAATGCTGTCGTCATCATCACTGCTGTTGCTCTCATCACCACGTGCTGGAGGAGGTTCTGGAGAGCGCAATGCTTCACCACAGGCTCGGAGGAGGTCACATGTTGCCTCCCATCTGTCATACTCCAGCAGCGCCATGAGCTTGCTGTGAGTTTTTCCAGAAGCCTTCAAAAGCTCTTCCATGGTTTCAGCTGGAAACCTGTGCAAAGGAGATTCGTCCTCTGAGGACAATTCATTCTCCCCAGTCAAACTTTCCATCATCCAGTTTCTCTCAAACATTGAGCCAGGAAGATTTAGACCTTCCATCGTGACCTCCAATCCTAGCTGAGGGTATGAAGCCGGGTCCATGTACATGTTTGGATACTTCCGCACCCATCCCATCCACACCACCTGGAACAAGATCAGTGAGAGAACCAAATCCTGCCAATTGTTGTTTTCCCACAGACGGTTGCACGGAGGTGCCTGAGGTTGCCAGAGTGCTACTAACACAATGCTGAAAGCAGTACAAGATCCAAATGGATGTAATGAGTTCCTCCACAGTTCAAAATTTTGATGTGGCTGATGAGAATTTGTGATGCTTTATTCCAGTAAACTGTATATGTATATGGGGCATTGCGCATTGTGGATTAGTAAGACTAGTTAGCCTCTTAATAAGACTGACAGTTGGCTCCGTGACTCAGCTGACCCAAGCTGACTGACCCTGAACTCTGGTTGAGTTGTGTGGGAATCAATTGTCTCAGTTGATGCACGCACCAATATATACACCATTGTACGTTTGACATCTGCAAAAGAATGGAATTATTGAATCATCTTTCGTTACGTTTCAGTCATGTGAATACTGGATATTTGACATGATACTGTCATCCCATGAATATCACTTGAACATGAACATACATAACAAACAGCGAAAATTACTTTACTTCGAGTTATCCCCACCATGACATTTATAGGTTTTGTTACTGACAAATCTTCTTGCATTCTATCTAACATATCTTCTGGCATTTTATCTGGCATATCTTCTGGCGTTCTATCTGGCATATCTTCTGGCATTCTACCTGGCATATCTTCTGCAATATGTTCTGGCATATCTTCTGGCACTCTATCTGGCATATCTTCTGGCATATCTTCTGACATATCTTCTGACATTCTATCTGGCATTCTATCTGGCAAATCTTCTGGCGTTCTATCTGGCAAACATTCTGGCACTTTATCTGGCATACCTTCTGGCATTCTATCTGACATTCTATGTGGCACACCTTCTGGCATTCTATCTGGCATATCTTCCGGCATTCTATCTGGCATCTCTTCTGGCATTTTATCTGGCACATCTTCTGGCATACCTTCTGGCATTCTATCTGACATATCTTCTGGCATTCTACCTGGCATATGGCTTCTGCATCTTCTGGCATATCTGGCATATTCTGGCATATCTTCTGACATTCTATCTGGCATCTTCTGGCATTCTATCTGGCAAACATTCTGGCACTTTATCTGGCATACCTTCTGGCATTCTATCTGACATTCTATGTGGCACACCTTCTGGCATTCTATCTGGCATATCTTCTGGCATTCTATCTGGCATCTCTTCTGGCACTTTATCTGGCATACCTTCTGGCATTCTATCTGACATTCTATGTGGCACACCTTCTGGCATTCTATCTGGCATATCTTCCGGCATTCTATCTGGCATCTCTTCTGGCATTTTATCTGGCACACATACCTTCTGGCATACATATCTTCTGGCATTCTATCTGACATATCTTCTGGCATTCTACCTGGCACCTTCTGGCATCTATCTGCATTCTATGGCACATGTATCTGGCATATCTTCTGGCATCTTCTGGCACTCTATCTGGCATACCTTCTGGCATTCTATCTGACATTCTATGTGGCACACCTTCTGGCTATCTGGCATATCTGGCATATCTTCTGGCATCTCTATCTGGCATTCTATCTGACATTCTATGTGGCACACCTTCTGGCATTCTATCTGGCATATCTTCTGGCATTCTATCTGGCATCTCTTCTGGCATTTTATCTGGCACATCTTCTGCCATATCTTCTGGCATTCTATCTGACATTCTATCTGGCGTTCTATCTGGCATATCTTCTGGCATTCTATCTGGCTGAGGTCCAGCGGTGCTCACTGCGCTCGGAAGTTGGCGAAGAGTTGGCAAGGCGGAGGTGACCGTGGGAGGCGATGCTGGAGGACGAGGAGGACGAGGAGGAGGAAGAGGAGGAGGAGGAGAACAACTGTGATAAAATCTAACAATCCTCACCTGGCAGGTGGGGAACAAACAAGACAAGGAACAGAATGGGCTGGATTGCTGATAAGTAATCGGTCATCACACCTTTGAACTGTGACCTCGGGAACTCATTGGAATGTCAGAATGTGATTGTTCCAAATCTGCCTTCAATGGCAATGGCAGTAGCAACTGCACCAATAAACAACGCGCAAGAAAGACGACTGGCAACTGTACACGCATTTCAGCCGGCGAGAACAGCAAGAACGAATGGAAGCATTGAAACTGACCAAGGACCAAGCGCTACCTACCAACATAGATTTGCCATCGGACAGAGCACCAGAATATGAACATAAATGCAAAACGTGTTTGATGAACACTGTACAGTGGGAAAAAGAACGTTCGAGGTGGTTCCAGAAATATGGGTGAAGATTCACCTTTTGGCTTGAACCATGATCACCACTACCACCATCATCGCAGTTCTTATCGAAACCAAACTGTCCACGACGGAATAATGCATGCATTTGGCTTTGTAACACATCGCATCAAACATACAAAAATGAAATGTTTCGATTCTTGTTTGTAGTTCGAACATGGTACATAGGGTGATGGCAAGAGCTAGTTGATTGAGCGTTGGCCGGGTTGAGCTACACTGAACCATACTTAGAATATGTTAAGTATTATTCGAAGTTTCAGTTTCAGTGCGATCATTGAGATCTTTGGCGCATGTTTATGTGAATAAAGCATGTGAAAACATGTGTTGAACATATACCCGGCCCATACCGCTCATTCATTCATGCAAGTGGTGCGAAGTGCGAGCCCGCGAGTGCTCAGTGAAATTCATTGAAATGACACCAGCATTTCGAATTTTAAAATCGCGAATTGCAAATTCATTTGTATTTGACACGGCGATAATCTAATCTGATATATATCTGTACGTAATTTATCGGTGCCGTGCGCTGTCACGGTCGGCTGGTGCGCCCCACCTCATAAAAGGCATTGTAGATCGGCTCGGCCTGAGTCATTCATTCTCTGGCTGCTGACTGTTGACAGTGCACAGATTGAAAGATTGTTTGTTTCTGATATCGGATGCATATCCATATCGATCCGTCAACCATCGTCAACCCATGAATGCAACTGCTGCGATTGCAAGGCAAAGGTTGTTTCTTTCTGTCGCTCCAGGTCTGTCTTTTGATCGGACTGCTGCATGTTGGCCAATGGCCACGAAATGAAAAGGAGGAAACCTATTCTTCAGGAAGCAAATCACAAACACCAACTGCAATCGCAATCAAAACAGCACTTGACACATGCGATACAAACTGACAAATTAATGACAACCGATGGCAGCTGGCAACGGTGTGTGTGTGTTGAAGTTTCGACACATCGATTCATTTCCTGGAATCACGTTTGTCTCCCGTCTCTAAGTTTTGAATTTGTGCATAGTTGCGTTCCGTGTCGTAGAGGCAACTACCCAAGCGCCTAGCCCTGATGTCATTGTGTAAGTGAAGACAGTGCATTGGCGCGCTGTCAGGCCAGCACACAACAACACTGGGCGAACCAATGGTCCAAAACCCAAAACCAAAAAACAGTATAACATTATGTTTTGACGCATGAAGAACGAATATGATATAACGTGACATGTGTCCCTTCATCCTTTCATCTATTTTACACATCATGTTTTCATGTATATCATACATATTCTTACGTTGATTGGTAATTGGTTCGCAATTCAGGCATCTGCATTGTCGATGCATAGCCATCCAGGATAGATGTTGCTGCTAAATATATGGCAGAAACACTGCGTTCCCAAAAGCGACGCATCACCCATCACATTGCAGTGAGGTTGTTCACAGCAAATCAAACCAATGAGGTGTGCTCAAAACTGTCATCCAACACTTGAATCAAAAAGCTGACCAAGTAGTAGCCCAAACGAGCCAAGCCGGCCCCGTACTACGTGGCTACGATTGAAACAATGCATTGACAACACTGTACACTGGTCTTCCACCGGCTGTAAACCAAAAACCTCAGTCAGCCTCAGTCAGCTCACTTCAACAAATGCGTCCCCATCTTGTACTGATCGGTACTTTCCGATGCCTTCTTGTCTTTGGTTTTCTTTGCGATGGTCTTCCCGGATGACTTGTCTGCAAAACCACGTAGCGCACCCAGCCCCAAAGATACCTTGATGATCTCTTCGTTTTCCTGCGCTGCATTGGATTTGCCCTCCTCTGCGAGCTTTGCTGCTGCTAATGCCTCTTGCATTGCCTTCGCACGACCTGATGATGACGTCTTCGCTTCCTCTGAAGCCATCCTGGTGATCGCCACTTTGTCCGGTACAGTGATCTTCTCTTTGGCGTTCTTGATCACATTGTCCAACTTCACCTGCGTGGCAACCATCGATTCCAGAGCAGCAATCTTTGCCTTTGGGTCATCAGGCAAACCATCAACATACAATGCCTCAGCAAGGTTGTCCACGGATGAACCACCACCCTTGGCATGCTTTTTCTCCTTCTTGACCTTTCCCTGAGCCTGCTGAGATTGACTTTGCTGCTGATCCTTGCGTTGTTTCAGGAATTTGTCAACTTCAGACCTGGCTTGCTTTTCAGCACGTTGCTTCTGCAGTGCCACTTCTTTTTGAACTTTTGCTTCCACATCTGACAATGGAACCAAGCTTGTCAAAACAGCATCCGTCGTGCAATGCCTGTGCTTCAATGCCCACGAGGGAACCACATCACCGGCATCGCCATCATCATTGGATCCTGTTCCTGCTTGATCAACTTGGACCAGGAGGACTGAGAGCATTGGCAATATTGCCACATCAGCATCATCAGGCTTCTTCTCAGACTTTTCTGCCATGTTCTCATTGACAATGATGACTTTGCACTTTTTGGTCTGCATTTTGAAGTATGCAATGTCTGCCCTCGTCACTGTTTTGCAGCTCCATGCTGGCACCAATAAGTATGTCAGCTGATTGGCAATCATCAATCCAAAAGGGGACGCCAAACAGAGTGACGAATGGCAAGCACGTCTTGGCCTTCACCATGGAAACTTTGCCGACAAAGGGAAGATGTAGGTCAGGATGAATCGGAAACTTAACGAATGTCTCGGTCTTTTTGGCACTCATGTTGACAACCACATTGCTGCTCTCATTGGTTGTGTTCAGCAAGTAGTGTTGCCACAAAGCTGCTTCAAGCTGTGATTGCAAGCATTTGAAGAAAGAGCTTGAGAATGTGAACTTGGACAAGCCCAATGACTTTGCCTGCAAAGATTCGGCAAACATAGCCTGACCACCTGAAGCATCGGAAATGTCAGAGAACGTGTTCACCATGCTTAAGGGAATCCTTGACAAGTTGAAAGGAGGTGATCCAGTAGGGCTTGCTGAGCTTGCTGCCTTAGAACATGCGCCTGTGCTCACGTCCTTCTCAGTATCCCTTCTGCACCTTGCCTCAAATGAGCGTGTTTCCCCACTCACACAGCCAGACAGGTCCCTCATTTTTACAGCACAACATTCAAGAAACAAAACAAGGACCACTGTAGTTATTTGGCGTTCTACTATTGAAACTTTGGCTGATGCTGGCACATACATACGTGATCACCATAGGCCATAAGAAAATTGAAAAGCAAACCATTCGTGCAAACATCGAAATGACCAACGATATATGCACCATACTTTTGGCGAATACCAACCAAGATGCTTTCAACATCGCCAGCTTCAGCCGCTTCAGCAGCTCCATCTCCTTTCCCATTGTTGCCTTCCAAATCTTCGGGTCGTTGGGCCGTTGCGTTCCCCTCTGGGACCTCAGGTGGTGTTGTAGCGGAGGTAGATGTTGTTTTGCATGCTTTGCTGGTATTGTTCTTGGCAATCAAGGCATCCCTCTCCAATCCAAAGGTTGCCATCATGCCCTCACACAATGTCCCGACATCTTGACTTTCTGAAAGATGTTTGGACCACGTCAAAGACCAGTCAGTGGAACTCATCAGCAAGTCACAGGTGCACAAGCAAACAAAATGTGAATCATCAAGCTGGAGTCCTGCCATTTGCAAAATCAGACTGCGTTCCTGATCACTGATGTTGGACACAGAAGGTACCGCCTCTTTCAGGATGAGCATCAAGTATTGCAACCTCAAAGAAGTCAATCTGTCGACATTCTCTCGGTCATTGTTGAACACCTGTCGTGACAATCCAATGGTGCAGACACCTGGTAAGGTAAGCCAATCCATTGAAAGCCTTGTGCATCACAAACCTCATACAATCTGACTAGTTCTAGTTCTAGCTGGGATTTGGATGAACAATACTCGTTTCCTGTTTCCAAGGACACCGAGACATCCAAGTAGTTCCAACTCAGCTCCTGCTATACTGCTTGACATAATACATAAAATCTGCAAATATAAATAAGCTAAGTGGCAAACCCCTGAACAAGGACTTGTTTGGTGGGTTTGCCTATTCAAAGCCTCACTGTGTTATCTTCACCATACCCGGCCATACCCGTGCCCCACCGGCCCCACCTGACCACTGGCTTCAATGAAGTGGCCTTTGCAAACGAAAACTTCCGAGACATCAGACGCAAACAGCACCCAAGCAAAAGGAAACAACTCCTCCAATTTGCTCTGGGCAAATGCCACAAGATCAACAATTGTGTTCAGCTTTGTTGACAAGGCTGACAGCCCAAGCAGAGTCTGCTGTGGCACTGGGTGAAGCAAAAGAGGTAGGTGAAGCTGCTTGGTGACAAACTCCTGGAGCAGCTTGATGATGGCTTCTTTTTGAGAATCAATGTTCATTGCAGCAATCACCCGTTTTGCACATGCCTCTTCTTCATCATCACCAACCACACTCATCACAGGCTTGTCTGCAAATTGTTCAGTCAACAGCGCAGCGAGCTCCATTGCATCCACCTTCTTGCCATCGGCGGAATTTGCTGAGAATGTGTCTTGTGCACTGAGCATGATTTGTTGCAATTCTGAGCGCAAGCTGCTGTAAATCTTGATGAGCCTGCCACCCACACACACCTCGCCTTGGAATGCAAACTCAAGGAAGAGGGAAACACAAAATGAGATCGTCTTCAATCTTGACGAAGCCGAAGACGCATCACCCGTGTCATGTTGGCCATCAAGTTTTCCTCGGCTGGTCTTGGAACGTTTCCTGGCAGGCTCGCGTGCTGAGGTGGAGCTGTCACTGATGTCAAGGACATAGTCAAGAGCACCAAGCACATCATCCAACGCATTCTTCTCTCGTTGATCATCATGGCTGAAGCCGTCAATGAACGTAGTGAAGCACCTATGTCGCTAACTTCGTAAAATTGAAACCTCGAAAAAGCAATCTAACCACTCACGAGGTCTTTGAAGCTTCTGGCTATTTTTAAGCGAACAGGAATTAGACTTTCATTTTGATACCCGAATAATTTAATGGCATAGTTCTCCTGATCACAAATCATCTGAACTTGCAGAATCTCAATTTGTTGCAGTGGAACATATGAACATACGTGAAGACACTGAAGCACAATGCAAGCCACTGCTTTTCGTGCTTGCTGTATGGAGTCCACATTCGCTTTTTTAGCTTCAGCTTCTTCCCCGCCGAGACGTTGTCCCAATGTCACCTTCCTCTTCAACAGCTGCATTGCCATCTGCAGCTGGACCTGCTGAATCTGAATGACCAGGTCGCTTTCAAGATCTTGTTTGACCTAACAACCTGCCTCCAAGCTGGAAAAACTGAACATCAGTGTTTGGAAACTTCAACAAAGTCATTGCTCTTGCTACTCTGAGAATATGGGCCTTTGCAAGTGTGAAAAAACAGAACACGACCATGAATGTGGAATGGTGAGCCGAGATGGCATGACTTATGTCGCAATGATATTTTTAGGTTGAAAATACAATCGGAACCAGCAAGAACACGTACTAAGCCGCTGGGCCCTGCATTCATTTGCTTCTTATCAAATGTTGTCAATTCTCTGATGGTTCTGAAACTGCTGTCTCGGCCCACTCTGCAGACAACATCTTCTTGAACACCACAGAAGATATCATGGAGAGTGAAGAACCTGACACAGAACTTGGCATATTTTTTTCCGTCCAACGCCTTCATGGCTTTCGCCAGGTCGTTACACACATTCAACCGCTTTTTTTCCGTCCAACGCCTTCATGGCTTCCGCCAGGTCGTTACACACATTCAATCGCGGCAAACAGTTGAATTGGAGACATGCAGGGCTGTCAACTTGTCGAAAGCCACAAAAGTGCCGGTTGCGGACCAGTACGCAGTCCAGAAGCTGTCCCAGCAAGAAAACAGACAAAAAAGCAAACCAAAAACAACAAAGCAAACCAAAAAGGCAAAAAACACAAACCACAACACCAACCAAACAAAAACGACAGAGAGAATTTGGGATTGTCACCAGCAATGGGAATTACGTGCATGATGACATCTTATGTGTCATTCTGAGAATGACCCAAAACAAAAAACAAAACAGCATATCGGTGGGTGAGAGAAGCAACAAAGCTCCATGCGGAAACCAGGGATCCCCCCAGCCAGGATTCCCGAGATCACAAAGAGCAGCCGTTCAGGCATGACATTACACCCTGGCACTTCGAAGCAAACACCGACAACGCCGGGTCGCAACGAGAGTGGTGAGAAACGAAAAAATGGTGAAACGGGAAGGTGAAACAAGATCTAACGTGAAATGACAGCAATAGCTGCGGCACTCAGGGCACACTCAGAGTCCGCTCAGTTGTTTATGCGGTCGGTTAGCTGGCTCAATTACATTAATACAGGAATGCGAGCGTTTTCCTCTGAACAGAGACAGGTCTGTCAAAGTGTTCAGCCGAGGTTCTGGACTTGTGTCAGCTGTGTTGAGGTCCTCTGTCGGGTGATGTTGTGCGCAGTTCTGTTTGTTGCAATAAGGCATGGGTGTCTTCCAGTGTTCCGAGGGTGTGCGTCAGTTTGCAAACATAGTCCTGCAAAAGGAAGAGATCCTGTGCCTCATTGTGACTCTGGGGTTCTTGAGGCAGGCATGCCAATTCACTCGGTTGCGCTGTACTCATAGGACCAGGCAGCATTCGAGCAATGAAGGTACTGGATTGTGCTGAGCAAAAACAGCAACGGGCGCCATGGCTTGTGCTTTGACATCGTCCTACGCTACCAGTAACTAGACTTCTATGTGGTGGCCTATTAAGGGTGTTACAATTGTCCCCCTCCCCCTTCCTCCCTTATCATAGTTACAAAGGCAAGCTTGCTGTTGTTGATGGGGACATCATAATACTAAACCTTTAGCCTCGGGTAGACAATGACCCATTCCCTCCCTCAGCTAACGAGCCCAAAGAGGTACATGCGCACCAGCTTTAACCTGGAGGATTTCAAAATAAGGACGACTATTTGCGGCTCACTAATGATATGGCACTGCAAGGGATTAAGTAGTCCTGTGGAGAAGACCCAGGGTCAGCCGTCTGCGGAAACTCAGCTAAGCTTAAATACCAATCTGCAAATGCTAATAGATTGACAGGCTGTCACGTCCACACGTGTTACTGCAGATTGGTGCCATGCGTGGAGCTTGTTAGGCCAGTGGTCTGGACTAGTTACTTTTCCTGTCCCAGCCTCTGGAGTCTGGCCGCGCCATGGTCATTTACGGAAGATCCTTGATGGCTACCAAGGCAGGCAACCAAACTTCCATAAATGTGCTAGGCCCGCCTACGAGCAAGGGGCCCTTCCGACCCTTAGCCTGCTGCCCGGTGAGGTCAGTGTACGAGTACTACCAGGAGACAAGATGTACCAAGCCATGGCAATCGAGCCACATTACATGCGGCCTGTTATCCTGCATGGATTTGGCACCAGTGCCAAGAAAAGAATGCCGAACAGTCTCGCTGACCTCGCCCAATTCGGCTGGTTGCCGCTGGCTGCTGCTTTATTTGGCACGCATGAATGGAAGCCCCAATGGCTACATCACAATTTCCTTCCAGTGGTTGGACTGCGGTTGCATGCCAAAGTGCCTCCTCCTCCTCTCTCCCAAGCTCAACTGATCTTGCTGTGTGGATTGTGGCAACGAAAGGAACAATCGGAACCCTCATGTACGTCGCTGCAGCAAGCAGCTCTCCTGAAGTTTGGTCTTCCGTTACCTTTCCGAGAAATGGCTAAGTGGGAAATCACTGTCAATAAGCAGACTATAGATGTTGGAGAATTGTCCAAACAAAACTACATAGGAAGACAACCTGAAGCTGCGATGCCTGCTGCACTCAAGGGCTCGGTTGACTGGGCATCCTGGGTCTTTTCCCTCGTAGAAGTCTGGCAAGATGACGCCCCAATGCAAGACCGACCCCTTGAAGTGCATTGCAGTGGATTAGGGGGTGGCCTACTTAGTGGCGAACACGAATATGATATTTTCCTGCAAAATCTTGCGCAAACAAAGGTGTATGGCCCATCGCTTGCGATGACAGATAATTGGGAAGAACATATCACCCAATTGGGCCTTACCAAAACAGTGCACGAATATGCGGTATACCAGCTCCTTTCCACTGCTGATGGATGGACAGCTTGGCGTGATTTCCTCCCTGAACAGTTCTCTGATCCACAGCTGCTGCTCACGAGAGCGATCCGCCTCATTGAGGCCGCGAACATCCGGCCAGCCCACGCCAGGCCACCACATCCGACCTGGTCAACAGCAATTATGCAGATCTTCCGTTGTTACCATCCACAAGGGAAACAGCTTTTTCTGAAGTCATGTTTTCCACACTTGGTCACTACAGCGGACAACAGAGGGAGCAGGGACATTAACGTGTATGGCTTCTCGGCAGGGTCCTATACAGGCTTAGCAGTCCACGAGATCCTGAGTGAATTTGCTGCGTTCCCTGGCCTCACTAAAGTTGCTGCGATTGCGACGCCGCCAGAGATGCTGCGACTTGCCACAGGCGAACGCCGAGTCACACTGGTGCACTGCCTGGAGGACCGGCTATGTGTGTGGAGACCTGCTTCTCTGACAGAATTTAACTATCAGGTTGTTCTTATAGAGGGGCACCCCACCTGGAGTGGGCGTGCCAAACATTCCTATGGCCACTTGCTCTTCATTGACCTTGACGAAGGAGTCCACGAAATCCAGAGGCTACAAATCACCACCCCGCAAGTTATTCCACATGGGGTACGGTGCGAGGGATTGCTGCGTGTACTCTCATGGGTTAGCTTTGACCTTCCTGAGCACCTCAAGACGACTCTAAGTGATTTGTTAGTAGCAGCTGGAGAAGGGAACACGGAGCTACAGAATATACCCATTGGTGGACGGGACATTCGGGATGGTCAGCCTGAAACGGAAGCTGACCTACAAGCAGTTCTGATTGCGATGATTCCCACACCGGGAGGATCCCACGATGAGGGTGGGTTGCTGGTTCGCAACCTACTGGCGGAATTCCTGCGTGGTTTCTCATTACGAACCCTCATCTTCCTACTGGACATGGTACTTCCGCAACTAGACGCTTATCATGTGGGACGGCAGCTCCAGCATCTCCAGCCCTGGGTCAGTGTGGAACTTGCTCAGCAGAAGAAGCGAGGACAAACAGGAACACGTTTGCAGCTCACCTACCAATACGAGGCTTATGCTGGGTTTCATGTCGTTCACCTACATACTGATGGTGCCCCGCTCCTGCTCTTCAGTGCACCGTCGGATGTTCCAATGACCTCGCCGCGAGAACTTTGTGAGGCTGGGAATCTAGGCAACTTGGAAGCCAATGTGATGGCGGGCAGAGCATTACTGGGTGTTCTCCAGTTACCAGACACTCAGCATCGGTGTGTCATATTACTTGTACATGAAAAGGTGATGTCTAGCGGAACCAGTAAGAACCCTGCTCAGCGAGCGATCAAGCGCATTGCCCCGAAGTTGCTGGAGCTCGTTATCGTCTCGCTACACATTGCTCGGACCTTTTGTGGGCGGCTTTTGGACCAGTATCTCAAAACAATGAGTTACTTTGATCCTGCAAAGGACTGGCCGAAACCCATCGAAGACTACGTGTCCATGACCGTTGTATGGGAGGAGCTAGCCTTTCTGGGAGACACACGCAGCCGCCATGAACTCTTAGTGTTTGCGCAGGCTAACCAGTCGCGCCTACCATTGGCAATGGGCATCGTGCAGCCGCATATACCTGTTTGCCGCATGGCCAGCGAGCGCAAAACGCAGCTGACGGATGCATTAGTCAGAATTTTGAAACGGTTTTTGACACCAGCCACAATATCAATGGATGGGGCCCATGACAGTTACTACTGTGAGTATCTCCTTGGACATGTCTTGACAGTTTCCATTGCATTGTTACTGGCCATTCTGACAGGAAGATCTGACTCATGTATTGCAGGGGTTTTTGGTGCTGGCACCTAGCGGTCTTGCTCATTGCCCTGAGCTGCGAACTCAAGGAATTTGTTGCCTTCATCTATACGAAAGAAAATGTAGCTGCCAAAGCACTTGCGGATCAACTAAGTGATCTCGCGCCCCCCACAATCAAGAGCTTTGGTAGGCTAATTGGACGCATGGAGGAAGGCAAAAGCATATGCCTCCAAGATTGACGTCCGATGCAATGATCGCAATAGAATCATCGCTCACAAGAATGTCCTCATTGCAACAGGTGGCTCGGCCACGGCGGAAATGGCGATGCGCTACTC